CTAATGATTTTTGGAACAGCGTGGTTCCAGATAAAAGAACCAAAAGCAGCTGGGTGAGTGTTAGGCTGGCAGGCAAAACAAGAGTAATCCTTTTGATTAGAGCCAAACGTTGTGTAAATCCCCAACATCCCCCACAAATCCAAGCAAAGCAGCTAACCTGTGTTATTTGAAAAGGACTGAGAAGCTGTCAGATATATAATGCAAACTATGACCCTTAACTGTCTGATGATAGTAAGGTCCAGCTGTCTGTTACAAGTTGTAACACTCATATAATACATATTTGTCAGTGGCTGCAAAACCAAGAAGTCAAAACTTAAAAAAAAAGAATTCTTTAATCAGAATCTTTTCAAGTACATTATGAGAAAAAGGATAAAAGTTGATATCTCACTATCGGATTTATAAGGTTTAGAATAAAGAAATATTTCAATTATGTTAGTTTAATAAACTGAGGAAAGAATTATGAAATAAAATGTGAAATATATATACATAAAAGTGCATTTAAGTATGAATGAAAATTCTCTCAGGGCAAACAGAGTAGTAAACTGCGAATACCGTGAATTAACTGTACCAAATATGATGGCTGGGGAAAAAAAAGAAAACTAAAATTTTGTGCAATTCTTGCTGTAAGTATGCAGCTCTTACAAAGTCCTCCTTTCAAAATGTTACAACATGCTTCCTACAGTCTCAAATGCAACTTTCCTCCACAGCCCTGAATTCACCCTGCTATCAGAATGCAACTCAGTATAAAATATTTCACAATAGGGAGCAACTCGAGGTCCTCAATGTAAGAAACTGACAGTGACACATCGACTAAACAACTTGTATTTCCAAAACATATCTGTTGCTCTACGTTGGCAGGGACACACTGTAAAGATGTGATGTGGGTGGCTGCAGACCTGCTCCACTGGCTTGTTGTATAGCTCTATGCTTTTTTTGGTTTTGTTTTGTTTTCTTCAGCTCTGTAACCTTCATTTTTCAGAACCACGACCAGCTTCTAAACATTCAGCTTCTTTTCTAAGGCAATTCACGGAGATATTCCATGAAATAAAGAAAAAATACTCAGATATCCAAGGCAAACAGCACACATGACTGTATGTAAGGAAAGGCTACACTGGTGTTTTTCTGTGAGAGGTGACATCCACTGCTCTTTGAAATTTTGCATTCATATCATTCTTGGAGTGTGCACCTTCACTGACACGGATCTTCAGGTGGTCAGTCTACAGCTCTGGGGGCCAGGTCAAACTGTTTTCTCCACTGTTAAGCAACTGATGAGGTCACTACACATCTGGGACTGTCTGACACTGAGGCAACCCGGCCAGATGAGCCAATAAGCTGATGGGGAGGCAGATTTATTTGTTTTTGTTCCCCAGGAGGGAGCAGATGAGTGTACAGTCAGGCTGAGAGTCATGATGAGACTCCTCATTACACACGGATGACGCTGGGGAGCAAGGAGGACACTCAACAGGAGTCTACACTGTCATATGGTCATGGAAACGCCACAGTGCAGATGGTATTCAAGGAACCAACCAGGGAGAGGTATCATCCTCTGGGACAGATATGCAGGGAGTTGAAACTAGAAGTGACGGCAATGTAATGAAGTGAAGATAAACAGAATGAATTTAAGGCAACACTGAATAACATAAAGGTCTGAATCATTTCAAATGATGATTTTGTTGATTTTTTTATTCTAAATGTTGTCAAGTATGCTTGCATGAGCAAGCACTTATGAGGCAAATTCATTTTTTGTTGTAGTTTATTGGTGTACACATCTCTAGAAACACGAACCTGCTGGAAACAGCATTTTCATCTCCAAATTTGTTCAAATAGAAAGAGTGTTTAATTTAGCTTATTTTAGTCTCAGGCACATCAAATAGATGCTATGATAGTTAAGATATGCTGCATTGAGGTTGGCCTTCAAAGAGCTGGTGCTCATTCAGAGAAAACCTTTTTTCAGTGGCATATTTACTTGATCCTCTGAAGTGATCACATGGTGTTATCTATACAGAAATCTGTAAGCTGAGCCACAGCGGTCTGCAGTGTAAAAGTGAAATTACACTTATGAGAAAGCTAGAAAAGGTGTCAATTTGTCAAACTGACCCCCTAAGATACAATTCATCATCCAATAATCAGATACTTTTTCAGAATACAATGAGAAAAGAGTCTGACATGAAAAAATGAAATACAAACTCAAACACGGATGGCTGTCTCCATAGTGTACTTTTGTCATGACTTAAACTGAAATGTAAAAGGAGACATTTTATAGTTTCATGGCAGAAAAAGGTACTGTAAATTTCTAAAATACAACATTTTTTAACTTAATTCAATTTAATTTGATCAAATTGATTATGTCAGTTGTCTGATATGATTATTAGTTTTACAACTGCTAAATGTTCCTGAAATAAAAAATTTAACTACAGCAGAGATTTTAGCACGCACCGGTGGACGACACACACGTGTAACAACTAAAATGTATTCATACAGCAGCATCCAATTTGGAAACGTCCCTGCTTTGACAAATGCTGACTCACTGTGATGATTTATGGAGACAATAAATGGTACTGAGTCATTGTTCATTACACAAACCCCACCTGTTCTTTCAAGGCTAGAACAACGGCATTTTAAGCGGTGAATACATTCTAATTTCTGATATTAGTGATCTTAGTATACACTAATATAAACAATTTAACAGCTTTTTTTAAGAACACAGATGTTGGCTTCTAAGTTCACTATTTGTTAAAATCTAATATTTTATGGGCTGCTGAGTGGTACCATTTGTCACAGTGGAACAATTTTCTACTTTATTGTGCTTTAGTAAAAAGGTATCATCATTACAAGACAATCTTTGTTTGAAGTAAGTCAATTTCACAGAAATACTTTTAAAACTTATTCAGGGTTGGACATGGTGTTTTTAAAGCCACTTGTTTTCCTATTTAATCCACACATGACTTCCAATGTTATTATTAGAAATTACAGTCATTTTACAATGTCCACATTTTTGGATGGATGGATGGATGGGATGGATGTGTTATTTTGTTTCATTGAACTAAAAAAGGTAAACAAATAAGACATCAACCAATTGTTATTTAAAACAGATTTTAAATGACTCGTTTAAATTACTATAAAATACAATGTCGTGATGTTTAAGGACATTTCAGACTTCTTGTTGGAAAATAAACTATGCTGAAAGGTCTTCTGACACCTGTGAACGGATGCGCATGCAGGAAACCCAAAAACACCTGGCTGAACTCCACAAAAGGAGGGCAAAGCGTTCCTCCTCGCTTACTCACCGCTCTGCTGACCATCGGGAACCTTCTTCCTCAAACTTTGCCTGGCTCCGTCGGAGTCCGGTCTGCTCAGGACCTCGGACAGCGACTGACGGGAGCTCTGTCGGGCGGCCTGGCTGGAGACGTTGAACCGCGCGCTCCTTTTCTTGGGTCGATTTTCTCGCTCCGATTCCGGAGCGGACCGGCTCCTCTCCGGGTCGTGGTTCTCGGGCTGCGAACCTACTTTCACTAAGGCGTTCCTCGTTCTAGTCAGAGCAGAAGTCACTGAACCCATCCCGAATAAAAAAGGTTAAAATCCTTCGCCGGAATCAGGTTTTCCAGGTTTATCTGTCATTTCTCTCAAAAACTGTTGAGACCATGCTGTTCTCACCACAGAAAAATGAATAAATAAATGAAAAATAAACCCGCATCTGTTTCAGTTCAGCTTGCATGGAGCTTTAGTGTTAGCTGTTTCGACTGAGGTGAACCCAGGAAACTTATTAAAGAAGCAGTTGAGCAGTTTTAACGGAACATGTTTGCGTCTCCCACGGTTTGTGTTTCCTGAGACTGGCGCGTCACATGGAAGTTGCTCTGTCGACAAACACACTCATCTCCCGGGACAAGCAGGTGAAAACAAGCCACATTAATTAACAAATCACCAGAGTCAACTGTAGCTTCTACATCGCAGAAGCCAAAGGTTCATCAGGGCGTTCATCTGGAAATATCCAGATGAGTTTCTTACTGGGTTTGTCTTTGGGTCAAAATCACGTTTCAATGCATCCCTGGAGACTGATCGCGAAGTCTGAACTCACGAGGGGGGGAAAAAAGTATTTGCACGGTACCACTGAAAAAAATTAGCCAATTGAAAGCGTTCTGTTTGAAGAAATGGGACATCTGCATCAGTTACCAACAGATGGCACCAAAACTCAGCTGGTTGAGTGGTTTTACTCAAATTACACTTTAGATCCTTAAGGGTCACAACACTGAACAGTGGATGATTGCATGGTTTGACTAAGAGAGCAACAGGTGTAGAGAGGAAGAGGGCATATATGCACACAGTGATGATGACAGGAGGAACAGGGAAAACGTATTTATATGAGAAACTTGAAGCCAACTGAGAGTTGAACACCGAACAAACATAGTTGCCCTGAATATAAGGATATCCAAGTAAAAAGGAGTTAATGGAAAGCAAACATGGAAGCCATTACATAGAAAAAAGCCAAAGCCTGTTCAGAAACCTACCAAACCTCATTGGATTTATTGCTCGTACGAGAAACATTCATAGTTTAATCAGAAGACTGAGTTTAAATAATTATTCCGTATCTAACATTATGGTCAAACTTTATTCTTCATACTAGAGAAGCTGGCCCTTGAGGATAGATTTAGATACCCCTGATCTAGGCAGATCTTAGTTTAATATTTCTGACCCATCTGTGTGTCCTCATACTTACTTTCAGCTGTAGAGGGAGTAGGGACTGAGTGGGAACGTATGGTGAGGACTCTTTTCAAGTCATAACAGCTGAAGAACAAAGCTCTGTCTGCTATTCCCACCAGTTTTTTGGATTAACTTCAAATCGACTTGAAAGCAACTCGTTTAGAATATCTTTATGTATTCTGTATTTGGAGCTTAAGTATCCGATCAAGAATGTCGCACTGATGATGAATTGACAGTCCAGGTTAGTTTCAAAGCGAGTAAGACTAACTTTTATCATTTCATAACAATGTTACTTAAAGATCTTTTTTCTCATTAATCTCTTCAAATCAGTGAGGGATGTCATGCATCACATATACATTAACTTCTCAGAAATGGATTTCAAGAGCGATATCGCAAGTTGAACACTTAATGTAAATCTTGTGGTTTGTTTGTTGCTTGAAATGTGAACTTTTCCAGTTCTTGGATCTGCATTCTGACCATAACGCATGGCAAAGTATTACGCTTTGTTCACAGTATGGAGTCACAGTCTTCGTGGTTTATTGCTGCATACAGGCAATTGCGACATCTCTAGCATACAGATTTCTCGAAGTGTGCATGCTGAGTTGATCGAAAGAACTACTTTTCATACAAAGAAATGTTATTGTAGTCCTCAGTGAGGATTGCTAAGTTGTGCTGATTTCATCATTGTGCCTACACGGACATGACAAAGTGCTTTCAGCAACGGAGGAAGCAAAATACAGTCTCTCTTGACTAACAAGCTTAGTGTATCATCACATATAAAGGCACTTTTTTTAAGCTGTTTGTGGGTTGCCCGTTCGTCTTCTTGCTCGTGGCTTCAGTTGCTTTTTTTATTTTCTTTATTGCTTGTGTTGATTGTTTAGCAGAGACGTTATCACTCCATGTCATCGTGGTTCTGGGTTGATTCATTGATCACCTGAAAAAGGACAGGCCATGTTAGGAGCACAGTATTTGACCTCAAGCTACCCATTTAAACAGGACTTGGAGCACACTCTACCTGACCATCCCTGGTCTCAATGGTCTTGATGAGAACCTTCTTGGTAGTTGTATTTTCAAAGTGAGGTTTGGAATCAATCATTGTTTCTGTGGAAGAAAACAGTGGGATGTGTTACAAAGCTCATAACAGCATTCCTGAAATCAACATCCAAATGGGGATCTCACCTCTCAAGTTTAGAGAAGAGAAGTTTGGGAGGGGGGTGGAGATTCTGTACATGGAGAAAGAACACATGGTCAACAAATGTAAAATTGATCAATCAAATGAAGGCTAATGTATGTCAGCTATATAAATTCTAAATATTAGCTTTGCCTGAGTTATATTAGTTATTGAGACACCTGCTCTCCTCTCCTTCCAGCAGCTTCCTGTAAGTGGCAATCTCAATGTCCAGGGCCATCTTGACATTCAGGAGATCTTGGTACTCTCGGAGATGACGAGCCATTTCATCCTTCATGTTATGAATATCCTCCTCAAGGCGGCCGATGGTGTCCTGATAGCCATTGTTCTCCAGGGAGAAGTTTTCTTCCATCTCTCTCATCTGACGCTCCAAGGACTCATTCTGGGTTCACAGTAAAGAGAGAACAAATGACAGAAATTGAAAAATAACTGGTTTCAAATAAAAATAATAACCAGGATAATATTGTTTTTTCTTTTATGCAGTTTTCTTTGTGTGTCTGAGCCATAAATGGCCTACTCACAGTTCCTTTGAGGGCATCCACATCACAAGTAAGTGCCTGTACTTGGCGCCTGTAGTCATTGGCCTCCTGCTTGGCCACCCTCAGAGCTTCGTTATTTCTGGCCGCAGCTTCGGTGAGGTCCGCAAACTGACCGAGACACAAACACAACGGAGAGTAGAAACAAGGAGTAGAGATTAGAGAACTTAAATGATTAGTTAAAAAAAGTCTGCGCTAGAGGGAGAGTGATTGTGGTTGGTAGTGTTTGAATTATGAAAGATGCTGCGGTGAAAAGAGGGGTGCAGTTAGTAAGCATTCATTTGTTGGAGAATTTTTTTTCTTTTCTAAAAAGGGGGCAAACTGAATTTTCTTCATTCATAAGCTCAATGCAAATATTAGTTCTGATACTGACATCTATCATTTTCATCTATTTTCTCTATCCAAGGTACAGTCAAGCAAGAGGGAGGACACACCCTTAACAGGTCACCAGTTTTTACCTTGGATTTGTACCAATCCTCAGACTCCTGGAGGTTTTTGGTGGCCAGGTTCTCATACTGCAGGCGGACATCCCTCAGCGCGGAAGTCAGGTCAGGCTTGGCCATTTCCATGTCGACCTGGACATGCTGCTGCTGCTGCTGGATCTGGGTCTGCAGCTCCAGCATTTCCTGCAGGCAGAATTGTGCCAGCGTGCAATGTACGGATTAATTTTTATTCATTTCTTTTTTTGAAGGGCTTGCTTCAAAAGGAAGGAACCACATTCCTGGGTGTATTAGAAAAGCTCGGGTAAACTAAATCCAACCAAATTGGCATTTGAGCAGATTAACAAATATTTCAAATGATTTGGCCTATTTCCTTTTTTTTTCCCTTTCCCAAATGGACCCTTCACAAAACAGGCAGTACACGTGTTGTGTTTCTGCAGCACTCTGATTGAATTTTTGTTACAAGAAAAGGAAGCTTACCTCATCATGCAGCTTTTTGAGGAAGTTGATTTCCTCCTGGAGTGACTCGACCTTCCGCTCCAGGTCCAGTCTGGAGAGAGCTGCATTGTCCACATCCTGTGCAGTGACACCGACGCTTTAATCAGGTGACTCGTGAAGGTGACACGAGTCTTGCATGTGCTGACATAGAAGAATAAAACGCTCTCTCACATGCTGCAAAGAGCCCAACACGCCCACTGACACAAACGCTCCAATGTCTGCCCGGGGAAGGTCACAAACGCATGGATCCAATAAAAAAAAATAGCTGCAGGCGCATGATGGGTGGGGGCCGCCCTAGTGTTGAGCGTCCCGCCTGTCACACGGGAGACCGGGGTTCGGGAGATACACATGTATATATTCTACTTTGTAAGTCGCTTTGGATAAAAGCGTTTGCTAGATGCATAAAAATAAACGTGATGTGTGTCACGTCAGATGCTGCGAACAGATGAGTATGTGTTATCCTCTGATCCGAGATGCAGCTATGAAGTCAGTCTAATTGTACCTTTAACCAACACATTTCTTTAAAAAGGTTTGATAGTTACTAAACCTTTCTGAAAGATGTTAGAAAAACATGATTAGCGCACAAAACATGATGCCCTTCTTATAAGTATAATATAAAATAGTTGTCCAAATTGATCATTTATGTAAGAACGCTTTCCCCATTGTGATGTAGTTTTCTCGAAATAGCCTGATGCCATCTTAATTAAATCATTTCAAATCCAAGGATACTCAACTGAAATGGCTTGTTTCAGGAGAAAAATGGTGCAATAGAGCCTTTTTTTAAACTTTTTCCATATTTCTCTTTGATTAAAATAAAGGAGGTGGTGATGTAAACCAAGAATCACACATCACGATTCCAATTTTGAACCCCATTTGTTTTTACTGAATTCTTAAAGTGGAATTTTTCTCCCTAATTCTTCTCTAGATAAAACAATCAATAGTGATACATTCCATTGTGCTAGTAGTATCCCACTGTAGATTTAATTTTTTTCCCAACTCTTATACATACATACATACATACATACATACATACATACAGGCTTTGGTGGCACTACATTGCATTGTGACGGCATTGGCAGGCTGGTAATTGAGGTATCAGCAAATGAAGCAGCTTTGCCCCTGCACTAATGCCCCAAACAAAGTGTGCTATTCAGCAGGGTTTCCCAAACAAGCCCAAGGCTGGTAGAGTGACTGTCTGCCTGACTGAGCAAGAGCCGGCTGCAGGCGCAGCATTGTTGTCTGTGTGCCATCGAGGCGGGACATGGGCACTTCCTTCCTGCCATTCATACTGACAGGACCATGATCATACAACTCAGGACCCATAAAATCTATATTTATTTTAAACCGGAGGTCTAAAATTAGACTCAATCATTTTTGTATGCTGGCATCCATTTGAAAAAATTCAAATGGATTAGGAAATGATCTCTGACAAGTCCACAAAAAGCGATTCTTCTGTGAGAGCGTTCTCTCGGAGTGAGACGGCCGCATCACATGGTGGCTCGTCTTCTCGCTCTGATAACCGCACTGGATCCACACTGCTGTCGCGCTGGTGTCCAGCTCATTCACAGTGACCAGTCAGACTTAAAAGATCTCCTCCCATTGCAGGCCTGATTTAACTCAACCAGAACGTAGCCTTTTGTACTAAGCCAGAGACAGTCTTTGCTTCATAGCTGTTTTGGACCACCTCTAGAATCTGTGGTGCCATCAAAAGGATACATTCTTGTCTGTTTAGATTGAGGTATAATATACAGATATTTACATTAAGAGAAAAGCGGCAGATTCACCTAAATCACCTGAAGGTTTTCTAATATGAATAGCTTACTTCTATCTAATGATTTTCTAGTTCTGAGTTGGTGACCGGGCGGGGTTGAGGGGCCATCAGCGATCTGAAGTTACAGCAATTTTCTTTTCATTAACTCTATGCAGAAGGATGCGGCAAAAAAAAAGAAAAAAAAAACAGTTTTGTAATGCGTCAACAGCGTGACCTCTATCTTACTGTACCTGTCTAAAGCTCTGCATGTTTCCCTCTGCCTCCTCCCGTTGGTAGATTTCATCCTGTAACCTGCAAACACACAAAAAGCAGTTTCATTCTGAGCAAACGTGTGGAGTCGCTCCCTGAGTTGCTTTTATTGCCTTTCCAGCTTTTTTTCTGCCATCACTCGTTGCCTGGGGGAACGTGCATTGTGAAGAAGTGACAGACATTTCCTAGAATAAGATGGTGCAGTCTTAAGACAGCAAAGGAATAGCCCAAATAATGTTTAAAATTACAGGGAAATAATAAAAAACAACGCCCAGACTGATGAGCCAAAGACAGAAAATCTGACTCTGATGAGGCCTATATACACATAATAAGAATAACAATAACAATAACAATGAGGAGTTGAGTATATATTTAAAAAAATACACTTTCCATCAATGTCTCATTTAAATGTATTTAGAAATAGACTCCTCATGACTCTATTTTCTAAATACATTTATAAGAATAAGAATAAGAATGGTTTTAAGGCTTGAAAACCAGCCACGCCTCCTACTTCTCCCTCAGCCTGTCGATGTCGTCCGCCAGGTTGTCCCGGTGGACCTCCACCCGGGCCTTCTCGTTGGTCAGCTGGTCCACCTGGCGCCGGAGCTCCCGCATCTCGTCCTCGTACAGATCTCCCACCCGGGACGTGCCTTTGCCCCGCAGCTGCTCCAGCTCCGCCAGCAGGATCTTGTTCTGCTGCTCCAGGAAGCGCACCTTCTCGATGTAGCTGGCGAAGCGGTCGTTGAGGGACTGCATCTGCGCCTTCTCGCTGGTGCGCGTCGTGATGAACTCGCTGTTTATGGCGTCGGACAGGGAGAAGTCCAGGTTCTCGGAGGACAGCCGGGGCATGGCCGCGCTGCTCTGGAGCCTGTGGGTCTTCACGGCGTACATGGCCGGGGCGGAGGAGAGCCCGAAGGAGACCCGGGAGGAGCGCACCGGCCTGGAGAACTGGCGGCCGGAGTGGATGCTCCTGGTCGGGGTTCTGTCTCCGCCGAACATCTTTTTGTAAGAAGAATGCGGAGCTGATCTGTAGGACATCTTGCCGATCTCTTTTTTTGTATACCGTCAGCTACGAAAGGCAACGTGATCTGGGTTCGCTGTGCTCACGGCAGCATCAGAGGAGTGCGCCTGGAAAGGCGTTTCCTGGACCATTACTTATTTATAGTCTCCTCCTCATGCAAATAACCAAAAGGTGACTTGAGTGGCACCCCGTAAACCCAATCCTAAATCGGATCTCACACACACGTTTGATAACGTCCGTACACACAAATTCTGGATCGCTGTTATTTGCCTATAAACAAGAACATTTACCATCTGTTCCCATGGCTCTTATATTCAAGAGCAAGTCCTACTGAATTCAATGTATTTTTTTCTGAGAGACACTGATTCATAATTGTAAAGATTTCATTCCTGAGGAGTCTATTTTTAAATACATTTAGATGAGACATTGATGGAAAGTGTATTTATTTTATACTGGCTCAAGATAATAATAAAAAAAATCTCTCAACTCTATAAAAACCCAGGCAGTTTCATACTTTTTTGTTTGTCTTTGTGTATCCTGTTGTTTTATGTTGTGTCACAAGACTGAAATATCACCCAACTGAGTAATAGTTTATCTATTTCAGTGCATGCTTTTCCTCAGTGTGACTGTGTCAGAGCGTATTATCGATGCATTCTTTTGCAGTGTGGGGGTTTCTGGGGTGAGTAATCAAAAAATTATAAAGTATGTGAATATCAGCAGTTTTTCCATTGTCAATCAGTACAATCAGGACATGGCAGATTTTGCATGATCTCACAGTAATCCTCCAAGAGACAGTTGGTTTTGGTGGGAAACAATAGCTTCTTTGCTGAAGCCTTGTGACATGTCTGAGATTTTTTATTTATCACCCTTTCCTTATACAGATCTGCAATAGAAAAGAACACATATGGGATTTGTTTCAATGGACTCAGTTTTATTTCCAATATTTTCTCCTTCCTCTGCCGTTTCCCCCATCTCAGCACACAGGGGCTGGTACAGAGCTGTCAGTGCTGCAGTGCTGCTGACTTGCTGAGATTTAGTGATTCTGAGGGCAGACGCAGAGCAGCAGAGCTGAGCCAGTGATACTCTACACCTTCAAATTGGACCGCTTTTGCAGGGCGTGTTTAACTGGGCAAAGAGCCAGGCAGTGGGATCTTTCTTTTTTATTTTCGGTCACTTTCGCTCAGCGGAGTTTGTCCCATTTGGAGTCATTGGATGTGGGGGATTGCAGTGACTTTGAGCTGGCACTGTGCCGCTGATAAATGACTCAGGGAGACTCAAGGTGTTGGCCTCATTTCTGTAAGGCAGAAGATGTACTATCCCTCACTTATAAGGTTTTATGTTTCAGAACATAACAATACCTTAATATATATTACATGATTAATATAAAGTCTTAATTATGGTAGATGAGACATCAGACAACCAACGGCACATCAAAACAGTGTCTGAGAAAACTGTGTACACTTCATGATACAACTAGGACTCAACAGGAATACCTTGAAGGTATGTTTCCGCTGTGATGTTATCAGTCTCCTGCGTTGTTACTTCAGTGGATGGAGATTTTCATCTTTCCTGAGGTCTATCCACACCGTTTTAATTAAGTGGTAATCTTGACTTTGTCGTGGTCACTTCAATACCTCTTACTCTTTTTCAGACATTATCTTTCAGATTTGTTGCTTTGCTTATTTTCATCTTGCATGACCCCAAACATCTGCTTGGAGACAGATGAGCTCCCATCTTACTGTCCGTAGCATACAGCTCCAGACCCAGCAAAACTCATCACTCTGCCACTACTGTGTTTGAGATCTTGGAAGAGGTTCTTCTTCATCTCCACTTTAGTATTATCGTTCGTTTGTCTGGATGTAACTTTGAACTTTAACATGCTGACTGAGGTTCCAGACCTTGGGCTGAATGTTCTGGGAAGATTGTTTTAAATGTTGAAGAAGCGACTAAGATGACTTAATATCACATATATATTTACATATTAACAACTACAATATAGAATTTTAATGACATATTATATTACTTTCTTGCAGGAAGGATGAATCTTAAACATGTGAGCAGCACTGGTTGGTAGCCTGTCCAGACAGAACATGTTCTATGTGCTTCTGTGTAAAAACTGTGTATTCTAAATGTAACTGATCAGTCAGGTCATTGGACATAGATATAGAGCTGTGTAATATTTCAGTACTTATCTTTAAATGAGAAACAAAAATTAAGCAAAAAACAAAAATAGCATGAAAAAAGGAAATAATAAGCAGCTTAGTGTAGTTTTGATACAAAAGACTGCTGAGAATTTAAAAAACTGAAAGATAAAAGGCAGAATTCAGGAAAATACCAGCAAGAAAGGGCTGCAGCAATGAAACCCTTTACCACTCTGATATCACATTAATAAATTCAGTAGTACCAGCAGAACATAAAGGCCCAATCATTTAGTCTTAAAGCTATTTTTGCACACAAATCTGTTCTTCACATCTGTGAAACTGCCCTGTTTAGAGCTAGAGTGCCGTCAAAAGTAACCTGCTGCTACGAGCATCGAACTGTTTAGGTAAGATTTTTTTTAACATGCTTTTTCCAAAGGGCAGGTGGTACTATGTGGGCCATACAGCTTCTCCTGGAACAGCAAATAGTGGGGTCCATGTTAAAAACTGTCCCGGGGAAATCCACATTAAAAACATCCCCTAAGAGGCAGGGGTGGGGGCTGTGAAAATTCCTGCCCTCAAGCCCCATTATGAGGCCGCTGTGTTAGGGTTGGCCACAGAGACAGACAGAGGAGGCCGGGATTGTCACAGACAGAGCAGGGATTGTGTATTGCTGATCTGTCACCTCACTGCAGCAACAGAATGCAGACAGCAGGCCGTAATTATTGTCTGTAGCCTGGCGTTTGCTGGTGCCACAGTTTGGGTCGAATGGCTCCCATCCTTGGCAGAGCATGGAATTTATCATTCATTCATTTTATTTATGTTGCTGATTAAAAGGGGGAATGCAAGAAGAATCAAATAAGACCCCACGTTAATCAAGTTCCGTCGGCCTGTAATGGGACAAGGAGGGAAACAGATCTTCTCTGGGTGTCATCACTTCAAAACCGCAGGCACTGTGCAGCAAAAGGCATCCTTTGTTGCATCTCCCATGACTGTGAATCACCAACCCGTGCCCAAAGTAGCCATGGCAATGGTCTCCAACATCATTTTACAGACATAAAACTTAGAAAGAGACAAATACAGAGAGAGCACTGTTCCAAAGCAAATGGAGTTATTAAATGTGTTTAATCACAAATGCTCAACGCAAAGTGTATCTTTTTCCTTTTTTATTATTTTTTTTCGTCGTGTTGGTTTCCCATGTGTTTTGTGTTTTTGGTCTGATTAATTAGGGAACCTCTTTTTATGGGCCAACACAAAGCAGGTTGGGTGCAGGGGGTGTCGCAGCACCATTCGCCTCATTGGGTGCATAAAGACTAGATCGACGTAAATCTCAAGGTGACAAAGACAGGTAGTAAATCACTGCCAGAGGCCTTCTGTGGCTTTTTATAAGGTCAGTGTGCAGCGGTCATGTTATTTCCATTGGTGGAGAGGGAATAAGTTCATTTACTTAAGGGCACCACTTGTGTTTTACTTATTTCTACTTCTATTGTATTTTACCACAGATCTGCCGCAATCCTGTAAATATTACGGAAATTGGCTGAAAATGAGGTTAAGGTTTTGTGTCCCCACACACAAAACCTTAACTTGATTTTCTTTAGGTTCAAAAGGAGGCAAAGTAACCGTCCAAACTGTTACAACTGATAGGTTTGCAGATTTCTCGGACTTTGTTTTTCTCCTTTCTTTATTTCTGATTTTATCTTTTCCTTACAATTAATGTTATCATGACAAGAGCTAACAGCTCTGAATTCTAAGGAAAATCATCAGAAGACAATAATGACTTAAAAAAAACTGTAAATGTTGGATGCTGAAATATGCTTTCCAATGTTAGTGAACAATAACAACAAACATAACCTGAGCAGTTGAACTTTCAATGTTTTTTTATTCAAATACAGTAAACATAGAAAGAAATCTCAGGTCTGAAAATCTTATTTTCCTTTTCAACATTTTCTTGAATGTTTTATTAAACCTGGTTTAATTGAACTGACAATATGTCGTCAACTTATACATGAACTTTTGGTTTAGCATATTTTTAGTGTTAGTTTTTTCTGTTTTTTTGTGCTTGTTTTCGGTTTCTTTCTGTTTTCAAGAGCATACTGGCCTTTATCTCTTAGTCGTAAGCAAAATGAGCAGAGCTGGGACAATTGCTCCCTTTGGAGAGCAGGGCTTCATCTGGATACCTTTGGACCATAGTAACAACAGTGGAATTAAACTGCTGGGGCTGTTTTCCAGATCTCCATAGTGACTGGCAAAACCTTTGGAAATTATCCAGGATGGTCACTTTGTAAAGACCTTTCACTTGCTTGCTGTCTTTGTCTCCCGCTTTGTTTGTCTCACTCTGCGTATGTGTGTGTGCTCACGGGGAGCGATTCGGTCAGGAGCAGGCAGGGGAAACACCCCCTCGCAAACTAACAGCCCGAGCATTTTGCAACCTTTCCCCTTCCATTACTACGAAGCTGCCACATCTAAGTATCGTCAAATAGGTGGGATAAAACTGTCAAAACGAATCGTCCTCAACACACATTAGTTCCTGCTGTCATCTGGCCTTTCCTTTTCAAAGGGAAAACTCTTAGGTCATATTTAATCTAAACCACTCCATCATCGAGGAATTTGTCATCTGTTGCTTGAACATGCCTGACTGGATCACGACACATAACTGACACCATCTGACTGCTGAAGAAGACACTCCTTCTCTCTTCATCTGCTGAAAATGAGGGTAGACAAACACAAATGAAGAAGAAAAGCATACTTTGCTGACACACTGTTTTCAGATCCCTTCCTTTTATTGTTTTGGTTTTTCAGATTTTTGAAAATCAACATCTTTTTAAAAATTGGAAACAAACATACTGATACAAGTAAGATTTATATAAAATGGTTCCACAATCATTCATGGAATTCATATTTCAAGTTTTCCCAAGCAGCCAGAGTTCTTCCTCAAAGTAAGAAAATAAAAGAAAAATATATACTTCATAGAAATGTGGGGATTTTGAAAAAATAACTGATAATAAAGAGAAAATGTCATCAGCATAGAATTTTAAGTCATGAAACGATGATTACTGAATAAACAGATTCTTCTATCATTTTTAGGGAGAACCAAACTGAGCCCTTAATCAAGTTTGATAAACTGATGAGGAGCTAATTATTAAGTCTACAGGTCAGAGATAAACTGCTTTCTTTTCTTTCCTTTTCTCTCAAGGAAATTTATTTCCTTTCAGTTCAGTTAAGTTGAAAAAATACAGAATTTAGTTTAAAAGCATTTAAACTATCTCCGTTCTGAGTGCATTTTCTGATGATTAAATAACTCCTTTTACCATTGGATTTTTTATTTAGTTACATTTTATTGAGAGTATGAATAGTCTTAAGACACTTTCCACAGTACGATGAAGTCTCTGTAAGATCACATACAAACCAGTGGCGTGGCTCTCAGTGAGCACACAATGAGAGAATATTAATTGCTTTTAAGAGAGGAAACCTCCAACAAATCCACACTCATGGAGGGTGGCCTTCTTACCAGCTGAGGTGAGGAGGCAGTGGAGGGAAGTTGGGTATAGATAGCTCAAAGAAAGGAAATGTTTACATAATCCAACTCTGTTTTCAATCAAGCTACCAATCAAGGAATATGAACACATTCTTTTAAGCTACATCCATGGTCTTTCATACACATGTACTTGACATTTGTAGTGATCTAAAATAAATGAATGAATGAATTAAATATATACAAATACATCTTTTTTTGGCAGATGCAGATGCAGATTTCAGAAGACATTAGTGGCATTTTGTAATAATGATACATTCTTATAGAATTTGAAACCATTCAGGAAACGGCAGTGAAGTTAATCTTTGTATAAAAATATTTTTGATTATATTTCAACATAAATAAGAGGCTCTCCTCAGTCACCAATACACATCTATGAGGTTATTGTTGATAAGAAGGTAACCTAATAGAAACATTTCTAGCAGCATCACAGGACAAAAAAAATGACATATAGCACATTCAATTTCTGTGAAAAATAGTGTCCTGCCTCTATAATATTGGGCAGTACTGGCTACATCTCAATTGAAGAGAGTCCAGAGAGTCTTGTGCCTGCAGTGCGACCTGTTCCCCACCAGAGGTCCTTCCCTCCTGTGTCACAGCGGAGGTCTGACACTCAGGATGCACTTTTCTGTCAGGGATTTTAAACTCGACGGATGCGAACGATGACATGCTGCCATTTCTGTTTGCCCAGGTTTTGGAAGTGTCAACCACAGGCGACACCCTGACGCCTCTTCCTTTCACGCTGATCAGATCATGCTTTCCACTTCTGATGCTGGAGTCGTCGAAGAAGGGGTCGGAGTCACTTCCGTGTGGCATGTTGTAGTAGGTGCACTTTGGAGTTAGAGGCTTTGCCATGTCCTCAAGCTCTGATGAAGAAATGGCTACGAGGGGACTGTGCTGGATTTTAGAGTGAGGAGGGGTATCTTCGCTCGTGTTCTCCTGACCTGTGTCCATGGATGTGCTATCTACGTCTCCATACATTCCCACAGCCACTGGAGGTGATTTTCTTATCAAATGGTTCTCTTTTAGGAGCCATCTCCCTCTATCAATTAAAACCCCATCACCTGAGTCTTTATCAGAGGTGAACGAAATACTTTGTACGTTGTGTGTGTCAGGCTCAGCGACTGCTTTTAAGGAGCTTGCAGTACTGAGATGAGAAAGATCTTCCCTGGAGTCTTTAATGCCTGTGTCGGTGGAAGAAAAACTCCTGTCACAGGAGTTGTGCAACGCGTCTGAGCTATTTGCCTCGGACAGTTTTGAGCCCTCCGGCTCTAAATTTGATCTCTCAATCATTGCTGAATGGGGGTGTGCTGGAAAATGTCTCCCCAAAACCTCTTCTCCACTCTCCGAGGCAATTTCTAAGGACTCCTGAGTTTTGTATCCTCCACTTTCTGATGTTTCTGGCCTATAATCAGATAGATCAGAAGTAATTGGACTAGGGAGACATTTCAAACCATAAGAGCTATCCTTTCTGCCTTTTGGCATCATATTCTGTTTTGTTTGTACAACTCGGGCATTCTCAGGCTCGATCCTGACTTTGCCCTGAGTGTCGTATGTGAAGATAAGTGCACAGGACTGGAGGGCATCATTCACGAAGTCTAGTAATTCCTGGGATATTTCCACCGGATGTGAAGAACTGTTGCTGCTGCCCTCACACTCCTCCCCTCCCTCGTCTGTTCCCTGAGCACTCTCTGAGCCTTTGTCGTCCTCACACTGGCCCTCAGAAGAGTATTTGGTTGGAGATTCTGTGCTATGTTTGGATTTTTCCTCATCAGAGCGACAACCGGGCTGCTGAAAACAAGGGGCCTCTTCTACACTTTTACAATCCTCATCATCAGCAGAACTGTTCGCATCTTCAGAAGCATTTCCCATCTCATCCGTTGAGTGAGCCTCCACCTGCTTTAATCCCTCATCTGACATATTTTCTTCATCAACATCCTCCTCTTCCTCCTCATCATCTCCAATCTGCTCTACTGACATGTTTTCTTCAACCTCTAACTCATCTATGACTTCTTTCTCTTCTTCTGATTCTTCCTTCAGACAACAAACTGTTTTCTCAAGAGCTCTTCTGCTCTCTCCGACCACATCACAGTTTTCTTCTTCTCCATCTTCATCTGTATAACTGTCCTCCTTTTCTCTTTCTTCCTGTTTCTCACTGTTTTCTTCACCACCATTTTCCTCTCCAACTGTTCCTACAAACTGCTCTTTCTCTTCTTCTTTTTCATCAACATCAGTCTCGCTTTCCACAGTTTTCTCCTCAATAACCTCCTCTTCAACATCTTTCTCAGTGATTTGGTCCGTTTCTTCCTCCTCCTGCTCTTCTTCCTCTTCTTGCCCCTCTTCCGCATCTTCATCAATAATTCCAGCATTTTCCTCAATACCATGTTTCACATCCTCTTCTGCATCCTCAGGATCTTCTTCTCCCTCCTCTATCTGCGTCATTTCAGCCTCTGCTAACTCTTCGTTTTCATCTTCCTTCTCTTCTGTCTCCACTTCCACACTTTTATTGTCCTCCTCAGTGTCTTCAGCACCCTGTCTCTCATCTGTATCTTCACCACTGTTGTCCTCCCCTGTTTCCTCGCCCACTGATCTTTCAGCTTTCCCTTCGGATTCCTCTTTTTCCAATGTGTCTAATCTCTCCCCCACCTCCTCTTCATCTCCTGTCATCTCTCCCTCTGTTCCCTCCAGGACTTTCTCAATAGATTCTGTGTCAGATTCTTTGTCTTCCTCTCCATCCCCTTCTTCTTCATTATTTTCCTCTTCCTCTATTACCCCCTCTTCATAATCTTTCTCATTAACTTGTTCTTGATAGTCATTCTCGTCATCCGCTTCTAAATCTGCTATGTATTCAGGTTCTTTGTCCTCTGCTCGCTCTACTGTGTTCTCCTCAACTTTTGATGGATCACTGCTTTCTGTCTGTAACTCCTCGCCATCTTTAGGATCCTCATTAGCCTGTGTGGCCTCAGTTATGTCCTCAAGCGTATTATCAAGCTCTTTTGTGTCATCTGTGCAGTCTTTGACAAACTGTTCCACTTCGTCCTCCGTTTCCGACTGGTTTATAACATTTTCAACGTATGTGCTCTCCTCGACAGGGTAAAAGCTTTTGACCTGTTGGATTGTTGAGGTAATCTCTTCTCTGAGGTCTTGTGGCATGTTCAACTCATCCATCAGTTCATTAAGTTGCAGATCCTGATTTTCAAACACATCGCCACCCTCTGACATGACATCTAATGCAAACTCCGTCTCTGACACTCGAGGGGAAAGAGGTTCACTTTCAAGCCTTTCCCGCAAAATGCGGAAATCGTTCCACCGCTCTCTTAGCTGGGAAGAAGCTCTGCTTTGCAAATCTGTCAGACTCGCTCTCTGATCTTCCTCATCTTCAATTGTAGATATTTTCTGTATAGATTCCATCATCAGCATGGCTTCCGAAGTGCTTGCCGACTGGTTTCCCTCTCCAGAGCCTTTCAGGTTGTCTCTCAAAGTCATGACTGACAGGAATGACAGCAGGGCTTTGCATGATGAGCCGAACACTGACGTCACTTGTGTTGAGAAATTAGGAACGCTGTTGGAATTCTGAAGAGTTGACGCTGTGTTGCTGGTAGATGCTCTTCTGATACACTGGATAGACGAACAAAGCTGCCGAAGGACAGGTTTTATCTTCGCTTTGGGGTTTAAAACGTTGGGCGTGGATATCTCGCTGTCAGTGGGACCAATGGCCTCTGCCGATTTGTGCAACCTCAGCGTGTCCTCCTGGTGCACGGGGTCAGATCGGACACTCGGCATTGACACACATAAACCTCGCGAGATATGATCAATGGGCAGCAGAGCTGATGGTGGACCCTCGCGGTAAAGAGGGACTGAGAGACAAGAGGATGATTTCTTCATAGTTTCATTTGAATGGCTCTGGCATTCGTTTACTTCATCCGATTCAGAGTCATCGCCTAACTTAAATATGACCTTTGTCCGAGTTTCCGCTCCGTCCACGATTTCCTCCTCTATGTGTGGCACTTGGTCTGGGCTGACTTTCTCCAACCAGCTTTCAACATACTGGTGGATTTCAGAAGGGGTGGGGTTGAGAGAAGGCATCGAACCACTCTCACTCAGCTCTAAAGACTTTTTGGGTGGTGACAGACTATATTCTATCATGGATTTTGGCTTGCTGATTGTCTTCTTGCCTGCGGAAAGAGCTCTTTTCATTTCTAAAATGTCTGACATGTTCTTCTTCATTTGAGGTCTTCCTGTTGGAGTATTTACATTGTATCCATTGTCTTTACGGGTGGATTTATTTGCATTTTGTTTCTGAGATGGAGTTTTTCTAACGTTTTCAGAGCTAACTAATGAGGCTGAGTTACTCCTGGAGATTTTTTTATCCTTAACTATTTTTTTAGACTGAGGCTTTTCCGCACTGCTCTTTAGACTACTTTTAGAACTTTTTAATGAATTCACACTTTTTTTCCCCACACTGATGTCACTGCTAAGTTTGTCAGTTGATGAATATTTGCTGTGTTTAGAGGAGGTAACGATGCTTTCCTGCTGTTTTTTAGCCGTCCTGCTTGTTGAAGCTGCATTACTGGGGTTCCTACTTGGTTGTATGTGTTTTTTCTTCTTGCTTCTAGGAGCGCTGTCCTCTCTATCTGTGTCCAGGTTTTCTGTGTTGACTGCCGCTTGGGCGTCATTCTCCACCAGTGAAGTTAAATTGTTTGTAACCTGGTGTGTCAGAGATTCTGGCTCTGATGAAAGTGATAGCATCTCTTCTTTCTGCTTCTGTAGTGACTCAGCAGTGGGTGGCTGCCAGTTACAATCTATATCACAATCATTGCTGGATGAGGGAGGCCTTGAGTCTGTGCCCGATTTGCTTTCAGCTGCAGGAGGGGAGCCTTGTAAAGACGCACCTTCTACACTGTATTCGTCATTTGCAACGTAGTTGTCAAAGCAGCCTTGGCTCTCATAAATGTGCATCACAGTCTCTGTAACCTCCATGCCATCATTCTGTATCTGAAGCACCTCAGCCACCCCGGATGACCTGAGGGAGGAGCGGTTGTTGTTATTGGCTCCTGCTGACGCGATTTTCCGAGGCTTTGGGATCGGTCGATTGCTGCTGCTGCTGTGCCTGACAACACAGTATCCCTCGGTTGTATCGCCATCAGCTGTCCTCTCCATGTAGGAGTAATGCCCCAGGGTGCTCTCTTGAACCCCTGTTTCTGTAATCATTTTCACACTCTCAACTGAGGTTTTCTTCTTAACATGTCGAGGGCCTGGTGTAGGAGTTCGCTTGAGGCTTGTTTTGGCTTTACCCGAAGCTGTTGAAGAGTAGCCTTCATACAATCGCTCCTCATCAAAGCCAAGACCCTTTCCAGCTCCATCATGGTAATTCTCCTCTTTCCTTTCATCCTCTTTAATGGTTGGAGAATCTTTGGCAACAGCGTTGTTTGAGTCAGGTGAGCTGTTGCCTGACCCAGACACAGAGGCACAGACCGTCCTCTTGTTAAGGCTAGAGCGGCTGAGTGTGGTCGTCCATTGGAGCATTTCCTCCTCCTTAATGGTCAGATGAACCTTCATCTCCACAGTCATGCTACCATCTTGATTAATACGGAAAGACTTTTCGATGTCATCATCATGTGGTACAATCGAAGTCTGACGCTGATCATCTGCCCCCCGAGTTCCACAAGCTTCCATCGGTGCATGATGCTGGCTGGCCTCTGTTTCAAAAGATCCATTGTGGTCATGCAGATGGTCACTCATGTTTCCATTCTGAGATTTGGCTATCTGGTTGACGATGTATCTTTCTGAAGACAGGGAGAAGTTCCTTGAGCCTCTTCCACTTGAGAAAGATTTATTCCCCTCTTTTGTCGGCAGGTAGGGCACACAAACAGAAAAGGGTTAGAATGATTACCTCGAAAATATACTTCAGTTGTTATGCTAAATCTGTTTGTTTTGTAACAAGTTTGCAGTAAATTTGTCACCAACAATTGTTGCATCTCATTTTTTTAAAAATCCTTTGGTTTGCATGCAAATTGTGGGATGAAGTAACACAGACTTATCAAGACAAAATCAAGGTAGCGTTGATATAACGTTAAACTTTAAGACTGTGGTCTAAACATTTAAATAAGTTTAGATAAAGTAATGAAAATGAACCCTAATTTGTGACTCATCTATTATTATTAACAACACTTACTGCTTCTTGACGGAAGTGTTGGCGGTTCCACATTCTCTATGTACATGATCTGAGCATTCTGGCCTGCTGTGTGAAAACTGTAGTTTCCTAATTTGAAGGGCTCGTTGCCTGCAGCCACAACCACTCCAGAGCACAAGATAAGGCCCGAAAGACCATCAACCTGAAAGGAAATAAAAGGGATATAATGCATCAATTTAAAATAGAAATACAGCTGTGGTCACTGTAAACCATGTCACACTAATAAAGCAACTGTTTTTATTTTTGGACACTTGAATTCTTTCCTCTACCTCAGTTAACTAAATCACTGTGCAAGCACTATCTTTTGTTTATGCCAGACTTCATCATGAAACGGGGCATTGGCAACTAATGGGTTGGTCAAATTTGAAGGTTCTCACAACGTTTAATTGGTGGCTTATTGCTCTTAAAGGATTAATGGAAACTCAACAGGGGGCAGCTATGTCAACATCGCTTCTCAGAACTTCTTGGAATACTTTATACCACGAATAGCAAAAAAGGAAAATCCCGCCTTTTTGTTCTTGTATTTTCAATGAAAGCATATGTGCAGCTTGGCTTGATAGTCAAACTTTATACATTTATAAAAGTCAATTCGAAACTGTAAAAGTTCCCTGTGGCCTTCAGCCCTCCGTCAGATCTAGGACTGCGTTCAAACAATGCCTCTAAAACGGGAAGTGTAGCTGTTTTTGAGCCTTACAGTATACTATCCTGTCTGTGTGAACCAGACATACCTTTGCTCAGTATAGCATAGGACTCTTTAGAAAATAAGCCCATTACGGATGACAGCAGAAGCTCCACTGGCTTACAAAGCGTGGAGCTGATAAGAAAAGGCATAATATGATTTCCTGATCTGAATATATGTTTATTGCTTATTCATCCTTCTTTAACAATAATAATATGAAAAAACAATAAACAAATCTTTTTTTTCATGAATGCAAATAAAAAATATTGTTAAGGACTCAGAATTAATTAAATGTTGAATCATTTCTTCCTTAATTAATAAAGCATCATGGGTGTATGCACATCCTTTACTATAACCTAATGTTTTATCAGGGTTGAGGGTCTACAAACACACAGATTTCCCACGCCACTAGCTATCCAAAAATACGTCTGTCTCAACTTATTTACTTGTTCCACAAGTATCAATTCAATGATTTCCAACTGAAAATAAAACATTAGGTTATAGTAAAGGATGTGCATACACCCATGATGCTTTATTAATTAAGGAAGAAATGATTCAACATTTAATTAATTCTAAGGATATCCAAGTAAAAAGGAGTTAATGGAAAGCAAACATGGAAGCCATTACATAGAAAAAAGCCAAAGCCTGTTCAGAAACCTACCAAACCTCATTGGATTTATTGCTCGTACGAGAAACATTCATAGTTTAATCAGAAGACTGATTTTGTAGACCCTCAACCCTGATATCTTCATCTAAATCCAGCATGCCTGAGGTTGAAATATAATTTTCAAACATTCCCATCCATTCAAAAAACTTTCATGAAACTAAAAGAAAAGAAAAATAGGATAATCCTGAAAATAACTTTATTTTTACTTTCCATTCTCGTATAGTGTTGAACTTCTTTTGAAACAATCAAAACATTAAATTTACCCCCCTGCCTTCTTATCACTTCGATACATCGATATGGAACCAAAGCACATCATTGTCACCCTATTGTCAATTTATCAACCACTTACTCTTCTGCCGTCTGTGGAGTAGAGTTTCAGCACTGGAAACTGCAGGATCTGAGACAAATAATCCAGCAGAGCATCAAATGTTGGCGCTATTCTTCTCTGCAACACGACCGTGCGTTTGACAGAAGGGTCTCTGTTTTTGATAACCACGAGCTTCTTTGGTGTCTTTACGGCCACCCTTTCGGTGACCTTTGCCGGCCTGTTGGCTATATTTTTTCCTTTACCAAGTTGGCCCAATCTGAGTCCTTGCCGCCTTCGACGCCCTACACTGAGCGGTCTCGTGGTATTCCATGGAACCTGCCGCCGGTTGACCTCTTCCAGGTTTAGAGGTTTCACACGCTTCTGATCAGAGCACACATAAGCTCCCCCATCCTGCAAGTCATCCAGAGCTTTGATGAAGTGAGTTCCACGAGGTGTGGTGATGGTCCTAACTCCAAAGGGCAGAGGCACTTTCTTGGACAGAGCATCCAGCAGAGCATCAAATGTCTTGAAGGTGCGGGCAGTAATGATCATGCGGTGCCCATTGAATGTATAGTCTCCACTTCTGTAGAAGCATACTCGTTTCGAAGTTGAAGGCTCAGGGATGGACTGCAGAGGTCTGGATGGTAACGTCTGCCCACTGTCAGAGGAAAGCCCCTGGACCACCGGGTCCTGGGTGGGTGTGTTGCTCATTTTCTGTAAAAGATGAATAAATGAATAAATGAATGAATAAATAAATAAATAAATAAATAAATAAATAAATGAATAAATAAATAAATAAATAAATAAATAAATAAGAGAATACTTTGCTAAACATTAGCACAAATGAAGACTTCCTCAACATTTTAAACTGTTTTTCTTTGTTTAGATGAGGACTACAGTTTTGTGGTATGTTTGGTTCATTTGCAACACAGGAATTAAGATGTCAGTTATATTTGGTGTTTCTTTTAACAAACATATGTTATATTTGTGTTGAATACCTAAAATTACAATTAAAATTACAGTTCCGCCCATGTTACAACCAAACTGACTTTATAAATGAATATATCATTGATATTAATCAAAATCATTATTGTAGGAAACTGTCACTATTACATTTTTTTTTTATTGCTGGGTTTTTTGTTTGTTGGGGGAGGTTATTCAATTGTTTCATTTTTATTTTACAGACAATGTCCAAACTTTGTCCAAACAACCTACAGTTTTTTTTTTGTTTTTTTTTTACAGAACAGTTACTTTCTCTCTGCAGGGTCATGAATCGCTTCAATACTTTTCATATAAGTAAGATGTACTAAATGATAAACATTTCTCAATACAAGAAAGCATTTATTGAACAACGTCATCATCTCAATGAAAATATAATATTTATAATATACGAGCATTTTAAACAAACCCTGAACATCACACAGTACACGCCACAAAGAAAGACTTAGACCTGAACTGTTGAATCGCAGTGCTTCACAGTTAATTAGCCGTGTCGAACAGCCTTTATCATTTTAATGATTTGAATGATAACAAACATGTAGCTGTTGCTGAACCAGAACCTGAATTTAGATTAGTCTAAAATGGTTGAGGTGTCCGTACACTGAAGAGTTTTTCTGTTTTAGGGAAATCTGTGGTTCTTGTTTTGCATCTTAAAAGCTTTTATATATGAATATAAGTCTACAGTACAAAAAAAAGATACAATGTCGTGACCAAATCCAATTAACTACCAAACTAATAAGTGTTCATGGTGAATGGTATGTCTAAGTGAAAGTAAACCCAGGCCCCACACACTGACATTCCACAAGCTACTCAGACAAAATACTTCCTGTATTGCAAAATAAATCAATAAAAATAAAACAAACGCAAACTGATAGGATTCATATAACTTACCGTAAATCTGGCATTCCTCTTGAATTATAACAGAAAAAACAGCATAAAGTATACATCTGTTGTTGCTCCGAGCTCTGGTCAAAGCCTCTCAGCGATCTTCACAGGCTATTTTGGGACATGCAACATCATGGCCAATTTGCTTAATCTTTGCTAACACTTAATCAGCACGTAAGGTAAGAAAAACAGGAATTACACAGAACCTGTGCTGCAAGAGACTGGAAATGGTTCTCTATATTATTCTTGAATTTTTAGAGTCTGTTACTGCTTTATTTTCCTTAAGATATAGAGTGAATTTTTTCATTTATTTCCATAGAATGAACATGAATATGAATTGTTGACCATATATTTAATGGTAAAATATCCAAAAACGGTTTCTTCATTTTTTTTCCTCATTTGGTTTCTTAGTTTAACAAAAGAAGTGTTCTACTATTGTATTTACAAAAAGACAAAGTAATAATAAGCCTGAATAAATGTGTATGTGAAAGGCTAATGGTTTGCTACAATCATAGTTTTACCAGTATTGGGCAAAGGAAACTGGTCAGAGTTAGATTAAATGTTTGAGTTTAAATATACTAGTAAACCATTATAGGTCCCAGTAGATCCCACGGGTGGCTTGGGCCATTCGAATTTGCAAGGAGCCTGCATAATCAGATTTACGAGGCCTTGGCCTAATAGGGATTAGTTCAAAGATTTTACGCAGTTGCTGACAGCATGAGGCAGAAGAAGGTCTTTAGAGAGCACTTTTACCTCACAGCAGGTATTGGTAACTCCACTAGTATTTGAACATGTCGTACCTCATGCATTTCACATTGTACGTTCCCAACCATGTAAAAAAAACAACTAAAGCTATGTGATAAATGTCAATATCAGCTTTTTAAATGGAACTTAGGGTCTAAATACATTAGGAAGTTTGTATTTCTGAGGCAGTGTGCTAATTCCCAACTACCCTCGGTTGAGTGGTGGCGACTGCTTTCTACGAACATGTTCATGGCCGTGAAAGGAGGGCCTTGGCTGCTGGGAGTAAGAATGAAGATCACCTTTAATCTGGTGCAAGCAAATGTCCAAACAACTTATATATTCAGGTGTTATGCAACAATATTTTGCCAAGTGGTGATGTGCCGCGACAGTTGCCTTTATCTCTGACCTTTTGTCAATTTACCTGTGTACAACATAACCTTTAGCAATCAGCACCCTTTTCATTCTTTTATTGTTGTGCTTGATCAAGTTATTCAAATCATTTGCAATGACTTTGTAAACTTTGAGTCCCTATCTCGTCACATGTTTTGCTCTTCGGATTTGCAAGATCCAACCAGGATTTAAATGGTACATGTCACCTACAAGATCAGGCATGGACCATCATCACTATGAATTGTTAAACAATGGATGTAATTCAGTATCAGAGGAATATCCAAAGTGAATGTGTTTCATATATTTTAACACACTTTTTCATATTCTTGTTTCTTTATCTGTTGACCAATTATTATTTACACTCTCAACCCTGCTTTGCTTTGTCATCATTCTAACCTCCGTTTATGTACAAGCATTTTCAACTCATCCTCAAGCATACTTATTCATTATTCATTAGTAAAACTCTTATGAAGTTTTTATTAAGACACTGTTAGTACAATGAAAAAGTCCAACCTTTTTAAATCTTAAATTTCACAATCTACATTGTTCCTTAATGAAAGCATTATTCATACAAATGTACTATTTAATTTCATCTATGTGGGGACGTAAAAGACTAAATAGATACTAGTGACAGCAGGTACTGTTAAACAGGAGATTAAACTCACCCTGTGCGCAGGTTGTTGGCACAAGTGGCTTTTCGACGCCACCTAAAGGTAGTTTGATGTATTGCAAAAAAAATTGACATTTTGTTTTTGTAGCGGAGGGAGTCAAACATGTTTCTCCATCTATTCATTCAGAACCGAGAGACTTTTGCCGTCAAATTTAGTACACTTTTAAAGTATTCTCTTTATTTCATCATCAATTAAAAAATGCGTCAGACACTAACAGCTGAGAGTATCATCCACGATTCGGTCTCGATTGAGTCTCCCTGAACATTTTCGGGCATCGTCTACTCAGGTCTGCTACACAGCGGAGGGTCGGTGTGCGGTTCTGGTCCGCCAAGTTGAGGCCGCCGCTTTCTTCACAGTGGTGTCGTCTTTGTCGTGGAATTTCTCTTTGGGTTCAACCTTTAGATTGGGAGTCCACCCGGTTATTCACCATGGGCAAAAAGGAGGAAGAGGAGATCATCAGAATCGCGAAAAAGATGGATAAAATGGCGCAGAAGAAGAACGGGGTGAGATGTCTAAGAGGAGTGAATGCCTACCTGCCCACAGTTAGCCAACAATGCTAATGTTGATGTGTAGCTACCATGAAGCTAATGGGATGTAATGAGGCTTGATGCTAGCCAATATAGCCTGTAGTAGGTTTACACAGTATTGTCTGTGCTTTCTGTGATTATATTATCCCAATGCTCACTTGCTTACATTCAACAGTGAAATTCATTGTTAATGTTCAGATTCTGTTTTGAGATGTTAGCCGCAAACAACCAGCTTTCCTGCAAGTCTGTTTGTGTTCATAGACTTTAGCCGCAAAGTAGCCTACTAACCGCTGCTAGCCTTGGGCTTTGCAGCAATATACTAATCTGCATGTGGTCATTTTAGCTGAATGCTTATATGAAATATAAACCTTTTGAAAACACTGACAGCATGCATATTTAACACTGTGGGCATTATGGAAGCTGCTGTTCAGCTAGCTTTGTGCATCTTGGTTGCTAACCCATTAGCCACCTAGCTTCTGTAACTAGTTACTGTACCAACACTGTACAGTGGCGTGAAACACCTCGGAAGCTTTGGCTAACGATTGGGCGCAGTATTAACAATCTGATATCTTTTCTAGATCTATTAGTAGTTCAGTTATTCAACTTGTGTATATCCATGTTACACCACTTCTCACATTCGCCGCACAGCATTGTTATTGACAAAGTTTGTTCTCAACTGACAGCTCACGGTAACATAAAGATCAGTCACAGCTTTTCATATAACAAGCTGTTATACTTGACATCTTCTGATATTTCCCACCAAAAATGTTCTCATAGAGGCATGACCCTTATATATGTGAAATCTGGTTTTGCCAATTCAAAAGTTATTGTCTGTCTTTGTATGAATAAGCAGATTGATGGGTTGATCTTGTGTCCTCTGCAGGCCGGTGCTTTGGATCTATTGAAAGAGTTGCGATGTATCCCCATGACTCTGGAACTGCTTCAGGTACGTTTGACAACTTGTTCACCAGGTTGGGTGTTGCTGCTCCGAAGATCTGACACGCTGTCTTTCCACAGTCCACCAGAATTGGAATGTCCGTTAACGCCATCCGCAAGCAGAGCACAGATGAGGAGGTCACATCTCTCGCCAAGTCCTTGATCAAGTCATGGAAAAAGCTATTGGGTAATTATTGTCAGGGATGACTTGTGTTTGAATCTCAATGACTAGACGTACGTTTTGATTTCTCATCCTGGTAATATCAGTTTTGTTAATCTGTGTATTTTTATGAAATATTGTACTATGCATGTCAGAGCAGTATGCAATAAATTGCTCTCCATACATTTTTGTCCTCAGCATCGCCTTTGTTAAATTCCATCACAACCCTTTATATTTTCAAGCCAATTCATTTTGTTAAGTCAGTGTTACATCTGTTTTCGAGAGCTGACTCTAATCGGCTGTTCAGCGTAGCCAATGAGTGCACTGGAAGGGAGCCGGCAGTACAGGACAGAAGATGCATAAATATGTATGTCACACACAAGCTATCACTTTTTGTTTTTTAGTATTTAGGGTATTCAGCTCCCAAACATGAGACAATCACAACAAAGCATCCACATTGAGCGATTAAGCTGTTAATGGTTCGTCAGGAGACCAGTTTTGCATGACGTTAACCAAAAACACAGTGCCTGCTGTTTTATTCAGGTACTGTGTTTAGTGTGTGTTTCGCCTCCATCTGCAGAATCTTTAATCCTGATCTGAAGTTACAAGAAGTCTTTAGGATGTGTTCATGTACTAGTTTGTGTGAATGACAAAAGGAGGGAACCCAAAGTTTGTAGCCCAGACAACCGTGTCACATAAAACGGTCTGCAGAGACACCCTTAGTTAATGGTCATTCAGCTCTGAACCCTCCAGCCCCATGGGGTCTGGCTTTAATGTCACCTGTTACACTCCAACTTGATATTGTTTTTTTCCTCATTTCCGTCTCTTGAACTTCAGACGAGCCAGGAGGAGGAGAGAAGCCATCAGATGAGAAGAGGAAAGAACAAACAACGCCTGTGGTCTCTCCCTCTCAGGGAAGTCCAGAAGCAAAAGAAGAGAGGTAACAAGAAAAGTCTTTTTGTTTTTCCTCTAAATATTTATGCCACTACATTTACATTTTAATGTGCTTAGTTGGTTTTCACATTATAACTCCCACAGCAGCTCCAGCAGTAATTCCAGCAGCAAAAGTGAACCCACTGAGGTTTCCTCCAACACACTAATCAACAGCTTTCCTCGTGCCCCGAACACCTCGGACTCCATCAGAATCAAATGCAGAGAGATGCTGGCCAATGCTCTGCAGACCGGAGGTACGGACCGGCAGTATGTCGTGTCCCAGCTGTTTGGTTACAGTGGCTTTATTCACTTTGTTCCAGATTTTATTTCCCCCGTCTGACGTCTGCTTTTTGTTTCAGATGATCACATCGCTATCGGTGCTGATTGTGATGAGCTCGGAGCACAGATTGAGGAATATATCTTTTACTCTAAACGCATTTGAAGCAGTTTTGTTCCACTCGAAATATCACTGTTATATTTCTGTCTGTTAAAAAAAATATGAGAGGCTTTCAGAGTGGTTTCTTTTTAACCATTTGGTCTTATTAGCTGTTTAACCCATTCATAAATGGTGTATTAACTAACTTTTAGATCCTCTAAATGTGTTATTACCATCCCTGAGAGGCCAAAGCTGGCTGGGAATCTTTGCCCTCTGCTTTTTGTGCTGAATGGTGAAAAATAAGACACGGTCAGATTGGAATTTCCTTGACTCGTTTCACGTATCTTCCAAGAGTTTAAGAACACAGACATGAAATATAAGAACCGCGTGCGGAGCCGAATCTCGAATTTGAAGGACGTAAAGAACCCAAACTTGAGGAAGACGGTGCTGTGCGGAAGCGTAACTCCAGAGCGGATGGCCAAAATGACCGCAGAGGTACCTTTTGCTTTCTTTTTCAAACACACTGGCTCCTCCAGGCACATCCATATTCACTGATCACTAAATCAGTGACGTAGATAATGCCACAACAATGTAATTACAAAAAAAAATTAAGGCATCGATGATGATGATGATGATGATGATAAGATTGTCATGTTTTCATAGGAAATGGCCTCTGATGAGCTTAAGGAAATGCGAAAGAATTTGACCAAAGAAGCTGTCAGGGACCACCAGATGGCCACCACTGGGGGCACTCAGACGGATCTTTTCACTTGTGGCAAATGCAAGGGGAAGACCTGCACTTACACACAGGTAAGCACTCGCAGTGGGATGACAGCCTATCGGTGTTTGGCAAAAAAAAAGGTTTGGTTTGATGAATCTAACTGCATCCATGTGCAGTATTTGCTTGTGTCGGGCGCGCTGGTGGGTACTCCGGATATTCCTCGATCGGGTTTTCGCTTTGCGCAGTTATTGAATGCTAGTGATTTTATTTGGCGTGACGCTATACCAAACTGTGCTTTCTTTTGTTTTGTCCATTCGCAGGTTCAAACTCGCAGTGCCGATGAGCCAATGACCACATTTGTCTTTTGCACACAGTGTGGAAATAGATGGAAGGTGAGTTTTTCAATGCGTGTACTGTTTTCTCTGCACTAAAATCCATGAGCCTGAAGACATCAATCAGACCTGCTGATGTGTTTTCTGAGTCCACATTATAGCCGTCAATAGTATTCAGAATCAGATATACCTCAATAATCCCAGAGGGAAAATACTTAATGCTGCATGTAGTACAATACAACCACTGGTAACCAGAAAAGTTATATTCCAAAACTTATTAAGTTTCATCATCTTTGGTAGCTTGTAAGGGGCTTCTGTTTCTGCATTTGAATGCATGCAGCTCACAATCATTCCAAAGGACAAACTGAGCGTCAAAGCGCTCCATGTGCTGCTTGCGCAGACTTTGTTTTAGCTGACACAAAAAAGCGTAGGACAGCATGCACGACTGCTTGGTCCTTTTACAGTTTGTTGATGTGTGAATCACCATATAACCACACTTTGACCATTATACCATCCTTTTCTTTTCTATTTGAGCACATTTTCTATATGAATGTATTTATCCAGTAAAGGCTGGAAAAGGAAATTATAGATTTTATCATCGAGTTTTTTATCCTCAAAATTATTTTAAGAATTTAATTTTCTATCTATAAACTTAGATATATGGACACACACACACTTAGCATATGTTTAAGCATTGCATGCATTTAGGAATCTGCTCATTTAAAAAAAAAAATACAGGCTCCTTATAATTTAAGAGATGACATCATTATGAGCAATGACACCAGGCACAAATCAAAATGTAAGATTTTTACTTGAATAATTAGCAATTCAGACATTTTTCATGAGTCTTATTGTAAAATTCTAACCTCAATCAGAACAACAGAGCATGCATATCCCTCAAACCAAGCCCTCATGATCCTTTTTGGGGCCCAGCTACTGCTTTTTTTTTGTTGAATGGTGTCCATGGCAATTTCACAGGTCTGAATGAATGTCCACTCATGTGTGTCACACACCTGTTTGCTTTTTAACATTGTTGCATTTCATATTTAGGTTCTTGGTCTATAATCATAACAGGAAATTGTCCTTTCTTAAAAGTGTTATGTCTCATTGCACAAGAGAATTGAATTGATTTAAATGCTGAAACCTTGAAGTCATGTTTTAGGTCAAGAAAAGCCTTTTGATTCCACTTTGCAGCTGTTTTACTAAATATGTGGCTAATGGTGTCTCAGTTAAATACTTTAATAAGGCATTTTTGCTTTTTGTGCCCTAGTTCTGCTGAATCCGTTGGCATCATCCTCAGCGCTCCGACAAGTAGCAAATTCCCGGACCAGGTTCTGTCTATCTGCAACAGACTGGAGCTTTTTATTCTGTGGTACATTGTTCATAACAGGCCCCCACAAAGATACCACTGCGGTTACCGTTTGAAGAAATATCTTGTTCATAGATTGAGGTCATTGTCAGGTCCCCTACGTCCCCACCCACTCCTCAAAGACCCTTTTACTATTGTTATTAGTTGTTTCTCTGTGTCAGATATATGCCATCAATCCTGTCTCATTCTCTTTTATCTGCATTTTTTATACGTAGTTTTAACACTTTGGCAAATGTTTTTTGTTTTTTTTTTGCTTTCCCCACACAACATTGCATTGTTTTATTTAATTCTCCAATAAAATGTAATCCATTTGATTAAATAGAAGTGCTTTTAATTACTTGTCTTTTATGATGCACCTTCAGTCTTCTGCTTATGTAAATTTATAACATTGTGCTAATGCTGGTAATGATCTGAGAGGACAAAAATGCTGTGTGTGAGTGTGTGGGAGTCTACTTTTGTAATTGGTGGAATATTCATCATATCAAAGTGAATGCTGATGCATATTAATCTGTATAGAGACTGGATAATGTCATTGGCTGGATCAGGGAAGATGCTCGATTGTTCCCCTTTCCTGGAGCTTTTTTGAATTACCAGGTGCATCCACTCTATGCTGCCTTATCCCCAGACCAAGCTTAACCCATATCAGACATGTAACAACACCAGAGTTTATGGTTTAAAACAGTCTCATATTGTGGAAAGCTGATGACCAAAATGAAACTTAACAAATATGCAACAGACGCTTTTATTTAATTTACTGTAATAGTCTTGTTGAAATTATGATATAAGTTCTCACTGTTGGCCTAAAACTGAAATTAGCTGCACCACAATAAGAAGCAGAAATAATTTTGATTGCCCACCATTCAAACCAGCTAAACATGTCTTTTAAATGTATGTTTTTACAAAATAAAAAGTTATCAGAGGTTCTTAAAAACAATACAGAGAAAGACATGACATGTCCTGAGCTGCTGATGCACAAAGCCACAAGTATGGTGCTATTCTGGGACCTCTCAAGGAACAACGGCAGTGTACATGGAACATATCACAGATATCCCATGACCTCTCTTAAGTAAGGGAAAGTCAGAGTAGAGCTCCTCATGAAGGGCAGTGTGTCAGTTTGTCCACAGATCACATGATAAACAAGAACGCCCAGCAAACAACCCGGTACGGTAAGTTCTGTTATGATGTGGAGACAGTTGCTTCCTCCCAGCCACACTGGATAAACCAAATACCAAATACATGGCTGACTTGGGTAAATGCTAGGGCTTTCAGCATGTCCTCCAAATACATGTGAAAAAAGTAGATATTTTTAGCAGATCAGAGGTTGAATTCTGAGGTAAATATTTAGAGAAACTGTTAAAGAAAAAAATCTGCCACTGTAGCTAATAAACTCTTTGAATATATACATAATGAATTAATTTGTGGAAAAAAGGCATTTGTTTATGTCTAACCCAGAGGCAACACACAATTTAAAGTATGGCATTTAATATCTGATATTTACTTTCTGCACAAATATAGCTAAATACACTTAAACATTGATATTTCTATCTTCAGCTACATTAAAACTTTTTTCATTCAATCAATATTTGTGTATCACAGTTTGATGAATTCACACGAGTCAGTAAAATTATTGTGCTTTATTTTATCTTAATTGAAATGCCCACAAGTCATCATTTACTCGGAGAGTAGCAGAAAAAAATCTAAACCATATACTGTAAACATTCACATTATTTGTTTTTTTCAAAAAGGTATTCTTGAGTAAACTCAGCGCAAAATAACACATTTTTTATATAGTAAACAGAAGAAGAAACAACAATTATAGGCATCACTCCAAACCATTGGCTTAGATTGTGTTTTGAGGTTGATCTGCACGGTGCTCGTCAGCTCAAGCTGCACAGAGTAGGTTAGAGTTAACTCTACGACAAGTGCCACCGAGAAACACGCAGGTTGGCAAGAAGTTCTGATCAACCAGCCCCATCCGCTGATCTTCATTTGTCCAGGGCAAATAAAGACGTGCTCTCATCATCCTCTGCGCTGCTAACATGAACTGATGAAGTCACGACTAAGGAATCAAGACAAAACACATGATAATTTGGCCAATGAGAGGGACAATTTCCAGTAAACTGGCTTCGTGCTCCAGTAACCACCCTCATGGCAAAGGTCTGAAACCGTTGCCCATGAGAAAGATGTCATAAAACTGAATGTCAAGGCACTTCCCCATGTGAGGATCTTGTCTTTGAGTGACACGTTTGTGAGGCAACAAAGTAATAAAACCATACAGATAAAAAATATTTAACACTTGGCAACTCCAATTTCAGCACATGGAAACACTCGTTAAACATGTGAACACAGTTTACATGGTAGCTTTGGTGTTGCTTGCTAACCCGGCCTGACCTCAGAATGAGTTCTGATTGTTAGAGAAAAGCATATTAGTTTTAAGATTAGTGGAATGGTACTTCATTTAGCAGGTCTACAATTCTCAGGAAGTTCTCAGGAAAAAAGAAGCCTTTTTTCTAAGGTGTAATTATTGCAAAAAGTCGAGGGCTTAGTTGGTACTTTTCTATTTCCATAGTTGAGGCCATAAACTGCAACTCGTTGAACAGGGCAAAAAATGAGTCCACGGTCAACACTCCAGCACTCATAGCGGAGGAGGAAAACAAGTACCACATTTAGTGAAATTTATCTACTTTCTTTCTAGTATTGGGACAATTTTCACAGAAAAATGGAAACACTCACACATCCAACACAACAACGGTGTCACCATTCCTCTCATCCAATCAGAATGTATCTGCTAATGTATTGTTCACAATTATTTCAACTAAGAAATTATTTCCATTCAATTCTTCATTTTCCTTTTTTTAGGATCCAGTTATTGCTCTTCCCAGGAAGATTTGAAAAAAAATATTGAAAAATTATAGACCCATGAAATAAAGCATTGTCTAATCTTTTATGACAGTGTATTATTGTGTGTTCAGTACCTACACTGAGATGTAATTCATACTAATAGTGTTTCTGTTTGGTCAATAATAAGAAATACTGCCTCTGGTAAATATAGAATTACTAAGGTTCTCATTTCACACTGATAAAACTATATCAAACCTATAAGGTGTGCACTTTGAAACATTTTAACAAAAAGAAGAAACTTGTCTTAAATATGCAATCATCTGTGGCTAAGACAGAGTAACAAAAGTCTAAATACCCTTCCGATATTGGTTTGAGTTTCTTATGGAAACAAATTGCACCCTGTGATGAGCTATTGTCTCTTTCAGTTCCCTCAGTGACAGCCACGCTGGCAGGATTTTTCAATCACGCACAGGTTCTCCATGAACTGGAGTTGCCAAGCTGCTGCCACATGTACCAAAGTGTGAGGTTCAGTAAAACAAGGGGAAACCAAGGTAAAATCATACGGTACCCCACAAAGCTGCCTGCAAGTAGAGCTAACACGTAGCCTTTGACTTGAGCTTTGATTTTCATACGCAGTAAATAGAACCAGGCGTTTCCACATAAAATATCCACAATTAAATTTTTTACTATTTACAAACTCATAAATATATAGTCTAAAGTAGGAATCACCCCCGCCCTCCCCCAAACAATTATACAAAAACAACAGACCATAAAAAACTCTGAACACAAATAAAATAGATTAATTCTATCAAAAGGAAAGAAAAAGCCAACAGAAATCAATTGTATTCATATTCCTTTGGAGTGTTTTGCTATGTTGATCTGTAGCAGTACTTGTGATGTCGAGCCCTCGGGAGATTTTGAGACCTGAGTGTCTTCGGTCAGGTGCAGATCACAATAGCGCTGAGATCCCTGGGAGGGGCCAGGCCCGAAGCCTGGCTCATGTAATCCTACACTGAGCATACAAACAAAATGATAATAAATAAAAAAAACGGTATGGTTAGGGGAAGGGGAGGGGGTTTAAAGAGAGTTAAAAGATCACAGGTCATCACCACCCTAAGATTCAGGGGACTGCTCTGAGAGAGTATTGAGCAGATTTTTGTAAGCTGGGGAGTTCATGTAGCGAGGATAAGAGTCTCTTTGCATTAGTGTGAAAATCTGCAGCTGGGCGTCATCAAACGTGTGCGAGGTGGGCTCCAGCATGTTTCTGTTGATCGCCTCGCGCACACGGGAGTCAAGGCTCACCTGGGGGGGTGACAGAAAAAACCATGAGGAAGAACAGCATGTGCTCCTTACCTGAGACAAAGTTGACTGTTGGCTTTATAGCTGGAAGCTCAAAAAACAAGATGGCGTGGCCTCTTTAAACAGCCAGTTCGCTTAGCTTATTACCAAGACTAAAGAAAACATGGGAAGCAGATAGCCCAGCTCAGTGAGGGTAGACCTACTGCCTCCTGTGTTTCTAAAATGAATGGAAAATGCATCATGTCTCCATATTATTGTTTTGTTTTATCTCAAACAAAAACTTTTCACGTCTTTAACTGATTTTACAAAGAGTTACCCGATCTGGACAGATATGTGCAAATAGTCAAACCTCTTTTGGCGAGAGAATGGAGATGTAGTCCTCGTAGATGACCCGAGCGTTCTCTTCTATTGCACTCTTATTGGTATCTTTGCTGAATTCCTCACAGGCCAGCCAGAAAAGCATGTTCTCCTCACTGAACTCAGTGCGAAGAAATAGTCGGAAAGCGTTTCTCCCCGCTGGGCAACACATTAGTTTATCAAACGACTGCCCCCACGAGCGCACCTCCTCCAACGTGGGCTTAGGACTGTAAAGAGGATGAAAACATGGGAAAAGGATGACATCACACTAAGGATGAAATGCATTTTAAACAGATGGAGCATTTTTGTTTGCAGTGAACTAAACTGACCAGTCTTCACAGTCTGAGGTCCCTTCCTTGATGTCATAGGACGCCTTTCGATTCCTATCATCCCGATCTTCATTCCTGATAACGAGACAGAAACAAAAAATACAAATTAAGAATAGAATAACATAGCGCATATGGATAAAAATGTATTATTTTCTCCTACTTAAGAGCATTACTAATAATAACCAACATTGTATGATTTTTTAACCCTTTAAAGCCTGATCCAAAAAAATTGAGAGAAAATAGCAATCTTTTCATCTGAAGTCTTTATTTGATCTTTTAACAAAATCATTTTGAATACTTATCATTTATTGTCGTGCTATAAGTCACAATTATTGCCGTGTACTCTCCTGCCCACTGTTATCAAGTGTGTCTGATTGTGTGCATCAGAGTTTTGAGTTTTTCCATTAAATGATGCAAAAGCTTTCAGAAACCGTTTGCATCAAATATGATACACATGGTATTACAGGGTTACATTTTAAGAGTGGCCTTATAGTACAGGTCTATTTTTTTTGTTGTGTGAAACACAAACGTTGCCCATCATGAATATTTATTGTTGTCTTCCGCAAAACCAAGCAGATTGGATATTTATGAGAGTTTTGATCAATCGTCTCATTGTTAATATGTAAATGTAAAAGAAAAAGGCAGTTTATTTGAATACGTATTTTTTGTTCAGTACTTAAAAATCACATAAGGATAATAGAACGAATACTTGAAAATAAGAAACATTCAGCTTTAATTCTAACGTATTGGTATATTTATCATTGGGTTTGAACATTTTTATTGGAAACTAAAAACATTAACGTGACATTTGCAGAATTGTAGTCCTGAAATCTAAATAATCAATGGAACTGAACAGATATTATGTGATTACTTGACAGTCATTGTTAATATTAAGGATTCTATCCATCCATTTTCCACCTTTTAACAACAAAATGCACATCATACAAATATTATCATGATATCAAATGAGCAAAGTGTAATGTTCACATTATGTATGAACCAGCGTCCAGTCATGAGAAAAGATGCATTTTCAAAAGGGTATTATTCTTAGAATAGTACGAATGTATAATATAGGTTGATATAGGTCAAATATCAACTACAAACATTCAGATACATGTTCTTACATACAAACTTTCTAATGACTGAACAGAAGGAACATAAAATAAAGATCCGGTGTGTGTTAAAAATATACAAACTATCCATTTACACGTAAATTTACTGAGAGCATGAGCCAGATGATCCGGACTTTGATGAATAAGTAAACTAAATCATACTTCATGTGTGTGTGTGTAGGACTGCAAAACAGTTGCCAAACACAAAGCCTGCACAGATATGTAGGTGGAAGTCATGTTTCGGCTTTTTCATGAAGATCGCGAGGCGGCTGCTAAACCAACATATCGCATGCAAATCTGTCAAGACAAGAGCTCGAGACAGAAGCCGGGGCCTGCTGCTGAGCCGCCGTGGCTCGGGCTGTGCCGTCTTGCGTGCGGTAATGTCGGCCGTGCTGTGAGTGCGTTCTCAGTCGGGGTAAAAAAAAACCTACCAGGAACAGCTACAGCAGCAGCACCAGCAGAAGCAACATGCATTTGAGCCCCGTGGGTTGGCCTGGCCCGGCTGGTCCTGCTGGGCCGGTGCAGTTCCCCCCGCCGCAGACTCCTGCTGCACCGACATCTGCCTCTTTCGCATCTCCATCCGCTCTGATCCCATGGGCTGCAGACAAAAGGAGAGTAGGAGCGATGACTTTAGAGTGTTGGTGTCAGGCATATAGAATGTAATCGAGATTTTATCTTGACAGAGAAGCTCTCGGCCTGCAACGCATTACCGAGATAGAAATCAGAGCCTGTGTAACGAGCGTAGCAAGGCCAGGCTTCGGGTTTGCCTCTGATATGACAGCTGAGGTGATGATCAAGTCAAATCGTGCCCATCGTCCACTTTTTCCCCAACACTTACATGACGATGATTAAATTCTTTGAAATTATCCTCCCATTTGACACCTGTCTGTTTTATTGGCGGTGCACCTGATGCTCTCTGGTGGAAGCATGTGCTGGCATGCCCGGAGGCTGTGTGAAGGAATGCTTTTTTGTTCTTCTGTTGAGGAAAAGTATGCAAGAAGAATCTGACCATTTTGTTTCCTCTCCTGCCAAATTTGCACCTGCCAAGAACATTTGAGTCTTGTCAGCCTCCTATTGGATTCGTGTTCCCGTCCAAACGGACTGAATATGATACAAGGATGGATTTAAGCCAGCCTCTCAGAATATCCCATTTGTGATAGTAAGTGTGAGAGAAGTGCATTGTGGTTTGAAATGCTCACCGAACCGCGTGAAGGTGGAAGTTTAATACATTTATAGATACTCTAATCATATGTCCACTTATGAATTACATTTGTCACATATCATGTTGTCAAGAAGCCCTATAGGTATCATTTACTGAGTACCCTGCATGAGGAATTACTGTCATTACTGTGAGTACAGGTCTCTGGTATTAATCATAACCCCCTTGGATTGCAGGCCTAGACAGACGGGCTATGCTTGCAGAATGACTTCTTGTTTGATTTTAACAAATGTGTCATCACCAGGTCAGACACTGCCAAATCCTGTCATTTCATTTATGTAACAAAACCGTCTCCGACAACACAAGGCATCATCCCGCCACTACCTGACACAAGACACGATGCGTTAAAAAAAAAATGTCTGAAGATTTGGTACATGGGAGGGGGCCCGAAGGCGCAGCTTGCAAATCTATAACTGCAGCATCGCTCTATCACATCCTTTCATTGAACAGGATACCATTTGGTCATTTCTAAAATGGATCCGCGGTTTTCTCTCAGATTCCAAGCTCAGCTGCCGATTTCGTGCGTCTTGCCAAATGGCATCTTTTACGCGCTCTAGGTGTCGGGCACTTGAGAGCTGACACAATCGCAGTAAGCTATGGTTTCACTCAGAGACGGCTATAAACGATGAAGCTGGGGTGGGGGTGGTCGTGTCCATTCAAAGGATAAATCATGATAACACCAACTAAACCTCTGCTCTGTTCCTACGGTCTTGCAGCTGCAAAAAAAAAAACAAAAAAAAACACGAACGACACCAGGATCAAATTGTTCCTGAGCGAATAAATACCAGAATCCTATGCATTAGCTATATTCCTACATCACATCGGTGGAAAGTGCAACCATGAAGAACCGTAGAGCTTCATCGCCCCGGACAACCGGAGAAAAATCACTGCCTAGATCTGTTAAAAGCACACTGTACAGCTAGATAGTGACATGCCATTAAAAATGCCGGGAAACGACCTCGTATGCTCCACTCACGAAATGACCGTGCAACGATACATCGGGTTTCTACCAGTACTTACAATTTCACCATGTATGCACAGCGAGAAGAGGTAATTCTTTGCCTTGATTACATCCGATGGAACATAAGGGTTTTTTTTTTCTCCAACCGGCTGCTTCAAGTCAGTACGCATGCGTCTTCTTTCCAACTCGTAGTAGCCCAGTGAGGAGAGAACTGTATGGCACAGGTTTACCGTTCAGATCCTTTACCCGTATTTGAGAAAAAAAATAGGAGCGGATAATTCAAAAAGTAGCTGAATGATGTGAAAGAGGAAAGACATAAAGTAATGATCAAATATACTAAAGAGGCACTAGAGGTGAAGAATGACTGCATGGTCATTGGGCTAATTACGTGCTATAAAACTATAATGCAAAACGTAATATTACCAAAATATATAGGCAAAAAATGTCCACCAATGACGTTTAGCCTTAAGTCGCTGTCTGTGGTGCTGAAACAGTCAGCGTCCGATAGATTGTGAGACAGAACTCTTTCTTTCAGAAGCTTTACACTGAGGTGGGAGAGGATGACTTTGGAAGCCATTGTTATGCAATTTGTGAAGTCCAGTGTGCCATGATTAAAGATTCAAATACATACTCATGTGCACGTGCAGTACTTTTGAATTTTTTTATTGCTTAGAAAAAATGTTGTAAGCTTAACTGACAATGGTGAGACTGCTACCTCTCTCTCGATGCCATATACGTGTATTTGTTTCTCTACTTCTCCCTATGTAACTGCGTTATATTATCCCTTGACAATGCAAACAAAATAAAAAAATATCTGTGGACCTGTTCTGCTTTCTAACAGCTTACATAGCTTATCCTAGTCCATTTGATTTTAACCTCTCAGCCTGCATTTTCCCCCTGGTGCGTTGGTATTAACAAGCTGCTGTTTTAATGCACAGGGAGGGCCTTAAATAGAAAATAATGCAGAAGGCAACACTGCCATCTGAAGGCAGCTGTGACTAAAGCACTAACTCTGTGATTACTAGTGCATGTAGTGAAGGCATTATGTGTTGACCAATAATGATTTTTTATGGGAAATTGTATTATATTTTCTAGGCAGGGCTGTGGTTTAATCCATTCATTTGACATACTAGATAGAGCTATACTGTCTAAGCAAAGTGGTATTTTAATACAGATTACATTTGAATAATGTGGGATGTACATTTTCACACATATCTTGTAGCATTATGTATTACGACTCATAGGTGATATGTTTGCTTTTAGAATGCATTCGGTTTTACATTATATAATCACCAGATGGCAGTCTGGACACAGTACCTGCCTATTCTGCAAGACTCCAGTATGACACACCTATTCTATCTACTTAACTTAAATCAGTGTAGTCGTGCCTTTGTCTTTCATGGTCACATTCTCAGTCATGTTGCCTCCTGACACCATAGAAATCAATCTCATCAGTTCCAAATGAGTGCGAAAGCCACAAAATGTGAGTATGTAGACTCAGTGGAAAACTACGTCCGAAGAGATCGTGTGTATGATGATGCCAATAGACCCATTGGGGAAGTAAGAATTAATCCTATTTTCTATCTAGTCAAAATTGGGGGGTGGGAATAGATTCACCTTCAGCCCAGATGAATGGTTTTCTGAGAGTGTTTCAATGAGGAGTGTCCAGGGCAGGAGCGCATATTTCCTCAGATATAAAAACAACGAGATAAAGACTGTCTCCCCAGAACTTCATTTAACACCTCCCCTTGTCCTCTTATGCAACACAGGCCCACAAATAGGTTTGTGAGATTGATACATACACATGCCAATGATGATTGATATCTATGCTGCTGTGATTTGATGAGCATACACTTTTCCCTCTGAGGGCATGAACTGATACCGGAAAAATCCAAGGCCAAAAGGACAAGGTAGATGATGGAACTGTGTGACAGGACAAGGAAAGTCTTTTCACTTTGTGATTAAGAGGATTCAAATCACTGCCTAGCTTAAAGGAAGAGAGAATTAACTTTATATTCAATCACAGGGGCTCAACACGAGGAGAGGGACTGGAGAGGGAGTGTCACATTAACATTTCAAGAGATAATGCATGGCTTCTGTGAGCACTTTGAAGGTGAAGATTATGCAGTCACAGGAGGAAACATGAACACAGACCATGAGCAACATCATTCTATTTGCCAATATTGCTGTGTGTTTCCCCAAGGTGTGTTATACAAGTTGCTGTTTGTACTGTAAAAGTCAGACTCGGTGTCTTATCTTTGTAATCATGTTATAGAGTGATGAGATGTTTTGTTTTATAATTCAACTTAAGACAGCTGGTCTTCAGTCGAGAATGAACTAATACATGACAAATATATGTTTTACAATTCTGTGCACTATATCATGCTACAGTGCTGTAAGCATCCTCTTCCGAGAAATGTTGCTGGATGTTGCAAATGTTACAGTTGTCAATGAGAAAGCTGATTTTTGGTACTTCACATGAAACAAAACCAAAATACGCAGAGAACAATATTAAAGAGAGAAAATTACATAAATATAAGCAGTTATGATGATGCATGGATGGATGGATCGATGGACGGACGGACGGACGGACGGACGGACGGACGGATGGATGGATGGATAAAATATATAAATTATTACTTGTATACCTTCTTCTGGCTTGCAAATACAAATTTACACTACATTCTCAATCAAAATCAACAATGGAATGAGACCCTAGTGTATGAGGAAGAACTCTGAAAGTAAGACAAAGACGCTTTGTTTCTTTGAGGACATGTTAATAATCATTCCTGGAACTGTACATGGAGTGTAAAAATGGCCAATCACATCTTCTGTGTGGATGGTCATCAGTTTGAAAGATGAGAGGGAAAGTTTAGTGTAAACTCAATCACAGTCATTCAAAATTAAAGTTTGGTTAAAGCGACCTGCTTATCTCATTGTGCAGATTTCATGTGTAGGCTTTGGATCTAGGGGAGAACTTAAACACCCAAATAATCGTGAATTAACAAGACATTACAGCTGAGAACAACCTTAATCTGAGTCAATACTTCTTAAAACCCCAACAACTAAAAATGTCTACAAATAATGTTTTCATTGATCAACTTAAGGTGAAATGTAAATGTCCACTGATATACCGAACCTTTCCATGCAAAAGGAATTCCACTTTTTGCTTTTGTACTGTCACAGATGTGTTAAAGCATGTACTGCGGTCATTTTAATTCATATTTATGGTGGGAAATGTCATGATAGATCAAGCTTAATCACTGCTAGTTGGTCACAAATCATTATGTAACATATGGTAACCTAAATTGTTTACTCTCTTGTGTTGGTTGACCCCCCAGTCGCATCTAGAATAAACTCTTGAGTCCCTGTAGCTCTTTTACAATCCTTTCCTGTCCATAAATAGCAACACAGCTTTCACTATAGTTAGCGGCTGGAAATCTTTATTTATCCTTTTACCAGGAATGGTTCTGTTCTCACACTCCAAACAAGGTCAAATTGGCAAACATCTAACTTTGCTGCTCCCCACTGAATGTTGGACGAGGATCTTGATTTTGTGTATTTTGTTTGACAGTATAACTTTATCTAGATTTCCAGCAAACTTTATCACACTATTTCAAGACCCAATAACTTCGCTTAATCTTCTTAGGCTTCAATCAGACAGGAAGTTGTTCCCTAAATAGAAGTTTGGCTCAAAGAAATAAATGGCTCAAGCAGCTCTGACAATAACAGCACGAAATGGCGTAAAAAAATTTTTTTTTAATTATCAGCAGTTTTTTACTAACGAGAAGAAAATGTGAGTTTTGTGGACTTCTCACTACCCTGGTGTTGGCCACTGTTTGGGTTCAGAGCATCAGCCCTTCCTGGTCATTTGAACACTTTTAGCTTTTAATTTTTTCTAATTTCGTTACATACATTTTTCTTTGTAGAGTTGAGACTAACAGGCAAGACATAAAGAAGAAGTATGTTAGAAATTATTTTTTGATAAAATTACACTAAAATTTCATGGGATAGATGAGTTATACTAAATTGAACAGTCACTGTTTTTCTGTTTGTGTCATTAAAGCTTGCTCTGAAGTAATACACAGTGATGACTTCCTGGTGTGGAAGGTATAATGATATTAATTATAATTACAACATGTACATACCTCAAGGCACACCATCTCCTGTTCTTCTCTGTCCGAGCCATTGTAATTTGCGTGGTACCCCACCCTATGCCGACAGGCCCGGGCCAGTTCCCGTATCCACTGCCACATCAGGGCCCTGGTGTTTTTGATCCCCTGCAGCACGGACGTGGGCCTGATCTCCCACTTCTTCACCGCACTAACACATGGCATGCTCCGACCATGAAGCCTCACTCACCACGTGAAGTCTGTTTGAAATAATAAAGAAATCCACAAGTCCCTTTTCTTCCCTCTATGTTCTCCAGGCATCTGGACTGAAGCTCATTGTGGCGGAGAGTTGGAGAAGTAGGAGTAAAACATTATTGACCTAAGGGGAAGCGAAGAGTGTTTACAAAGGAGAGGGCAGAAGGGGATTAGGACAATGTTCCCACTGAATGCAGTCCTGATTCCTCTATGCTTTACCGCGTCTCACCAGCTTAGGCCAGATTAAGCCTGGAGGTCTTAGTGTCTGAGCTCGATGGGCAGAGAGGAAGACTAGTGACAAGCACGGGATCATTCCTGATTGTACATGTTTGTTGATGGACTCACCTGTAGTAATGGTAGATTAAGGTGTTTTACTAATGAACCTTTCAGCGGGCAAAACATTATAATGTCATGTATTATATAAATGCATCAGCAATAACTAAAACTGTGGCTCTATGCAGTATTACAGACAACTTTTGTTGATGAGTTTTCACAATTGTAGGTACTTCATTTCAGACTCACCCTGATAAACACAAGTCGGTACTCTTCAACCTGCAATCCCGTCGTAGTCATTCTAACTGAAACAAAACGTTAAAACAAACCATAGAATGATATCAAAGCTGACCATAATCAGTCATCTTAACCAAAGTGAGGTGTATTCCCAAGATAGTTCACCCAGCTATTCAAGATTTTCATTTGTCACTAAATATTGTCTGTTGCCGATTTGAACCCTCTTTTTTTTGTTTGGAAATTGCTTTAAAATAATTTGAAATTGCTTTACTAAAACAACTATATACAACAAAGTTTATAAAGTACTTAAATAATCACAAACCAATACATTGGCATGGTATTCAGACCTAACCTACTTTTTAATCTTACTTTGAAGATGAGTTTTTCCGGAAGCTAACAAACAATGAGAAGAATTTGCACTGAATTAAGAATAGTGCCAAATTACATATGAAAATGTTGACTTTAGTCAAATTTCATTAATTCACAATACCATGGGGATAAATCTTATATAAAGAAGAAAAAACGACTTTCCCCCGCCAAGAGAAAAAGTGTTATAACATTTTCTTATACCATTAAGATCCTTACATCTTCTGCAGTTATGCAGTAATAACTGGTAGCTGACCCTAATTTTTGCCCAATGGTAACTGTTACTTATCAACGTGCATTTTACTTCCATGTATGTTTGGTGTTTATTTTAAAAACAATATTCCTCGCCCTTCCGCTTGAGAGGGGGAGCAGTGCATGTGACTGTCACATGACAGATCGTGTCTGTCAGCTGTTAGCACAGTGGCTTGGTAAGTACAACAGGACACTCGCGTAGAGTTGAATTTTCTAAATGAATCTTTTCCCCCAAAACTGACTATCTGTTACATTATCATCTTTGCACTTGTCATTTTGACAGGTTACAGAATGCCTTTGAAGCTAAAATAGCATCGCTTTTTTCGGTTAGCATCCCTAGCCATCTGTTACTATTTCCAAGCTAGCTTTGAGCCAACAGTGGGATTCTCAATGTTTTTGTTAAATTAGACAAATGTGTTTGTTATGGATCTTTATAAGGTGTATTTATACTGTGGTGCCACTGCTAGAGTGTATGTCCCTGCACCTGTCTTTTAGACCTAACTTTAAGAATCGTGACATTAGGATAAGCCAGTTAGCTAACATGACCTACTGCCGTTAGCTTGCTCCATTGCTGTCTAAGGGCTCTAGATTAGCATAAATACAGATTTAAACGAGTTACATTTATTTAAAGCATAGTCTGCATATGCGAACACGAAAGACAGATAAGTACTGACAGATGCTAATTATATTCAGTATTATATGCAGTTAGCAGCTTATACTTAACACTTTACATTAATGTAGTTTGTTCTTCAGTTTCAGCTTCTGTAAATTGTCAAAGCAAGGTTCAAACCTGTCCTTCCTTTTTCTCAGATTGTGAACGTAAATTGTTTCCTTCCAGGAGTTAATTTTATCCAGACATATACATCAGGGGATATAGTTCAGAATGGATATCCGCGGGGCAGTGGACGCTGCAGTCCCCACCAATATCATCGCTGCAAAGGCAGCAGAGGTCCGGGCCAATCTGGTCAACTGGCAGTCCTATCTGCAGTAAGTTCACATGCATTAAATAAAGTCATACCTATTATCAAATCTACTTCCTTGTTTGTCATGTAAGTACTTGTCGATTTCACTGAAAATGAACATAAAATATATTCTTTCAAACTTGTTCCACTTATTGCCTGCTGGAAAATATTCAAACTTGTTCTTACTTTTGCGTTATAAGTAGTAGGTTTACTATACTACACTACAAAGTCAGTAATGTGCCCAATTAATGAATTAATTTAAAGGAAGTCTCTTCCTTGTCATTCTAAAGTTGCATAGATTTTGTTGGCTAAGTTGAACATGAAAAAAGTTGATTTTAGGGGGACTACAGTATAATTGTCAGCATGTTACTTTTAAGGTTGGATGACCTTTTACCCGATATTTGTTTTTATTTTAGTCTAAGTAAGTTAAAAGCTGCTTTTCTATTGTTCCTGGATTATGATTCACTGTCTGGGGTGATACTTCCTCTTTTGACCCAGCTGTTTTAGTGCAGGATTTCTGACATATGTGCCTTAAATAGATATATTGATAATGTTTCTAATGAATATTTCCCTTCTCTAAACCCATACAGACCTATGGACATGTTTCTCTTGACAAGAACTTGTAAAATGTCATCTTGGTTTATTTTTGTTTAAGCTGTCTCTTGTCATTTAAGGCATCTTGTTAGTGACCAGTTGCAGTGACTGTGTTAATGACACACTGTAATGGTGTTATCTCGCCTCAAGAATGAAGGAAGGGATTTAATTTCTTTGTGATAATTAATTGAAAACTCCTTTTTAAGCATTCTGTGAATGTCTCAGATGTTTCAAGAGACGTGCACAAAAACAACACTGTATTTTTTTATTTTCTTATAGGAGTCAGATGATCTCTGGCGAGGACTGTGAGTTCATCAAGAAGTTTGAGGTGGCTAACTCTGAGGAAAAGCAGGTTATTTTGACCAATGAGGGACATCAGGTAAATCCATGTACACTATCAGGGAATTTTCATTTCTTCAGTGGCATTCAGCTACTTATTTATTTAAAGCCTGCCATGGCATTACTTAACAAATTTATTTAAAAGTAGCCTCTTAATCACATCAAATAACCCACAGTAAGAAGTCTTTGAGCCCTTTACAAGAAACAGTGGCAATATGAGTACAGAATATACAGATTATCCTCAGTACCTTCCCATGTTAACTTTTCGAAGGAGACAAAAAGTTTTTTTTCTTTCTACAAAATCACTTCCATCAGCTTCTGCTTTGTTGATCTGAGCTTTTTGGGCTATTTAAAAATACAAGGCAGTAAAGCAAGAAAAACGAGGTTGCGTAAATTTGTCGTTGTTTTTCTTTTTTGCTCAGTGTGCGAAGACTTTTCTGAACTTGATGGCCCACATCTCCAAGGAGCAGACGGTGCAGTACATCCTGACTCTGATTGATGACACTCTACAGGTATAAAAGATACAACCACATGCACTTGACAAATCAATTAATTTAGTTTTCCATCCATTCAAAGTGCTGATATTTCAGTCAGTTTATACATTTCCTTAAAAAAAATGGAATTATTGTGCATGCAGTCACTCATCCAGGTTTTTGCTTTAACTCTCCATCAGGAGAACCATCAGAGAGTAAGCATCTTCTTCGACTATGCCAAAAAGACAAAAAACACTGCCTGGTCCTACTTCCTTCCAATGCTGAATCGTCAAGACCTCTTTACTGTACACATGGTGAGTATTAGATTTAAACTGACTAAAATCCAGTCTTTGCAAAAGCAGCCATCTCATGTAATGGGTTTATCATGAGGATCAAACGCACACTCATCAATCACAACATTTAAAAACCACTGACGCCTGAAATTAATTACTTATAGATTATTAAAGAGGCACCAGTGAGTTGGTTCTAGATAATTAATCTTGTTACTAATAGAGAAGAAAGACATTTCTTTGGATTTTACCCATTGAATGTGATGGTTAGGACCTGTTTAAGGAGTCAAACAGTGAACTGGCAGCAATGTCATTGATGTGTTTGGCTGGCCTTGTGGTGCAGTCACAGAGGAGTTTCTGCAAACAGTGCCACCACCTGTGACAGAAAGATGTCCAAACAAAATGTGCATTTCAGCTTTCTGGGTGTGAAGCTGAAGCAGGCTGTGCATCATTATGCAAAATCGGTGCTGACACATCTGTCCCTTGCCCAAAGGGGCATAAATGGGAAAATGAAAATCACAACAGGAACACTGATCAGTTTTACTGATGAGTCACATTCTCAAATGGGTGTTCACTTGGAGAAGACATGGCAGTAGGATGTGTTTTAGGAATAACCAGGAAATGCTCTGTTGTAAGATTTTTGGTGCCAGTGTTTTTGTGGGTGATAATAATCTTCTACCTAATCATTGCTGCAACCCCTAAGCTAAACAGACAACTTGATTGATTGTGCGGTCTGTGTCTGGACTTGGGCGATGTCTCTTTAAATGTTTAGGGGCCAGTTTTCATAATTTGATTTCAGTAAAGTTCATAAATTGAACTTATTCACTTTGATATTACAGAATTGTGAAAATTAATGAGGTTAGTTATGTAGTTCACACTCATTTCTTGTAGTTCTTTCTCCCTCCAAAGTACTGTTTAGGAAAACATGTTTTATTTATCGATATATTTTTTTAAACCTTTAAGGGAATGCCTGTTAAGAGGAGATGACCTTTAACAGACCATTTAGCCAATACTGTGTGTTTCAGTACACTTATTGTCTTTCCCGTAGATATAGATTTTTCTGTTATCCTCCATCACCAGCAGATATTTTCAAGGTCAATCTTGTATGTTGTTTCAGTTAGTGAGAAATGTCTCCACAGTTTTTTTCACATTGTGGCTCAGCTTTTAGACGTGATTTGCTCTTATACACTCAGAATTCTGTGAACCAGTCAATCGATGGGTTCTTTAATGATGAGTTGCCCTTCTCAGTACTAGCCAACTGGTGCTGACAACCAGCATATGCACATCAAGGAATTAGTTGTTCTGTGGAAGGATACAGTTGTTTTTTCTTTTTATTTTCAATAGTGAGCATAAGATGTTGTTTTGATTGCTGTGTGTGCATTTGCAGGGATCCAGTTGGGCAAATGTATTGGTTTTTAGGACATTCAGTACTGAAAATAATAAATGAACACATTTTCTGGTGTAAGATTGTGTTCCAATACATTTTTCACACCCATGACATTTTAAAAGATACCTCTAATCATAGCACAGCATCAATAATTTCTAACGAAACAGCTTTTTCCCCTCTTTTCCAACAAAAACAAGCAATTAGTGTAATGACCTTTCTGTGCCAGCCTTTTCAATTCAAGTATGACCACCTAATGACAATTCTAGTACTATGACAGGGTGCACATGGCCTAATTAGGAATGCCAGACAGATGGCATCCAGCAGGTGGGCCTGATGTGACCTCAAGTCTGTAACCCAGCACCTAACTCAATCCAGTGTCATACTGAGTCTTTCTTTTGAATTTAAGCCTCAATGTTTTCTACACGACTCCTCCCAGCTTGGAGGAAATTGGAGTATTGAATTAGTTTTTTGTATTTTTGTCTCATCAGGGGTACAGGGAGCAATTACCCTTGAATTTGGTCATTGGCTCATGCTTTTTGCTTGTATTTATATTCAGGTTGCATTACAGATTTGTTTAGGACTCTTTTTGTTTAAAGTGCTGTTAAAAACAATAAAGTTACAATTTTCCTGAAGCTTTTTCTTATCACGGTACTCTCTCACAAAGTAGTAAAACAGAACCATTGTTGCTGGCAAGAAAGGCTGTTCAGTTTCACAGTGGTTGTATTTTACATACTTGTTATTGGGCATGTTTGTCACTGCAGACAATATAATGAGCAGTATTGTATATATGGTAGCCATAAACTGTGCATCTGTGGAGGCCTTGCTGTAAAGTTGTCAGACACAACTGGAGCAAATGTAAAATCTAATTTAAATATGTTTATATTAGGCTGCAAGAATCATTGCCAAGCTGGCTGCCTGGGGCCGTGATCTGATGGAGGGAAGCGATCTGAACTACTACTTCAACTGGATCAAAAGTCAGCTCAGTTCACAGGTACAGGAATCAAAACTTTGCTGTAAAAGTGCCTTGTTCGATTTTTTCTTTTCTCTGTGTTTGGAAAATATGTTTTTGAAATAAGCTTAGCTATTGAGATGGTTCCTGATGAAGCTGTGTAGAGTGCCATTCACTTCCTGTTAAATCACTCTTTCTGCGTGATGCACAGCTCAGTGTTTTTTTTATTTTAGTTCTTTTTATTCTGTTTTTCTATGAGAGCACGTCAGTGCGGTGCAGCTGTTTATTAACAGGGAAGGTCACTCAATTTTCTACATTTCTTTTCAATTAGATGCTTATTGAAAGCTTTTTCTCTCTTTATGATATTTCTAAAAAATGTAGATGAATAATGTATATGTATTTTTTTTTTTTTAAATCACAAGTTATTCATTTCTCTGACAATGGTCTGTAGACACTTTATTCTTTTAGTCATAAGGAATTGTTTTTTTTTATTTTGAATTTCTAAAAGAATATAAAAGCCAAAAGTATTAATTGCTTTTTCAATTCACGTTTCCTTTTTTGCCATCTGTGGTTTGGGCACAAAGGGAAAACCTTATCTGAATTTTATTCATTCATGTTGGGTTTTTGGAGGTTTGTCTGACCTTGAGGAAGTATTCTGACAGCGGCTCAGTGGGCACTGGCTTTGCTTTGACAGCTGTATGCACTAAAGATTTGGATGATAAAACGGCAGCATATTGATGTCTCCATTCCCTCCCACCTCCTGATTAGACGGAAGTCTCTTTTCATTTCATATATTTGCAAGTTATTTCCCTAAACTACTTTCATAAACTGCATTTGTTACTAACTTCCCTCTTCAACAGCCAGGCGGGAATTAGTGGGTGTCCGCTGTCCCCGAATTGTATTCCTGTCCAAACACATACTGAGTGGCTCTCTGCCAACTAAAGTCAGCTGGAAGCGATGGATTGTGAACAACTCTGCACCTGTTTCTTTTGTTTATTTCTCGTTAGAATCTTCATGGTACAGGTCCAGAAACAGGCACAGGAACAGGAACTATTTCCCCCGGTGAAGTGAGTATGTGTGAAGTGCTTCTTCGGTCACCCCAGAAAGGGGGGAAAAGGAGAAAGAGGCCGGGTTTGTGCAAATTGGCATTTGTCAACGGTGACTGAACTTTAACACCATCTCTGCCCTCACAACCTCTCTCCCATTCTATCTTTGCACTCCAGTTTTGCATTATCAATTCCAGATGGTTGGAGACACGAGGCTGTTGACATGAATAGTTTTGGAGCGAGTTCTCCATTTAGAAGGCATGGTGTTTGCTGCCACTGGTTCTCTCAAGTGAATATGCATGGCACAATCCAATTCTCCTTAACGCTGAAAGCGCATGACAAAGAGTTTTACTCCAACATTAGTGAGAATAGAGAAAATTGATATGGCATTTGCACAGCAGCAGCATCCTACCATCTTATATGGCATATTTTGTCAAGCAAAGTGCAATTATTCTGAGTGTGTCCAAGAGACCTACCTTAATAACTTTTATCATTTCCTCTCCCTCTGCATTTTCATTTAGGGAACTCCTGCTTCTGTGCTCCTCTGTCCTCACTGCTGCCTGATTCTCTTGCTGGACTTTTGCTTTTATTCAGTCTCTTTTAATTAACAGATTAATGTGATTGATTTTCTCCTCTCAGCTTCCTCCACTCTTAACTCACTTTTAACATTGTTTCGCTTAGGTGTGATGGGACAGTTTACCCTGCTGTTGTTTCTATGTGCAACGAGTTTGTGTGTGTGTGTGTGACCTAGCATGTGTTAGCGTGTGAATATGACCGGCTGCATGTGCCGTGCCTCACATCATGGGACCGTAATGCAAGGTTTGAAGTGATCCTCTTATATGTGCTCTCTTTGCTCGTGGGCTACTCATTCAGCAATGTGTTTGTTGTTCTGCTCCTTAGGCTCATTATTGACTTTAAAATGAATGTTGTGTCTGCCTTTCTCAGAGCTCTCAGTATGTTCAGTGTGTGGCCGGATGCCTTCAGCTGATGCTTAGGGTCAACGAATATCGGTTTGCGTGGGTGGAGGCTGATGGAGTCAACTGGTGAGTGATGATGTTTCCTTTTGCGTACAAGTTTCCTGCAGGTATTTACCGTCTAACAAAATTGAAAGATTACAATAAATGTGTTTGTGACCTTTACACGCTAGTTGGATTCTCCATAAACACTGTATGTTGTTGAGAAAAATTGGATTTAGCAATAAATACATTTTACAGCGCTAAGCATTAAATAAAAAGAATTGAAGGCTGAAAAGTCTGGATATTTTCAAAAGGATGTGCATTGGAATTATTCATTCCTGCCATCTTCACGTGGTTCTGCAAATTATGTACAGAACAGGGTTTTGTAAAACCAGCCTCACTCCATAATGTTAGATAATTCTCATACATGTGTAAGATCCACATCTCTGCACTTAACCGTCATTTCAACAAATTTGAGTCTCTGTCGGAACTGTACTCTGCATTTTAAGTAACTCCAGTCCATTACCTGAAGACTCTGTGAACATTTCATTCTTCACCGTCATCAGTGATAATGGAGGTGGAGTGTGTATGTACACAGTTGTGAAAGCTCATCTCAGTCAGCAGATATTAGATGTAAATGCGATGCCTCCTGCCACCACTTTGCTCTTATTTCCTGTGTTACGTTTATTGATTGATTTATTCAGTTATTTCCTGTTTCAGCATCACAGCAGTGCTGAGCAACAAGTGTGGCTTCCAGCTCCAGTACCAGATGATCTTCTGTGTGTGGCTCCTGGCCTTTAGTCCTCAGCTCTGTGAGCAGTTGAGACGCTACAATGTGGTGCCAGCCCTGTCTGACATCCTGCAGGAGTCTGTCAAGGAGAAAGTCACTCGTATCATTCTTGCTGCCTTCAGGGTTAGTGGAGAATTTCTCACTTTTTTTCCCCCTGACTGTTAAATGCCACTTTTTGTTTAAAAAAGGCCCAAGGACACTGAACTGTTTACTGCATAAATAGGTCCCTTTTCCCTTGCCATTTTAAAAACACAAATGTGATTAATTGTTTTTGTTTTTCCGTTTCACTCTCACCCATTCTGATACTGATTTTCTGCCACAGCAGGCAGCTGTTTCTAATGGAAAATCCACTTTATCCTACCTGCCCAGAACCAAACTGACAAATATTGAAATATAGTAAATGTTGGGCTCACAGTTACCCAGTGCAAACTCAAGAGACATGGCTCTAAATCCAATACTGGCATTACACTGTAACTACTGAATATAAATGGACAGTGTTTTAAAGATTTTAAAATATGATTTTTCCTCTTACAAAGTTGCCCCCGAGCTCTGGTTCTGTCATTTTAAAAGTTGCATGGAAAGGTTTCCCGCATGTTTCCAGGCAACGTGGTGGTGGTGAGGTCTGAGTTCATCAAAGCACTTGAAAAAGTGCCATTTTAATCTCACCATGTATGCTGTACCTTGAATATGATTCATTTGTGGGTCTTTGGTCATCTTGCCTACATTCCTTTGAAACAAATATAATACAGTAAAATATAGAAATCAATTCTATACATAATTTACACTGGTTATATGAAGAGCACATCTCTACTTTTGTTCCATGGACAGAGAGATATGGAACAACCCCCTCCTTCTATGCTGATTGAAAACAGCCCTTCAGTATTTTTCTATTTCTTTAACTGCATTTTGAGTATTGCCCCTCATATTTGCTGTGCTTTTTCAAAACAAGAGGAAACTGACACACCATCTCTAAAACAACATGAGGCAGCCTGTAAAACAGCCAGTCCCATAAGAGAAGCATGAATATGATTTATGATTATGCTTCCCATTTCGCTCCCTTCTGTGATTGCTCCAAACATGTGGTGAATGTTTAATGCAGTGCTAAGAGCTGCGTTGAACTTACTTTGCTGTTTGGTGTTTTTACTATGTAATGAAATTCCCTTCACTGTGTGTTGACAAGATTGAATTAATGCCAAAGGCCCATTTATCTTTACACGCCATGGTGGCTTTTAACTACAGGAAGTTAGTAAGTCTGACAGGACACTGGTGCACGTCTGGAGAATCTGGGAATGCACAAAAATCAATTATATAATTACCAAGTAATGCAGAAGGCAGAATATGCTGTGCTGAAGGAAATGATAAAAATCGATCACGTGCTCATAATTAACTATCAACAGGCATGTGAAACTATCTATAATATACAGTTGTTAAATATGCTTTAGCAACAAAAGAATCATCTGCATTAAATCATTTCATTTGTCCACTTGACACTCTGTGGTACCAGGCCACCCTCGGTACTCCTAATATTGATTACCACACAAAAGATTCATCTCAAGTCAGGGAATTGTAGCCCAGAAGAAAATATGGATTTTTAAATGAAAGGCCGGCTCGGCCTCCTTGCCCCGCGCACAATGGTGAGATAAATGGTACTGATTACATGTTTGAAACATGAGCTCATGCCAAGCTGATTTTCGATCTTACTTTTTAAGAAAAGAATTTCGAACATCCGAGACCCCCTTTCAGGGAGTTTGAAATCGATGTTTTCTCAGCTGTTGTGCCTTGGTTGAATGTCTTTGTTCATCATCCACAAGCTTTCTTTGTCATTTTGACAAAAATAATAAAATTTATTGCCAGAGGTGTTGCACCAAGGAAGATGACCTTTTAAATGTCCGAAGTTTCTTAGCCTCGCCTCTTATGCTACAGTAAACAATTGAGAGGTTCCTGTTTGGTTTTGTTTTTTAATTTATTTCTATGTATTATTTTAGTTTGACTGCTCTATTATAACTAATTAAAAGCAATGGAAAGCAGCAAAGGGAGAGCCTAAAGAGTTTAAACTTTGAGCGAGCTTTCCTAGGAGACATTTTGTGTTTGACGTTAAGGAGAGTTTACTGTTTTGCTCGCACCCAAAGGACCTCCGACGTGCCACTGCAATTTTAACTCAGGATTATTTTATGCAGGGACATTTTCTACAAATTTCTTTTACTAAATTGTTGACATTATTTTGCAGGTTATTGTTGTTGTTTTCCCAAATGGTCTAATTATGCAAATGAGTCCTCTCACCGCCCGGGACAAGCACAGTGACTTAAATTATCCACACCATCTGGATGTCCTTCAACATGTCTCCATACAGAGTTTATTCAATGTTTGCTCCAAACAAACAACTGTTGAGTTAATGTTCTTTCTTTTTGTGCATTATTTTTTATAGTATATTCATCCAAAACTAAAGAAGTATGTTTTTTTTACATTGATTTCTTCAGTTGCAAGCAGAGCATTTGTTGTTTTTGCAGATTTTAGAAAGCAATTTTTGTTTCAGATTTTAGTCGGAAGTCTGCTGAGTGTGACACACATAAGAGTCCACTCAGGTTTTAAATTGTAGCCCTGCAAATTTCATTTGCAAAATTCTCTTTATTATTCCCCCCAGGAGGAGATTTTAGAGCACTGTTCAGAGACCTTGCTTCAACAGCTTTTACAACACTTGATCATATTATTCTTGTTAGGGAGCTGCTTCTTTCCCATCCAGCTCACAGCACCTGAAATTGAATACTTCAACATCCAGATGTCTGCCTTCTCAAAAGGATTTAGTGATATGAGCTCTTTCCAGACAGTGATTGGACACCTTTGTTGTCAAGACGCACACAGACCAAACGGAGGTTCCTCAGTTCTGCCCGATGGTGTGCTTGAACACTGTAAGGTCTTGAAGTACAGTCAGCTGGATGCAGACCAAACCATTAGTCTGAGCGTTATTTTCCCCAGTATCCCCTTTTCCTCACATACGCCCAGCTTTTGCCCTTTGACCACTTAAATTGTGCGCTCAGGATAAGTTTCAATAACATCTGTTCCATCTGAAAACGGACTGTGTGGTAAGGGTTATAGATGATTTTTGCCAAACCAAATTGTTCTGAACCTGACTCCAGATTAAAGCCTTCAATTAACAATTGAGAGTACTTTTACGTACAGTTTAGTAACCACAAACACATCCCATAACTTCTATGGTTATTTCTCCTGATTGATAATTTTCCTTATTTGTGATTAGTTATACTTACCATTTATTCATTTAGCTCCAGCTCACGTTGCACATATATTACCCCTCAACGGAAATGTTGGTCTGACAGCTCTTACCTCATTTATACTCATCTTTTCCTCATCGATAGAATCTCCTGGAGAAGTCTGCTGAGAGGGAGACTCGCCAGGAATATGCTTTGGCCATGATTCAGTGCAAAGTGCTGAAGCAGCTTGAAAACCTTGAGCAGCAGAAGTATGACGATGAAGACATCACTGAGGACATCAAATTCCTGCTTGAGAGGCTGGGAGAGAGTGTGCAGGATCTCAGGTATCCATCGGACACCGTTTCATGAATAGGATGCAATCACTATCAGTTAACAAAGGCTTCTGCTTTGTATGTGATTCTCATTTGTGTTTTGTAGAGTATAACTAAGTGCTCATAAGGAGTGAAGATATTATAGTTTTGTACATTAATCAGGCACATTTCTATCTGAAGTGGCTGTGAATACTGCAGTAATTGTCAGTTCTGCAGTGATTACATGCACGGATGACCTCTAGATCTTTGCACTTTCCACTGATTCATTCAACTCACTATTCTTATGATCAAATGTGGGTGAAAGTACCTTCTTTTTTTATTTTTCAAAATTTAGAAACCTGTTATTGCTTCGGACTGTTGCCTTTGTTTTTGTTTTTTAAAATTGGTTTTGCTCTCTTTGTATTTTTTCCCCAGTTCTTTCGATGAGTACAGCTCAGAGCTGAAGTCTGGCCGTCTGGAGTGGAGTCCTGTGCACAAGTCCGAGAAGTTCTGGCGGGAGAACGCCGTCCGCCTGAATGAGAAGAACTATGAGCTCCTCAAGTAAGATTAAAGCTGTTGGACAGCAAGGCAGAAAATTTTCTCCCCAACCCTTCAAACGTTTATTTATTACAGCCCTGACACTTGTAAAAAAATAACGAAAGACTTAACAAATTAACTCATTGGGAATCTATGGAAGCTAACAAATGTCTTGCCTGAGATATTCTTAAAGACCATTTTATAGAGATCACCAGTTATGGTTTTTTAAACTTGTTTTATTCTTATGTTATGTCATTCACCTCCACATCTATTTAAGTATATCAAGACTGAATCAGATTGGTTAGCGTTGTTATTTAACAGAAATTTATAGAAAATGCTAAACTTGTTTCGATTCGTAAACAAGCTTTATCATAATATTGCTTACCCGTTTTATTGCAAAATAAGTTTAGAAAATAATGTTCATTCTGTTTATTTCTTGTTGTCATATGGAGAGCGCCATGCAGAGAAGAAAATAAAGAACAAATTAGATTAATGGTATAAAGGTTTGGTGGTTAGATATGCTAGATATTTAAGCTCAGGAACTATCCGTGGGTTGTTGCCTTGAGAATTGAAAATGTTCTGGAGCGTTCAAACTGTCAGCACAGAGGTTAAATTGACCTACACGCACGCAAGTCCTTGGTTGTTATACATGTCAAAATTCTGAGTATTTCTTGTGTTGCAAGGGTCTCAAAAAGATTCAACCTTTTGTTAGTCCATTTTCTAAGATTTAGAAAAAATATACAAAATCAAACTAGAGTGGTCTTCTATCCCTTCTGTGCAGATACAAAAAATATTTACTACCTCCAGCACTCAGAGGGATCAATCTAAAAGTAACTTTGCCCAGTGGTAAATTCAATATCTCGACTGCCTCCAGACATTCATGGTGTGGCAAAATCCTAATGCAGAACATTTAGCTCATAGTTTGTTCTCCCTTAACACCTCTGCTGGGGAATAGTCTTAAAACTGCAGCCCAGCATCCTGTCTGGTGAGTTTGTCTGTGTGTTCTCCATTCTGAGGATTTGGATAACAAGCGAACAAAAACATCAGTTTGTGTCCAGGATCTTTGCTATTCAAGTCACACTCAGCGGTGTGCTTATTGACATTCAGTAAAAATCCTAATCTGCCCATCTCTCTGTGTTATCACTGTCCTCTCTGTAATCAGCTCAGGCATCCATTAACCCCTTAATGTCTCATGTCCTCATCTTGAGACTAAAGAGTATGGAATTACCTCAGTTTAAAAGTTATGTCAAACCTTTACAGCAGGTACATTTCAAATCCAAAACTCCTAGTAAATATTTTCCTGGCAGAATAAATGAAATGTTTGGGGATCTGTTTAATGAAGATGCCCAGATTTGAACGCATATGTCTTTTCTTTCAGGATCTTGACAAGGCTTTTGGAAGTTTCTGATGATCCTCAAGTCATAGCAGTGGCTGCACACGATGTTGGAGAATATGTTCGACATTATCCTCGCGGTAAAAGGTAAGGAACTTTAACCCATTTTGCATCAAACCCGCTGTTACTGCAAACGAATATGTTTCTTTTCTGTTTTGAATGGCATTAAAATTTCACTTCTCTGTTTACCAGAGCGAAAGCTTTTGCCCATTTGATTGATTAGCTGTTGAAAAGCTTAAGTGACATTACCAGGGCCTTCATGAAAAATTCAGATATTTTCAATTAGGAAAACTTAGAGGTGCTGCATTAACAAAATGCAACACTGATAAAATGTTGACAACTGAAAGTTGACAACATTGCGTTTAGGTAAAAGTGAGCTAGTCATCCCTCTGTGATGACCAATTGTCCTCAAATCGACATGGTTTTCTACATTTTTGCTATTATTTTATCTTTCCTGTCCAGAAACCATGTGCTGTGATCCAAACAGTCAGTTTTAAGGTCTCAGCTAAACTTTGGATTTAGAGGATAGTTAAAATAAAAAATGAATCTTCACCTAGAGCCCTTTTAAAAAGGAAGCTAATTTTTAAGACAACAGGACTCACTCAAGAATTACTGTCTCCAGGGGAACATGGGACATTAATCTAGTCATTAAAAACCAACCACAGCTAATGATTCATCCTCTGCAAGTAAAGCAGCAATAGAATGGGAAAGGAATACTTCCTTTGCATCTAAATTCAAAGGGGGAATGATCATAGAAACAAGAAACAGTCGTTGCGGTTGTTTCAGATATTACAGAAATGGGGTTGATTTTGAACAGTTCTGTCATTTTTAAAATAACTTTTATTACATAGATACTATCTAAAATAGAAAATCAATTGAAGGAAACTAAATGTGCACACGCTCTGTCAAGACAGTTTGCAGGCAAGGTATAATTCATAAATAATAGATAATTTCGATAAATCTAATTAATTGAACCAATGCTCCAGTTCAGTGCATTTCTTCTTCTTTCCTCCTGATATTGATTCAGTCAGTCTTCTCCCCTTTTACACATTCTTCAGGTTTCCCAGCATTCTTCTAAAGATTTTGTGACACTTTGACATTTCTTCTCAACAGGTTGACATTAACAGTTTCATTAAAAGACATTGACTTTTCGAGTTAACATTCCCTGTTTCACTGCACCTCAAACCACTCTAACAAAGATGATATGGAGCAGTGTAAGTGCAAAGTTTTGTGCATTGACATGGGTTTTATTTTTTTCTCTGGTCACACCATTTACTTTATTATAAAAACATTCTGCCGCCCTTTGTTCCTTTTCCCAGTATTATGTCCTTTCACAAGGCCAGTGACCCATTATGAAATACATAGAAACAGTCTGCGGGCCTGCATTAGATTACGTGATGGATCATTGAATGACCTAAAACATGAAAATAGCATCCATGTTCTGTTTATAAAGGCTCTCTCCCATTATCTGCCATCTCAGGGTGATTGAGCAGCTGGGTGGAAAGCAGCTTGTGATGAATCATATGCACCACGAGGACCAGCTAGTCCGTTACAACGCCCTGCTGGCTGTGCAGAAGCTGATGGTCCACAACTGGTATGAACCCGTCTGTAGATTCCTGATGTTAAGTTTACTGTTTGATTTAAAGAAGCTACAAGCATGAACATACTCTGATGTTAAAGTGACGTTCAGCTACAACTCACAGAAGTCCCCCTCCTATCCTAAATAATAGATGGTTGATTAAACATAGGAATAAGTTGAGGAGATGTGTCTGAAATGATGTAAAAGTCTACTGAAGCTTTAAGTGATGTCAGTCAGCCCCCTTACCAACCTGAAAGAAGTTTAATTTTACAGGTTATTTATTCTATCTATTCAATATGTAAGAAAAGCTGATTAGAGTTAAAAAAGTAACCTTGACAAGGCTGAAAATCCAATTGTCTGTGGGCTGAGAGACTATTTATCTTTCATAAATTTACTTTTAATACTGAAAATCTTTACAAGCTCGTGGTTATAATTGATGACGAACGAGGATTTGAAATGATTTCTTGCCAGGAAAAGAAGAAGCATAAATTTGTATTGAGACCATTCTAGTGCAGATCCTTTAATGTGTGTATTTGATGTGGCGTGTGTCACATCTCCAAATACCGCTAAAGGATTTGTTTTTCTTGAACTCTGTCGAAAAATATAGATCAACCAAGTGTTGCATGTCCTCAGGGCACTTTGTTCTGTGTGAGGGCCCTCAGGTAAAACGAAGGGCTGAAAATGGTCTCGTGCCGATGAGTTTCTGAGCAGGAATTTGTGATACTAGGGCTGAACTCGCATAGCAGAACATGGAAAAACACTGTTGTTTACCATGCAGACCTCAGGATGCTGAAATCTAAAAAGGATACTGCTCTTTATGAACCTTCATTGAATAAATAATTTGTAGTCATCACGTCTGAATCTGTCAAATTGGATTTATTATTCAGGCCAAATACAAGTTGATAATTTCTCTAGAGTTTCTAACAGCACTTGATTTTGCTTCACACACAGCTCCCTGTCTGCTCTCAGTTCAAACCCTCTCTGTCTACCGGACCGCCTGAAACTCTAAAAAATACACAAGCAACAATTGAAGTGGACTCAAGTGTTTTGAAATAATACATTGTCGTGCAAAACCAGTTATGTACCTATAAAGATCGTTCCAGTGAAATGAAATGTCCATGTTTTTCCCTGCTGAGCAGTTTAACTCACAGGAGAGGGTTTTGTATCTTTCTTACTTTATTTAATCTGATTTGTAACAGCATTTTACACAAACAAATAAACCATGTTACTGTTTAAGCAGAAAAGGAGATTTAAAAGATTAAAATTTTCCAGGAAAACAAGCCCCTGAGATAACTTCATGGACAAGATTGCATGACATATATGCATATATTTTTCTCCAGAGGATAAGGCTTCTTTTTTATGTAATGAATGAAAAAAAAAGGGAAAAAATGAATTAAGTTGAGAAAGAATGACACCAGAGTGAAGAGAAATGTACTAAAATTCCAAAAGAAAAGCGAAAGCAGGTAATATGCTGGCATATGGATTCCGGCTTGAAAGCTAATGTAAAATTCAGCGTGCGACAGAATTCATTATGTCTGATATGAAAATGGACATTTCATCACGCGCGCTTTGCTACCTAGCTTTGTGAAATCAGCAGCTTGTCGTTTGAAAGCCCAGCGCACAAATCACATTTGAGGACTTTCATCTGTTCTCGTTCTTTCTTTCCCTTCCCCTCCTTATGAGATACCTCTCGCCCACTCTGTCCTCTTCAGACTCTGCCGACGACACGCTGTGCTGACGCGGCCATACGGCAATTGTTGCGTCTTTTGAAATGAGTTTGAAGGAACACATGATGAAAACGCTTTTTTTTTCCTGTTTATGCAAGTTATTCTTTCATGAGCTGACTGCGTTTCCACTTTTTCTTTTGCGAGGGACCGTAATGTGACAGAGGGTGGGTCACGTCTCAAGGTTGCGTCGTCACATCGAATTATCCGCTGCCTCCCCTCATTGCCTCCATGAAAACAGGAATGTGTGAATTCTTCTGTAGGAGAAGGAGTGGTCTGAGGTCTCTCGTTGTGATGAGGAAAGATATATTGGAAGCGGCTCGTCTCAGCTGCCTTCACCTTGGGTGGATTGTCTTGTGTTTATTGCGAGAACTTTTCCTTGTCCTCACTTTCATAAGCACCTGCTGTCATGACAACGGTGTAGATTGATATGCTCGCTGTCGTCCGTCCCCATGTCCTTTACGCCGCTTTGAAAACTCCGGTTCTTTAAGTAGGCCCACATCCTTTTGGCCCCTCACATCTGTATAGAGGGTTTTGTTAGAGTCCGTCCAGCTATTTACGCTATCTCACTCTTTGTTCTGCTCTTGCGTTTGTGATCAGACCAAAGCACATTCCTCTTTTCAGAAGCTTATAATTGACCTTTTCATGATATACTATGTGGTAGAATTTAGTTCAGTAGCCTGGCCTTTATGGTCATCAAACTATCCAAATCTCTGCTTGAGATCTCAGCGCACTCCTTTTTGAGCAGCCACAGGCGGCGAGGGAAAGAATAGTTGGAATATTAAATTGACCTTGGTTATAGATTCAAAGAGCCGCTTTCTAAATCCCCACTGCTGTTGTCAGGCCTGACTGGAATACTCCTACAAACACAGGTTTTTTTTTTGTTTTCTATATATAATGCGCCTTATCTAAATGTATTTTTGTCAAGACAATTTGACCCCAAAATAGAAATGAAAGTGCTTCACTGAATGGATTTTTTAAACTGAAACTTTCACGGGTGTTGCCTTTTCTTTCTTTCCCATTCCCTTCTTTTAAACTATTGATAGAACCTCTCAGATTAATCAAACCACATTTCCTTCACCTCACTATGGGACGCACCAGCAGCTTGTACTTTCCTTTACGGGGTCCAGAGCTGGTTGATCGATCGTACCAGGCGGCATGAAGCTCTTTGGCCCGTAAATCCCCACACAGTGGCCTCGTCATCGTTTAAGCCGTGTGAAAAATAATGTCAGCGTGTGATAAAAGTAGCTGCTTACAGTCTGGAAAATACTTTTTTTTTTTTTTTCTATCTTTAATCATGTAGTTCAGAAAACATTCCACAACATAATTCTGATGAGCACTGTGTGTTTTCAAAGCATCCAGAAATATTTTTTAATAACTGCTGAGCTCTTAATTCATGCTTAATGCAAAATTAGAGTAGTGCCAGCCATTTAAACTGGTACGGGTTGTTCTCTCTTGGGAAACTGTAAAAGATCTACTGAAGAATACAGAGAAATGATCATCTTAGTTGTACTTTTTAAGGGGAAAATAGTCTTGCCATTGCATAATATTATCTTGCCTTTTCCTTTTATTGAGGCTTTGAAAGCCAGCCCATATCAAAGGTTCCAATAAGGAGTGTCATGATCTTAAAGTGCTGCTGCCAAGAACATACCTGAAGGAGAAGCGTGACCTTTCAGAATACAGTTTTTATGGCTCAGCACTGTGTAACGTCTGGGTCAGAGTAAACGGGAGGGGCACCCCTGAAACCAGCTCCCATACTCAGGGATAATAAGGGCTGTGATTCCATCCAGACAGCCAGCCGATTAAAGCCCACTTGCATCGAGGGATAGTTTGCCATTATTACAGTCTTATTAGCACCCCCAAAACTCCATTAATCACAGGTGGAAGCAGACAAAGGCTCTAAATTGTTGAAAACTCAGTCAGAATGGAAAATGTACAGCGGATGGCTTGCAGGTGGTCTGACATGGAGATGAATAGATGCCAGCTTATTCTTTCTATGTATTTTTTTGGTTTGTTTTTTCTTTACACGTTTTTACAGTGGTGTTTAAATTTGAGCTCATTGTCATAGTATCCCAAAACCAAACGATTTCTGTTTTTAAAGAAAACCTTGGGCAAGATTTGGCTTGGTTTCTTAGTTGTTGCTTGTTCTATTGTGTTTCTGTGTGTTTTATTTTGAAAGAAAACAGGCAAGAGATCAATTCTGACACGTCCCTTGAGTCACAGCCACAGTATCCATCCATCTAGTGGTCAGCTTGTGTTTTTTTTGTTTTTTTTAGGAGGCTACAAGCAGCCATTTTAAGCTCTGCTTTGTTTTCTAGCCGTGTACTTCAGTAGCTTCCAGCTTCTCAGACAACACCTGCATCACCTCTCCTCAGCTACAACACAAATGTGACCCTACAGTGTTCTTCTCCTGTGCTTCTCTCACAGGGAGTACCTGGGCAGACAGCTCCAGTCCTCCGACCAGCAGCAGGCTCCGGCCGTGGCCGCTCGAAGCTGAAGGCTTCGCGTGCGTTTGCGTGTCATGTGTGGATGGGTTTTAAGTGTACGTACAGCGGCTCAGCTCTTTACTTCGTCCAAGGACGTGAAAAATCAAGTGATGTGGTTTCTTCTTCCCGCTGCACCCCCAAATGATCCTCAGCGTGACCTGACGAAACTGTTGTGCTTCGTGTCGTGCCCCGCAGCTAATTGATGTGTTGTGATTGAGTTCGCACTTTCTGTCTGTGATATTGTACAAAAACTGCAAGTTATTTAAGTCTTACCAGTGAAACGCCGTATGAATTCCAATAAAGAGGTTTACATGTGACACCGCCTGAAGTTTGTTTGATGTTTCCTGATCGATTTTCTGCCTAATGCCGTCTGACAAAGATTCTCCCATTACGGTGTTTTTAGATGTCATATTTGTTCACATCTACCCTCAGGAAGACAAGGTGACTGAGAAATGCTGTAGAATGTTTTGGGGAAAACATCCTTATTTTTTTTACAATACCTACATAAATGAACAAGGTCTCAAATTTATTTCAGTTTTCACTTCCCTGTAGTTAGCCTATGGTCACAGTGGTTATCTGGTCCTTTATCTACACCTCATGATGGATAAATCATCTTACAGTGACTGTTTTGTAGTCTATAGTAATGAAGTTCATTTCTATTGCTTTCAGAAAACATCTGGAATTAAACTTCAGCTTCTTTTTTTCCCCCTTTTTTTTTGCTGGACTTGTGTGTTAATCATCAGATTTGTGTTGCGTGTACCTTAGTAATGTTTGGACGGCCAACTTATTTTAAACAGGCTCTTCACATCAACTAATAGTTCTGCTGTTAGATACTTGCACTACAGGCTAAAAAACCTTCGGTCCTTTTGGGAGATGGCCATTTTCTGTTTCCTGTGGCCGCTGAGCTTTGCCAAGAAAGCAATTTTATGGCTGTCTGAACCAAGATCTGGCTTGAAGTGGTGAAGTGTGTTTCCAAAATTTTAATTACGTGACCTCTTTTATCACAATTCTCTTTGGATGTATGCATTTCACAACTCCTCCACCATTAATACAGATAATTCAAGTCCCAGCTGGCTGTGTGTGTTTTGGCATCATGGCAGGCTTTGATAAAGGACCAAAAACTAGATCAAACTTCAGGTCAGTGTGTGTTGTACCCTGTTCAAGGCCTACATTTATTTTTCTCACTATTGAGAACAATACTATTACATCTATGCCTCTGGCAGATAAAATCATTACACTGGTGTCCTCACAGAACAATGTTTTGATCACAGAAAGAAAAAGAAGTAAAGAGTAAAGAAACTCTTACATGATGCTGTGTAAGGGGATAACTTGCAAAACACTGATTCATTTGGAGTATTTAAAAAAAAAAAAACTGTTATTAAATTCTATTCTATTTGCTTGTTGGCCGTAGTTTTCTCTGAACAAAAGCTTTTTATTCTATTTGATATGACTGAAGCATTCTGTGGAAAATAACCAGCAGCTATTTTTAAAATCCAATTCACAGCTAGTATTTTTGTAAGTGAATAAGTGAATGGTTCTTTTGAGATTGCAGCTCTCCTGGTCTGGAGGGCGGGTAGACATAATTTCTTTCTGAAAACCTTCTATACTTACTGTGGTTTTAGACCTTTGGTTAGATAAAATGAGATATCTGAACAAGTCACATTAGAGCCTAGAGCAGGGGTGTCATACTCTGGTCCTTGAGGGCCGCTGTCCTGCAGGTTTTAGACATTTTTCTGCCTCTGCACTCCCGGTTCTTATTAAATTGGATCTCATCTAGACACTCAGCTTTGCTCGGGCCTGCTAATGGCACACTGATGCCAATCAGGTGTTTGGAAAGAGAAAACCTTTGAAAACCTGTTGGACAGAAGCCCTGGTTTGCTTTTCAGGAGAAACTCACAGAGGCAAACAACCTCCAGTCTAAACATAGAAAACAATACAGTACAACGATGTAACGGCCTATTGTTTTCCTTGCCTTTACAACTCAATTTTGGGGAAATGTTGAAAATAAAACTGATAACATATGTTAGATGTTTTTTTAGCCTTTGAATGAAAACAGAAAAAATCTTAACACTGAGTAAGCACTTGATGTGAAATACACGGTCAGCTCGGTCTGTCATCAAGGCTAAATGCTTCATTCTGTGGTCATGATTTCACTTCTTCCGGGACTTTTAGAACTAAAAATGTAGTCTCAATTTTCTTTCTCGGTAATATAGCAGTACTAAATATAAGAATAAAGGTGTTATTAAATCAAAGCACGTCTGTCAGATGCATTCACATGTTCCCTCTTCTTAAGGTATTTGCCCGGAGATTTTCCAGACTTCTGCTGCTAGGGAAGTATTTACAAGTGTTACCAACTGCCTTCCAAACGGCTGCTTACACAGCGGGCAGCAGGATGGGAGCGTCATGCCCGGGGTGAGCACATAATGTCTTCTGGATGTCTAAAGGAGGTTTAAAAACTCTGAGGAAACTGGAGACAGAGTTGGAAATCACGCTGTACTCAATCTGTGTCATAATGTCCAAAAATCGACAAGAATCATAAAGATTTCTTGTAATTCTTGATTTCTTGTAATAATTCTGTGAAATAATCTTGGTAGAGAGATAGAGCCCCCCATAACGTAAACATCGAATCAGGCTTTTCTTTTTGCAAACTCTGTTCCGCTCAACCCTCGTGCTTTAGAATCGAAAAGGTGTGGAGAGCAGGGATGTACCTAAAGTCAATATTTAGGTAGCGGCTCACCATCTCTGGCTGCAGTTGCCTGGCCCTGCTTTGCTCTCGAGCCTTTGTTTGCTGTGGCTGGCAAGCTGTGCTCTCAGTGCACGGCCGCCCGCACCAACTGAGTGAACTCTGGACCCTGGAACAAATGGTTTCTTCTCCCCACTGCTTTTTTAAAAAATGTTTTATCATGCTACCCACATTCCTCGTTCAGGGTCCAAGGAAAGCCTGAAACTGGCTATTTGTGAGCACAGTTGGCCTCCGCAGCTTGTTTTCAGATGGGACTCACCAGAGGCGATGCCGTTCTCATATTCTAGTCTGTGTGTCTCTCAGGAGAGCGAGCGCTTTCTGAATATCCAACGATTTAATGAGGGACAGAAAAAAGTTTTCTGGGCGTGGTCTTCCAAAACTGCAGGAGACAGAGGAGGGCCGCCGTCGTCCGATGATGTTGATTAAACTCCTTTGTTCTTGTAACCATGGGTCAAAGACGGCGCGTTCCCATAGTGACAATCTAAATAAGACTCTGCCAACGGCCACGCAGCACGGAGCTCGTTTTAGGGCCAGATTGGAGGAGAATTACAGGTACAAGAGCCGTGTCCAGGCCTCGCTTTCAGCGTGTGAAGCCGTAAATTGTGGATGCCTACAGCGCCATGCTGTGAAATCAGCGGTGTTATGTGGACACTGAAATTACCTTGATTGAGAGCTACACTTCATATATCTCATGAGCGAGCAAAGGAGCATGATAATTAGTCTCTTGCTGGGCTGTGTCCATTCACTCCAAACTGCACTGAATCACTATTCGGAAAAACTGTTTTCTCTCTAGTAGCCTGAGATGTTAAAATAGACCCAGCTAAATCCAACTAACAGGGAGTCATTTACTGGAGATTGTGGACACAGTTGGGTCCCTGTGGTTAGACAGGGACTGAAACGCTGCCTGTTTAACCTGAATTGATGGCAACTTTATTGTTATCTGAGTTCAAATCTGAAGACGCCCCACATTTCCACATATATTTGCATTTATGATAGCAGAGACCATTCATTTAACTGCACTCAATATTTTCTTTGATGAGGCTTCCAGAGCTTCTAAATACACTGTATTATTCCACCACTGGAAAAAAGGCTGCTTCCACTTTGAGAAGGCTGGTTAATTGACAGGGCCTTAGTGATCTTTTTTTCCCAGTTAGCCTCACCTCAGAGCAGTTTTCAGTCCCTCAGGCTGCAGTCGGCTACCCAGAGAGCGGTATGGCTCCGGGCTTTCACAGACTATACACCTGTAAGTGTCCTTGGAAAGACATTGAACGCCTCGTTGCACACTGATGCATTCATAGCTATCTGAATGTATACCAGCACTGTAACCCATGGACAAAGACCATCTTTCTGTGTGGGTAAAAAGCTCCTACATACAGTCCATATATGCTTCTTTATGCTCTAATAGATTGCAGATTCTGGGTAAAGATGAAGAACTGGTTTCTTTGTGTAAATACTGGAGACATTTGTTTGATTTTAAAGTTGAATTCTGATTAGATTGAGATTAATACCCATCAGTGTCACTTTCCAAAACAGAAAGCTCCACATTTTAAAGCCAGTTGCCTCCAGGTAGGGGGTTTGTGAGCTCTGCCAGGGCCTACGTGGAATTTTACCCGCTACTCGGACTCCTCCCACGGCTCAGTTTAATGTTTGATACCGATTCAAAGCTGCCTGCTCCGATTGGAACATTTCTGTTCCATTACATAAAGGTGTGCTTTCGTCACTTATTAAACAGACGTGTTCTTTCACAGGAACAAGCGAAAAGTACAAAAATGGGACGATTTGTAATTCTCATCATTTGGGTGCTGGAGTGCATTCACTGTATCCCAACACTGCGGCACAGGAAGGCTTACTGCATGGCGGCATCACGATAAATGATTCAGCAGTGGTCAGATTCAGACAAATAGTGGGCTCTATGTTTTTGGATGAACACTTTCACAAGCTGGCTCTCTGCCACAGGATTTTATATCCAGGTAACTTGATAGCTTGATTTGGAAACTATCTATCTCTTTGGAAGAAAACAGAAAATCGTAGGCCGAAGACAATGAATGGGTTGTGTTTAAAAGGCAGATTATGTAGAGGAGGAGTGCTAAGTAAGCATCATTATGATGTGCGCTCATGCTTATCTGTTAAAACAATTATTTACATGAGGCTGAGCCTGACTGACTGACATCAAGTGTGCAGATTAATTTAGGTTCCTGTTGTCATAATGTGTCTATCTGCCAGATTTAAGTTTGTTTGAGTGTCCAGCTAATGGCGTATTTATTCACTTTTAATCTAGCAAATGTCCCTTTGTGAACCGCATACAGTGTGTTTGAGCTGGTTGTCATCTAAGCATAACTGATGCTTTTAGAGCCTGAGATTTACTGCCTAAAATTCTATTTTACTTTGTGCTGTTTCAAGAATTTTGTGTTGTTGGAGTCCATCATATAATGTGAGTTTATTTTTCAGAGGAATTCATTCCAGGTCCTCCACATAGGAATTGGCCCATAGGGTGTCACAGGCAACTACCAGTTTCATTTTATAGATTAAAAGCAATAATACATGTTTTTCCAAATCCCATTTAATGTCTTCCTTCAGGAGCTTTCTGAAGTGGTTATGAGAAAGCTACAGTGATAAGTCAAATCTAAAAACAAGACTTGTTTATTTCTTATGCGGAACGTGTCTGAATGTTCTCCTAACATAATGAACACTGTTCTGTGGCAGCAGTAGCAGCTAATTAGGGGAAATCTGCCAGAATGCAGGGATTGTTTTCACACACGTGCGGCTAACTGCTGCCTGCCCGATCCCCAAAGCTTCACCGATGCTTCTCTGTGTCCAAATACATCCTCATTTTTGTTGCAATCTGTTCCTCTCCGAAACAGAAACAGCGGTAACACCAAACTCCCGGTGAATCCTTAGTGTGGGCTCGGCCCCGACGCACGCTGATAACATTTTCACAAACCACAGTCAGAGTCTGGCCATCTGGAGACCCGGGAGCGCGGGCGATGACCTCTGAGGTGCTCTCTGAACAACGTCTGCATGCAGAGTCTCTTTCACACAGACAGTTATGCTACGACAGTTGAGTCTGACAAACTGAACTCTTGACTCTTAAAGCACGAGCCGCTCCATCGCTCTGTCATCTCCCGCCGGTACCAGCGCCGCGCCAACGTGCATGATGTGCGCGGGTGTTGTTTCTGATGAATGAATGTGCCAAATAGCAGCGAGGCCATTTACGAAAAAAAAAACAGCGGCAAGCTGAGACCGAGGCGACAGCTCCCCCTTCCAGCCCCGACGGTGAACCATCACAGACGAACCACGTGGGGCCTCCAGGTCTGCCACAGCCCCGACTGAGCTCAAGATGATAGGTCACAAATGTGCCCCATCAGTGTGACAAAACCTGATGGGATCCCTCTGGAAGGACGAGATAAACTGCCCCAAATGCAGTCGAGAGTTACCCAGTAAGGCTTTTTCTCTCAGTTTTAGTTAAATCCAGAGCTGATGATAAAATTCATGAGGATCACATTCAATCTAATGTCATGTCTGAAGGTAGGACAGTGGATTTGGATTCAATCATACCTAAATCTTTGTGTATTTTCCTTTGCTAAGAGTTATTTGCTTTGCTAGATCTCATGGGATGTGTAATACTAAGACACCAACATGACAGAATAAAACATTTCTTCTCACTTGTCTTGTAAAAAAGAAAATGTCAGCACTATCATTGACTTCCCTTCGAGACAGGACCTGCCCATAGAGTCTTAAATGGTTGATTCAGTGGCACATATCCTGTGACACTGAGGCAGGAAATGACTTCCGAATGACACGTTGCCTTTTTGAAAGGTCTCCGGGATCAACGCTCACATTATTTCTCCGAACACACACTGCGGAGGCAGCCATGGGTGGACGCCGCCTGGAAACTTTGATGGGAGATGCAGCAAGCAATTTTTGGGATGACTGGATTATTATTATTTGATTTTCTCTGAAGAAAGAAAACTGTTTTGCGCTAAGCACTGCAGACTCAGACCGGAATCAACTGATGGATAGATGAAATGAAAGGAAAGTTTTTCCATTATGTTGCCTTTTCAAAGTATAAATGAGACTTCTGTGAACTGACATTCACATTTTTCACGCAAACATTTGCAGACAAAAGGACTTTAAATGCAAACTAGTGCTGTGAAGGATGTTTTCCTCAACAAATTACAAGTATTACTTTGAGATTGGTGAAGCAATCTTGCATTTCTCAATAACTGAAATACTGCAGTTTTGGCATTATATCCACCGAATTATAGCCTTGTTTCTGTTTTCAACTGCTTTCGGGATAAAACTGCCAGAAATCAACAATAAACCCACCTGACAGCATATTAAAGTCTGTCCATATTTGAATTTCCCAATACAAATCATTCTGCTGTCCATTCTTCTTTTGTCCCCTTTCAAACTGAGAGACATAATATCATGTCTTTCAAGTAATTACTTAATCTTTACTCTGCCAGCAGCATTGTGCAACAGGTCTAACTGGGGGTGGGTGGAGAAGCGAATACCTCTCAAAGGAATCAATAGTTAAAGATTCAAATGACTTTTCTTTATGGTTGGGGAAGGCTTCTGTCAATGAAATATAGATATTTGCTGTGATGAGACTGACCCTCTTCTCATCTTGAAATCTGCTCAGAAACTACCCCCACTATATATTTTTGCTGAAGAAATATGGCAATGAATGTGCAACAAATAATAGAGCGTCTCAATTTTCCAAATCAGCCGAGCGAAACGGGATGCAAGCTGAAATGAAAATGTAATCAGCCTGTGAAGCGCACCTCAAATAATGAGTTTTTAATCTACATCTTGGAAAAACTAAGGAAAAAAACCCACAGGGAGAACCTTAAATTCAAAATATTTCATTATACCATTAACTTAAGCATTTAACAGAGTCGATGACACAAGTTTTCTGTTAAAAAGGAGCTAAATACAAAAAGAAGGAATTTATCCTTGACCTCCTCTACTGGAGGCTAGATAAGCCTTTCCCATCCTCCTGTGGAACTCGAATGAAAAAAAATGAAGGCTTCAAGTGCCGGAGGAAGCAGAGCTGATTTGATCTGTTCATAAACAGACCTTTGGCACAGCATTATTAAGATTCAAGGTAAACACCGCAACTGTATTCCTCCTCCACTGATACCCTCATATGAGAGCAAATGGAGGGGGATTCAGCTGCTATTAGTTCAAGGTTCAACTAGGACCTCTGAATGAGTTTGTATCAAATATTTGTGCTTACAAACACAGGCTATGTCACGGTTTTAAGCCTGCCGGCTCTAGACAATAGGAGTGCACTGACAAGAAAGCTTTGTCACTGAAGCAACGACTGGCCATGATGGGTCTCTAAGCAACTACTGTAAGTGCATGAAAGGAAAAAGCTACTTACTTAATGACAGGCTGGTTGACACATTCCGTGTATTTGTTGCGAGAGAAAATAGAGCAACTAGTTGGAAGGGAGTAGCCTGATTTTTTTTACAAAAGCAGCACTTATTCCATTTAAAGCTTTTTGGATTTCTTTTTCTTTTTCGTTTTGACATTCTGTGCTGTTACAGGAGTGATGGGGAGATTCTCGACAGAAAGTGGACCTGATCAAATAGACACAATGAATATGAAGGAGGCGGTGTAATAAGATACCACAAAGTAAAAGGCTAGAATAGAAGCAATGTTCTTTTTCTTCAGATTTTTCTTTTAAAAGAGTGTCGATGAGGTAATGACCAATTTTCCTTTGAAGTTGTTCAAAATTCCTCGCACATTTTCTGATCATATTGTGCTGCTGGCAACGAAAAAAAAAATAGAAAGAAAGATGCAATCATCTGATGGCTGCTGCCCCGCTTATGTGGAATAGTTTTTAGTTTTCTACTTTTTTTTTGCATGGCATTGGCAGCAGCACAGGAGTTGCTAGGGAAATTTTTCCAGCAATGATGATGGGTGTTGTCTTAAAGATGTTGAAGCAAACTTAGTTGTTTTATTCCTCTTGGCAACCAATAAAAAATATTAAAAGATTTGTCCAAGTCAGCTGGGAGGAATCAGCCAGCAGATGTAATAAAAGGTCACAGTTTCACAGGTGATGGATCCTCGGTGGTGCATGCTGGTGGAAATAATCAAAACCTAATGAAATTCTAATGAAGTGAGACAAATGTTTTTTGGTAAGTCTTGTTCAGATAGTTGTAGCCCTTCTGCTGGCTGCCACATCGGTTGGCTCAGCCTCTGATGTCACTGAATGAGCAGTGCGGGCTTCCAGTGCGCACCTTCGGGGGCGCAGCGGTGGCACAGGCTGTGAATTTTTTAGCTCCTCCATCTGAACAGAAAACTATCCTTTCTGCTAAACTCAAGGTTTCAGTCTGCGGCTGTGCGTCCAAAGTGCTTTTCCCCCCTCGTGTTTTGCTTATTTGAATGAACTTTTTGCCGGTAGAAGAAAAAAAAAAAAGCAGGTAAAGTATTGTTGCGCTTGTTTGATGGTGTCCTTGAGCGCGGGCTGCTGTGCTGTTTTTTTTCTCTCTCACATATGATCAACAGTCTTTGCGTGGAGAATTTTACCCTGCGTTGTGTTATTGCTTTTTTTTTTTTTTTCAGCAGACTTGGCAGATTCGGTTGTTTTGGCCGACGTTTGTGGTCAGTTTACGCCCAGCAGAAAGCGGCAGCAGCGTTCAGCACCATGGAGAGCGGCGTGGTGCACATCTTCAAAGAGGAGCGGTGTCCTTCGGGGCAGCCCGGGGAGTGCATCCCCAACTTCACCTGGCAGCCTGGCTTATCGGACATCTTCAACTACACTCCCAACGGCACCTGGGACGCTGAAGCTGAGCCAATGTCGCCCATCATCCCGATCATAGTCGCCCTGTACTCGGTGGTGTTCGTGGTGGGCTTAGTGGGTAACTGTTTGGTGATGTATGTCATCATTAGGTGAGTTCTTATCTTTGATATATACATATATAAACAGATATGTATGTGTACACGTACATAAATGCGCGGTGTACATGGTGCGTAAAAACTGTGACGGACAATGGATGGAGATTTCCAGCATGGTCCGGCTCTTAAATCAGATGGAAAATTGACGCGTATTGTGAGACTGCTGCGCATTGATGTGCAGTCACAAACGTGTTATGTTAAGGTTCCCAAGTCCACACAGTGCCACAAATGGAAATATACCAGGACAAGTGGAAAAGGAAGGCTTAAAACCAAACGTGATTATATTTATTTACATATATATTGGATTTGCTTTGATTGTGACGCGTGCGCACTCCCCGAAGAGACGTGATTTTGTTATGTATTATTTTTAGCTATTGTATTGCATCGTATGTTTGTTTACTTTCTCTTAAAGCTCATAAAATCTTCATAATGTAAGGTGCAGTCGAAAGGTTTTAATTTTTAAATAAATTAGTACCAAACAAATTAAATAAACAGAAGCTTCCATAAGCAAACCTTTATCCTCCAAATTGAGATCGCATGTTGAATTATTTGATCCTCTGTTTTCTGTCTTTCACAATACTCTGTGGATGTATACTTAATGTAGAAAGATAATTTGAGTGGACTCCCTTTTTGGAAGACTTAAACAACAAAGAAGGAATTTACCTTTACAGGAACATCTACACATGGTGTGTGACACATAAACATTAATACAACAGCATGCAGAAACTTTTTTTAAAACTTCAATTTAATGCAATTGGCATATTTCAAAGGAATATGAAAAGGAGAGAACAAAAGAAATTTAAAAAGTTTTCTAGAACTTTAAAAAATCCTAGGTATATTCGAAAAAATTTGACTGATTGACTTCAGACGTAAAGACTGTAAAAGACTGTGAGCTAATGCTTTAACTTTATGTTGCATAATTGTAGAACAGCAAAGAATTTTGGTGATTTTTCTTTGATTTTTTTAAAGCATCAACAGAGGACAGAGTCTTCAGGTGCTCAGGTAGAACAGAAGTAAATCATTAAAAGTAGGCCGAGGCATAGAGCCAAAATTGTCTACTGGTCTGACACATAAACACTTAAAATATGGATGGTCAAGGTTCTCAGGCCTGAAGAAGAGAGTGACCAACTGGTTTGCTCCAAATCCAGAACCAGTGATGGTAGAAGGTTGTATTAGTGCAAGATGTGCACGAGTTCTGATAGACCATAAACTGCCACCCAGGTTACTTCTTTTTAATGATTTGTTTATCTTCTTCGAATAAGACAATGCCGCATTCAGCATGTGTTACAGCAGCATGGTTCTGCAAACAACATGACAAAAGGAGACTTTTAAGATGCTTAAACCCCTGATTAAACATGAATTAGTGAGTATATTTCTGGCAAAACTACACCTGCTGCCCTCCTTTTTCCACCGAAGTACAGAAACCTGTTGCTAAAACAGGAGGTGTGATAGCATGTGTGATAATAGGTTTTTGTTTATAGTGAAAAACATCGCAACACTATCAAAGCAATTTAAAAAATGGGATAATGGCTGCTTTTCAGGGCCACGAGTTCCCTGCATGTTTGCCTTTTGCATTCTGTGAAACACTCACGCATTCTCAAGAACTGTTGACAGTTGTAAGTATGAGGCGTCAGGACACGTCATGTTTTTATGGAAATTGTAACATGCTTTCGAATTGTGTTGCATGAAACTGCCACAAATAAACAAATGTGCAAAATAAAAAGAATAAAAGAACTGTGACAGATAAAGGGGGGGGGCTAGCACGCGACCTCATACCATGAGCTGTCTGGCAGATGCAGCGAGGTCAAAGATCACAACTGTATTTTTGTTCTTAACTGCCAGGGACTGTCAGTTAGAGTGGTGTAAAGAATATATAAACAGATTTTTAAATCAGTGTAGATTTTGCTTGGTGTACAACACACATGGTTTTGACCAAAAAATCAAGGTTAGTGGTTAAAATATGTAAGATGAACGCTGCTATTATAGAGAGAGAGAGAAAAAGATCACCTCACATCTGTGTCTTTGTTGTCAACCCTCTGTTTCTTGGAGATGGGGACAAATGTACCTATTGCCGTTTATTTGTGAGACTAGCTCAAACAGTGATTAATGACCCATGCATTTGGAATAGAGATGGAATGCAACAGGTTCTCTGGAACATGCTTCCCGCTTTCAAAAACGAGCGCAATATATATTTTTCAGATTCAATATTTTCAAGATAAGTGATTATGAGATCACATCTATTTTTCTTTTCTTAAACTACAATGATCTGCATAAAGTGGATCAGCTGTCTCAGGAATTTGACCTCTCCTCCAACTACAGATACACCAAAATGAAAACAGCCACCAACATCTACATCTTTAACTTGGCCGTGGCCGACGCTCTGGTCACCACCACCATGCCCTTCCAGAGCACCGACTACCTGCTCAGCTCCTGGCCATTCGGTGAGGTGGCTTGCAAAGTCTTCATCTCCATTGATTACTACAACATGTTCACCAGCATCTTCACTTTGACCATGATGAGCGTGGACCGCTACGTGGCCGTGTGCCATCCGGTGAAGGCCTTGGATTTCCGCACGCCCGTCAAGGCCAAAATCATCAACGTGATCATCTGGGTGCTGTCCTCTGCCGCCGGGATCCCCGCCATGGTACTCGGAAGCACCAATACCAATAACGGTACACCGACTATGCATTGATCTTAACCCCCACACTGGTGTGAAGTGGAGTTTTCCCTCTTATCTCCAGCTTAATTTACATCTGTGCTTGCAGACTCTTACTGGAGTTTTCCCAAACCTCAATTTTGTAAACAGGATGCAGATTTGATCAGTCAGCGTTAAGAAACTCACTAATTAAAAGGCAGATTAAAATCTGGTCTTCAGTGACTGTCTGATGCTCACTTTACCAGATGTTATTTGGCTTTCTCATCAATCTGATCTGAGTTTAATCTTTCTGAACAAAGCTCGAGCATAAAGATGCATGCAATATGATTTGAACCTGGTCGGTGTGTTAAAACCAACTCTAAGTGTTAGAGTGACTGAGTTTTCCAGGTCATGGTACCTAAGCAATAAATGTTAACTTGCGTTGGTGATCATCTGAGCTCTCCTTGATAATGTAACTTTGGTTGTTTTATAACTGGAATATCCTAAAACAACATCATTTGAAAACATTGTCGAAAGATATAATCTCCCTTGAGAAGGAATTTTGATGCCATGAACTTTGATTGTTCTTTATTTCTTTTTCTTTTTTGTCAACTGTAAGCACATCCCCCACTTAAATGAGCATTTAATGCATTTTATGGAACTAATTTGATCTTTGGAGGTAGGCATTTAAAGATCTGATCCAAACCCTAATGGAATGAGTAACTATATTAGTGAAGAGAGACTTTATTAAATCTCTTAAAGGGTAAAAACATGTTTTCATAAGTGACATTACAATACGTTTTGATATTGTATAATGATGAGCTCTGTTATGCTCCTATCAAAGTTGATGCATGTTATCAGCCATCCATCTACCCACCATTCCCTGGCTCTTTAATTTCGGTGATTTTATTCTATCTCATTTCCATTGTTCCTCTACACTTTGCTGTTTTTCTGGAACAGGCACCACAGAGTGCGCTTTACAGTTCCCTGACCCCTACGCCTACTGGGACACCCTGATGAAGATCTGCGTCTTCATCTTTGCCTTCGTGGCCCCCCTCATCATCATCTCCGTGTGCTACACGCTGATGGTCCTGCGGCTGAAGAGCGTGCGCCTCCTGTCGGGGTCCCGCGAGAAGGACCGCAACCTGCGGCGGATCACCCGCCTGGTGCTGGTGGTGGTGGCCGTCTTCGTGGTCTGCTGGACGCCCATCCACATCTTCATCCTGGTCAAAGCGCTGTCAGCCAACGTGCCGGAGACCACCGCCGTCATGGCCGCCTACTTCTTCTGCGTGGCGCTGGGCTACACCAACAGCAGCCTCAACCCCATCCTCTACGCCTTCCTGGACGAGAACTTCAAGAGGTGCTTCAGGGACTTCTGCTGCCCCAGAATGCGAGGACACGGGGACTGTCACGGTGTGAGCAGAGTGAGGAGCACCCTGAGGGATCACACGTGCCCCACCGAAGCTCGAGGAGACAAGCCGGCCAGGCCCGTATGACTAGCCATGGACACGTCCTCCATGCCTTATCAGAGCTGGGAGGACTCCAATGATCTGTGTTTGACTCAAGTCACCACCGCCATCTGAGCCAGAGTTCAAGGGAAAGACCAAAACCAACACTTATCTGACAGTAATGCCGAAGTATTTTAATGCCCTGCAGCAACAAGCTCACAAGAAGTTCATTCTTTCTCTCTTTTTAGCCTTTTATAAAGCTGTTGATTTAAGTAAACAAATACATTGTAGGAGTGCTTCACAGCTCCAGTGTATAACTTTCAGTAGCAGATATGTTTTTATTGATTTGTTGAGGGAATGTTATCTGAATGAAAATGAACATTTCTGAAGATAACGCAAAAAAAGCCCTCATTGTCCACTGTAATTTGACATAAATACTACTCAGTAATTGCAAACTGTGAGATTTCTGCCCCTCTGATATGTAAAAATGTTGGCCATTTTTTGCCCACATCTGGTGGGTAAAATAAAAATTCTGATTAAGGTTTATTTATGAAGATTAAGTTGAAAATTGTACATTTACATTTTGGATAAATTGAATTCATTTCCTTGTAACCAATTAATGAATTAAATTGTTTCTTTTTAGATTTACAAATGCACCAACTGGTGCCAGTTTATTCTTTAATAATCATCACAAGTACTGAGAGATGAGATTTGTTTTGGTCTTTTTGTGTTTTTACTTTATTTTCTTATTGAGATGATTATCAGGCAGCATCTTTAAAATTTTAATCAGATTCAAAGCTCATGAACTCTGATGGGCTGCTCTTGACAAATTGGCCACACCAGATTGCAGATAGCTGTACGTGATTTGATCATTCATGGCAGCCCGGTTATTTTACACATTATTAATATCAGCAGAGCGAACACAGGACAGATTTCCAAACAGAATTTAGAAATGTCTCTTTGTTTGTGTACACATTTTGTTCACTTTGTTCCCATTGCAGCGAATAACGTGATCTTCACACGCACAAAAGATGAAGGGATGCTTTAGGCGCGGAGTGAAAAGAAACGTGCTTGTCCCTGATTACTTTGGGAATGACGTGCAACACAAACACTGTTTAAAGCTTACTGTGTTTCAATGTGAGTTTGTGAGTAGTGTTTGCGGTATTGTACATTTGTAAGCAGCTTTTGATCATATATATAAATTTATAGATATATCGAATATTCAATAACCTCTCAGGAATCGTCCTTTGTGAATCATGACTGAATCACAACGTTTTCTCCTCCATTAGATGATTGACTTTGATGATGCTTCACCATCGACCATCAGCTGCCCCCGTACTTTGTGCTGTTATAAACTGTTCTTGCGTCTGACACTGCTCCACACTTCTTATCATTTTCAGCCGTGAGGCTGTGTGTCATGGAGGAGACGGCGAAAATTGTTCACATAGAGTCAACATTGACTTTTTCACCTGAAACTATAACTACATGGGCAGAGGGCTCCAAGGCAAAAGCCATTAAGACTGTAACATATGTGTAATTAGAAATGTGTCGAAACTGACTATTAATGTTGTAATGGCTCAACATCAATTTACTGCTATTTTCTCCTCTTGATTTCATCTCTTGAGGCTTGATTAGTGGATTTTTACTTGTGCAATTTCAGTGTGATGTTGGATAGATGTTTTAATAGAAGCATGCAGTCTTTTTTAGCTTTAGAAAACATCTTCGACTGGGTTATTGTACATATATAAATATACATATACAGATTGTTTGTGCCAGTATAATTGTTTCAGCAGAATTTGAGCCAGTATCTGATGGAGTGTATATATCATGTCTGTTTAATCTTGTTAAGATATTCCTCATACAAACAATGTACATTTTTTAAATTTAATTATGATAGATGTTTAGAAAAAATAGTTGACTGACTTTGATTTTCCAACTTGTTAATACTGAGCTAACTATCAATGTAACTAACTGTTTAAATGTGATATTTTCAGAAGTAGAATTAACAAAAAAGGTGTTTTTGTGCCTTGTTTGTGTGCCTTCTGCCTTAATTAACGTCAACAATTAATCGCCTCCATTATACAAGTTTTTAAGCATATAATATTGGAGAATTATTTAAGAGTATTAAGTCTGACAGAGGCTATCCCCCGGTCGATTGATGAATATGTTTGTCTCCTAATCATTCTGCTAAAACTGTAACAAAGTCACTTTAGATTCTGACAATATTTAAAGATAAGGCTAAATTCAGCCTGACTCTGAGCCTGGTTCGTGTATATTGTGCCGCTGCTATATGTGTTGGATATTTTAATGTACTTTATGGCTTTGAATGTCAAAACATGCGTCACATATTGCACAACTATGTCCCAATGAAGGAATAAAATGGGTTTAAAGAAGTTGCTATGAGGGAGATTGTCTTTTCAGTTCAAATCTCTGCTGGCTCTAAGGAGAGAAATGGAGTCAGAAATCAACCCTAACACTGCAGCCCACCTCATTACTGATTCTTTTTCTCAATCTTGTGTTAGCTGCACACAGTTCCCATACAATACCAGAGTTTCCATGGTGAGCAAGCTGCACGACAGGCAAAGGTCCAAAGATGGTTTTACTAATTGTAAAGTATTTTCTGTTGTGACCTTGCTAAGAAATTTGCCGGTCAATTTACATCTTTGTGTGAGAAGCTTGAGAATCACTTTTCAAATCCCTTTTATGCGCGCATTGTGGATGTTCTGTCATTTAGGGTAAGCCAGAGCTGCCAGGACATTAGTTTAATTCGATTTCTCTTAAGGATTCAGTCATTTTAAATACTTTATTTTGAATACTCTACAGCCGTATATTGACAAGTGTGTGATGAAAAGAGAATTGTCAGCTTACATAAGAAATTGGTTCAGGAATGTGAATTGTCCCTTAAATGTCAAATTATTGTGAATCAATTTATCCCCCAGTCACTGCATTATTTTCCACATATTAAGCAAAGCATTTCCTTTAATGAACAATTACAATCCTTCAATAGACCATGTAGGAAAATAAAAAAAGAAAAGATTTGATGGTGCTGCAGCATTAGTGGGTATGGAATGGTTTTGGATGGGAAACGCTCTGTGGTCAAGACGGTGTGAGGGATGTCTGCAGACTGTATATTTGCTCTCATTTTGGACAAAACCTGCAGCTTAAACTACACCAAAGAGCATAAAATTACAAAAGAAAAATCTTAAAAGCTCTGAGTGTATTTTTGGGGTTGCACATTATTCACTTTCTTTCATGAGATGAGGACATTTTAGATTAGTGTGGCTGTAGTGGTAAAGTTTGTCGTTTCAATTTTTTGTTTTTCTAATTTTCCAATTTCTTTGTTTGTTTTTCTTTAACAACCTTTCCCACCTTGGGTGTCCAATACTGTGGTCTGATTGAATCCAGGAGATGGTTATTGTGTGTCTTGTGATGGTTTATTGTACAAAATTAAACTTGATTATAGCAAAAGAAATGTCCAAGTTTGATGTAACAAATCACGGTCAATGACTGTCTCAGCTTGTATCAGCCCCAGCTGCTGTCCCGCATCACAGGCTTTTATAGGTGCAGTTCCCGCCTTCACCTATAGGTGGGAACATTGAAACAAACTGGCACAGAAATTAATTAAGATATGTAGAAATTAAGAAAGTATGTGGTCAAATAACTAAAATAAACAAATGGCTCCTACAGTGGCTCTGATGCGTTTTGTGGGGACCCTGGGCTCGGCTGTCACATTGAGAACATCAACCCAACAGTCAGGCAGGGGTCAAATGGATGAAATGGGGAGGGAATTTTATTTAGGATATTATTCGTTGCATTTGTAGATGTGTCCATGTCTCTTCAAGCTTGGCATGTGAGAATATCCAGTTTGATGTGAGACAATATAGAGGAGATTATAAAGAAGAAAAAAAATCTAATTACCTGTAATCATATTCAAAAGCCTCATAAAACCCTATATTTCTTGAGATGTGTCTGGCAGTGGTTCACTGATTAATCTCTGCTTAACAACGTGTACAAATGAAAAGACTGAAAAATAAGATTTAAATCTAATTAGAGAGTTATTTCTGCACCAACTGAGCTGCCAGTGTTTATTTTTATTTCAGTCTCTTTGTGTCAGTAGTTGTCCACGAGTGTTGCAAATCTTTTTTTATTCATGTTACTTCCGATTTCCAGGCTTTCTACCCTAGGCTTTGATGTGTTCTCGGTGTGGGAGTAAGTGAGTTTCTGTTTAGTTTGAGTCCCATTTGTACATCAGTCTGTTCTTTGGATGAAGTCTTTTCTCTGATCTCTGCACATTTGGATTCTATGAGACAATTCTACCACGCTCACCTTTTGTTTGTCATTATCTCTCTTGTTTTACATACTCTGTTGTTTTCCTGTCTACTTTAGTACCTCAGCATCTTTCTGCTTTGACAGCGCTTTTGGTTAGTTCAATTGCAATTTTCACATCTGACCACGACCTGCCTCCTGCCTGCTCAGCTTGTTTCTTTCATTGACATTGTGCACGGTAAACATTGTTTATTTTATTCAAGAGCAATTATTCAAATGTTCTTGGATCCAATTCAATTATTGAAAAGTAATTCATTTGGGATTCATTTTGATTTTAAGCAAATCTTCCTAGAGGTACACTCACTTTGAAATTGTGGTGTATTTTGGACTACCTGGTTTTATACAGTGCGTGAGCTATTTTCATCAGGTTGTCGTTTCAGGGAACCTTTTTGGAGTACTAAAATCCTCCTTATCTCATTCATCCAAAGTGCTACTTGTATGCATGTGGGCACTTAGCACTCTGGAAGAGTTCCTTTTGAACTGACATTTCCGTTTTGCATATTTAGAAATTTCCATTTTCCTGCACTGCCTTTGGAGTTTACTGTTGACTTTGTATTCTGCCGCTGTGTGAAGTCTTGCTGCTGAACAAATTTCACTCAATTACAAAATAAGGCTGACTTTGAGCATTGCAGTGGTAAGGCTAGATGGCTAGCTAAATAGAACGTTTGGGCAGAGAGTTTGCATCACATGGAAAAATCGGCCAGTTGCTACATTAAAAGTAGTTTAAAAATTAGTTTAAATTCATCCTAATTCCAACCATGTGTCGCTGAGACACTACCATGATTCCTTTCTATGGAGTACTTGTAAGGTTTGGGGGAAAAAAGAAAGAATTCCCTCTTACGGCAACACCAAGAAAGTACTTAAAAAATTTTTTAACGACTACACTGTCACTTCTGCTGAGGAGCTAAACCTGGCCACGGTGTAGCACTGCTTCATAGTTTGGAATTGTATTTTTAAAATGAAAAGATTTCTGAGATCCACTTCTTGTGACCAGCTGACATTTGTGAACCCCTTCATGTCCTTCACCGCTGCTGACAGCCCTAATGGTGCACTGATAAGAGGTATTCTTACAGTTTAGAGAGACAAATTAAATAATTCAGTCCCTGGCTGCACTGATGAAACTGTCAGCCATAATTACCTAGATTACTTCATTTTCTGTCTTTTTTCCATTCCCTGTCTCTCAAGGTGCACGTGAGCCGGTGAGCAATTACACATAGTGGCCTCTTTAATTGGCTCTTGCTCCTGTCAAGTATATAACAGGAATCAATGTTCAAAGGAAAACTGTCATACGTGACATGTTACAAAAAAAAGCTAACGTTAGAAAAATATATCTTGGAAATGCAAGTTGATATTATGTGTTTTATTATGATATTTTTTTAGAAGATCATCCATCCAAGCCATTGACAAATAACAATAAAATGTGTTTTAAAATGTGTGTAACTTATATTTTGCTATGCTTCATAGATTTCTCGATAAATCAAAGTGAGGTTGACAGATTATGTTAAAGTCTCTTTGCTGTGAGCACTTTGTCTGTACCTTTTCTCTGGAGGCTGCAGATCTGTGGTTGTGACTGTGAGCAAAACATTGATAAATGGATTTTGGCCCAGATGCTCTGCAGACCTGTCTAAGAAGGTGAGTGGTGTTATTATCCACAAGAGATGTTTCTCTTTTTTTCAGATGAATCAAGATGACAAAGTATCACTGTCATGTTGAAGGAGGACAAACAGCAGAAATAGAAACGTTTTTCTTTTTTTTGCAACCTGGAAACCTAAAAGTGCAGAGTAAAATCCGACCTGTTTCCAAGGCTACAGAGATACAGAAGCAACAATTGCCCAAAGTATTACTCTCCCCAACCACTCACCACTAACAAAACCATTTTTGATCCGCTCTGATTTTAGTCATTTAGAAATACCTCTCAAAGTTTTACATATTCTTTGCCATTTTTTATTAAGAATTGATAATCCTGCACCTAAACCAAAAGCCAAATGTACTGGCATCTTCCTCTAAAATTCACTTATATTAACCATATAATTCCCTAGGTATCATATTTGATACACACTGAGATGTTTTGCATCTGAGACCGTTTACATAATTTAATGGTAAAAATTCAAAACCCTGTTATACACAATCTTTTCTTGGATCAGTTATTAAAGTGTTGAGCAAATAATAAAAAATTCTGTCACTCTGCAAATGGAAAGAAATACACAGAAAATGTTCACAAAATTATCAACCTCTTCAGGAAACAAAGAAATAGAACTATAGCAATAATTCCCAATCATTATTTATATAATAATGTATAGAATTCAAGTGATGTAGTTGGTGCCATTCTGGTTATAATGAAAAACCTTGCTCAAGTTCTTGGCTCGTGAAACTCGAAAAATCCAAGATTCTATTAAACATTTCATTGCCTCTCATGTTTATGACCCTCTGGAGAAAGTCTGACTCCTGGTTTATGTGGCACTTTTCAAAGTTTTAATGTAGCTTACTTGTGCCAGTTTTGGTACACTGTAGATTTTTCATTTGAGTAGTATGTTTATTTTGCCTGAAAATAATGCAAAACAGCATTTACCTTTACTAAGTTATATTGGTCAATTAAAAAATAATATAGTATATATAATCACTGCAACAGCATCATAGTCACAGTCCATTTGCCTTTTGAACCTGGATGATGACCCAAAGTCATTCTATTGTATGTGGCAATTTACCAAGGAAGTCATTGAGATAACTCAATTTCTCCAAAAAACAAATATGAAAAGAAGATTCCTTTTTTTCCTTTTTGGATGAGATGAAAACTGCGTTCTCTTTACTTTTCTTTTGTGTGGTGGAAGAACAGAGATGCACTCAGCTGCAAGGATATCTTCCTCATGGTCAAGTATTATAATGAGAATGTGTTGCTTTGGGATTATTATTATCATTACCGTAGTTAATATTTTTTTAATAACTATGGTAACCTTGTAGAAGAACTACATTACAATTCTCTGTGGGAAACATAATGCTTGCTGAAAAACTGCCCAGGGCAGCATCACACCCTCCAAGATATCAATGAACCCAAACCTGAAGCAAATGTGGTAAAAAGATCAAATATTTTTTTGTGACCCAGCCAGAGTATTATCCAAAGACTCGTCCATATTCTGTCGAAATTAAAAAACAGCCCAGAACAAAAGAAATTAAACTACCAACCCCAAATATCCTGTATGAATGTTGGTGCAGAGGAGTTGTCCTCAAAAATCCCTGTGGAGGCATTCAAGTTTTAAGAACTAAGAATTACATTAATTAAAGGTAAACAAATAAACTTAAACAAAAACATTTGATGCCATAGCTTCAACTAAATGAAAACTGGCAGGGTGAATAATTGTCGCTGAAGCACAAGTTAATTAGGACACTCTAATACAAGGGACGTGAGATAAACCAGACAAATATGTATAAACTAATTACAGGAAATATGCACCTTTCAAATTAAGAAACGTGTCTGTATTTGAAGGTTTTAAAACTGAAGATTTTCATTTTTAATATCTTATTGTTGCAATGAGAGATTTGATCATGTTAAATAATTTGGTGTGCGTTTTCTATGATATATTACAGAACTGAAATATTAAGCCAGATTGGTCGAAATCCCACTTTAAACCTACATTTTATGCCCACTCCTCTGCAGAGGTGGAGTGACAAAGCACGCTGATGCATTGTGATTGGGGACAAAAGGTTTCCTCAGGGAGTTGCAGTACCTCTGCTCGCCACTATAAGGCAGCAGCACACGCCGCCTCTCATTGGTTGCGCACGTTCGTGCCAACCAATAGGATTATTTGCATGCAGACCGTTGCTTCCGGGTGATTTCAATACAAGGATTTTTTAAACGTTTGGAAGCTTTTTCTATATCCTTAGAAAAGCTGTGAGCTTTGAAAATGAACAGAATTTTTGGACGTGGGAAGCCCAAAGCGCCTCCTCCAAATTTATCGGAATGTATCGGCACTGTGAGTACTGTCAGACCGAGAGGTTTTGTTGTTTATGGCTGTATTATATGACATAACGGTACTGATAACAAGCTAGCATCATCACAAAAGGGTACTCAAGACAGCAACGTCGTGCTAACAAGCTCACGGGCTCTCCATCATTCTTAATGAATGAAAGAATTACAGAAGCATAATGGGCTTTAATGGGCTTTTTCCTCCTTGAATGTGGAAAAGTGATGGTTTTGTTCACCACTATTGCTTGATAGGCGTTGAACTCTTTCTTCCCTCTAATGCATACACAAACACACAGACGCACCCTTGTTTTCTGGTACTTGGACTCCAGGAAGCTGGCAGTCATTCCCTCTTATTGGTCTCCTCCTCACTCAGGTGGATGCCAGGGCAGATTCAATAGAAAAGAAAATAAGCAGACTGGATGCTGAACTTTTGAAGTACAAGGATCAGCTAAAAAAGATGAGAGATGGGCCCTCGAAGGTAGGACATGTCACGTTGTGATTATTGCAAAGGTTACCGGACAAATGCAGCAAACATACATGTTTTCTTTTCATGCTCAAATGCAGAATATGGTGAAACAGAAGGCGATGAGGGTCCTGAAACAGAAGAGAATGTGAGTCCTGAACAGTTCAAGGAAAAATATGTGTCAGATGAGATGCTTTATTATTTTGTCTATTTTTCTACAACTGAAGACATGTGAGACTAAGAGCAAATCACAAATAGCTATTCATGAAAGTTGCATCTAGATGATTTGAATCACAACACATGTTTTTTGTGTGTTTTTCCATAGGTATGAAGGTCAAAGGGAGCAGTTGGCTCAGCAGTCATTTAACATGGAGCAGGCAAACTACACAATCCAGACCTTAAAGGACACAAAAACTACAGTAAGAAAGTCTTGAATGTCGCAACTTGGGTTTCCACTGTTTTTTCCCCCAAACTTTTAGTCATCCCAAACACGTGTTATAAGATGCATTTTTATAAAAAAAAACACCCAGGTGTGGCTGAGATCTGGCAGAGGAAATATTAGTTTTGCAGTTTACCACATGTCAGCGGTGAGTTTTTTCATTCAAAAATTGCTGTGTTGGTACCACATGAAGCATCAAAATCACAGATCTGGACCTTTGAAATAAAAAATAACAACAGCAATATTCCTAAGTGAATATAGAAACTTGAAAGAATGTACATAAAAATGGATGTTCAGAAATAAAAGCTGTTGATTATGTCAGTTTGGAAATTAAAAAGTTTATTTGACTGATCAAGATTTTGTTGAGAATCTTAGTTTTTCACCAATTGAATGCACTCATATCTGTGTTAATATTACTTTCACAAATAGGTGGATTTGTTAAGAAAATTTATTTGTCAGGTTCTTAATATCTAGGAATAAAAATCTAAGGAAAAAAAGGCTTATTTTGTCATTTTGAGTTTTAGAATGGATTCTGTTTAATGTGCTGTTTTTTTTCCAAAGTTAGACTTTTTTCTTCTCTTGGAGACGTTCATTAGTTGAAGCTCAAAGTGTTCTAAAGAACTAAGATTTTCCCATCTGAAATTCTGCCTGTTTTTTATTATTTTGTTTTTATTTCTACCTTTAGAAGGAAATGGTCCAAAGTTACAGCCTTTATCTCAAACTCCCCCTTATTCAGAGCAGTTAAGGTTTGAAGGATGAGTTGCCATGGTGATACTGAGAGCACTGATATGGAGCTGAAGCTGGCCAAGTAACTTATCCCGCTTTGTGGTGCAGGCCGGTCTCTGATCAGCAGTCACAGAGCTGTTAGCACGTGTCTTTGAGAGCAGCATGCACCTGGAAAGAGAGATTAGTGACTAAAAATATCTCTTCCTCTCCTTCTTTGTTGACAGGTGGAAGCCATGAAGATTGGTGCAAAGGAAATGAAAAAGGCTTACAAAGATGTCAAACTTGATCAGATTGACGTATGTCCGTTATAACATTTTGTATACACTTTTTGTCACATTTAAATCGGGTCTCATGAGAAACTGAGCAGGTGTTTCTTATTAAGATCATCCTCAAACATCTCATGCTTTTTTACATATATATATATATATCCTTTAAATTATAATCCTTTAATTAACACAACAAGCAGATAAAAGCATCGGACAGCGGAGATTGTAGTCAAACAGGAAAACATGGACTAAAACACACACAGCTGGAGAGCTGAGCAAACACACTAAAACAATCTGGTCCTGACGCTAAATGCTGAGCAGGCGTCGTAAAATGTCTGAATCTTCCAGCACTTCAACTAGGACGCCTAAAAACCTGGCCCTGCTTCCAGGTTCACCCTATCAGAGTGATAGGAGGAACACGAGTAAAGAAAACACCACTCAGATCTGTCTGGGAAACCTTACCTGACAGGCTAACGCTGGTCAGGAGGGAGCAGGCGCTAACGGAGAACATCTGCACATGTGTTTCCAGGATTTACAGGACCAGCTGGAGGACATGATGGAGGATGCGGGCGAGGTACAGGAAGCACTGAGCCGCAGTTACTGCACTCCAGAGATCGATGAGGACGATCTCGAAGCGGGTAACTGGAGCTGCGTAGTTTCATTTGGTCCGCAGGTCCTTTTTCAAGGAGTCCTATAAAATGAATGATCAGATTTGTAGAGCTGCGGTTCTCTAATTACAAGGCTGCTCCGTATCCTCCATGTGAGATGTCCCCGCACATCTGTTAGGCGTTACACACCAGGCGAAGTGTGACGCGCAGCACATAGAGGATTACCATGGAACCCAATTCCAAATTGTGCTCTTTTTAGTTTATCCAAGAACCCCCGATTCTGCCATTTTGCACAGTGATGAAATGATTGCTCTTTCAGAGCTGGATGCGCTGGGTGATGAGCTGCTGCTGGATGATGACAGCTCCTACTTGGACGAGGCCTCAGCTGCCCCGTCTATCCCCGAGGGGATCCCCAGTGACAGCAAGACGAACAAGGTGACGGCCTACGCACCACAGTGCTGAAATACTCCAAAGTCAGAAAATAAGAGGCAGCCGTGTGTTTTGTGTTTTGTGACATTGTATGACATTTGTTTGAAAGAGAAACTGTGATTTTGACACAAGCATCATGAAACGGGCTTGGACTAAGTACCATTGATGGCAAGACAAACAACGCATGCTAATCAGCGAATGTCCGAAATGCCCGTCCCACTCTGCTCTCTGTGCCTTCACTGTGTACAGTCCCACTGCTTTACACGAACCAACAATGGGAGTGATGAGAAGTGCTGATAACTGTGTGCTCTCTCTTGTTTTCAGGATGGCGTCCTGGTAGATGAATTTGGTCTGCCACAGATTCCTGCCACCTAAAAAGGGAAATATGACAACAACTGCACTTCAAAAGAAAACACTTTTTTTATGAAGAGTAACATTTATAAACGCGGTTCCATTTGACCTGAGAACACTACAATTTTGTCTGTCCTGGTGTTGGGCTGTGTATTGTTACCACTACCGTGCTAGCATGTGGCCTTGTAATATACTGAACCTATTTTTATTCCCGTTATTTTCTGCCCGTCACACTCATTTGCCAGTATTGTTTTTAATTTATTTGTCCAATTTACTAGTTTTGTGTGTTGTTTAGTCATTACTGTTTTGCTTGAGTTCTCAGAAGTGGAGAGGATTCCCGCTTTGGTCCACTTATCTGCAGGGGTACTTGAAAAATGCTAAATAAATAATGTGTTTTAACTTAACCTTGAGAAGTTCATTTATTGATCACAAGCCTAATCTTTCTGTTCTTTGAGAGATTTCTTCTTCTTGTTGTTGATGAGATTTATTTTTTCAGTTTCTTTTAAAATTCGTGACTTTGAGGTTTAAGCTGTCGATCAATAAGTCTCAATGTCTTTTTCTGGACTGCATACTACAGACAGTGATTTTACTTTGCAGTTATTTGGCCAGTGTCATCTTTGCAGATATATCAGCATGTTTGTCTATTTATACATTGTCGATTTTCTAAAGCAAAACCTTTCCACATATCCTTGAGCAAAAAAAAACTTTTAGCCCATAATTTAACTTTATTTTGAAAACAAAGATGTCTTTAGTTGGTAACAAAAATAACATTTGAAATACTGCTTTAATAAAAAATGTAGAATAGGGTACTTATTCAACTTAATGGATATACCGAATAACACTTCGATATCACTTCTATTCATATTCATGAAATATGCATTTAATGTACAAGTTGAATAAAACTTGCTGCAATAGACTCGATTTGTCAAATATGGAATCTGAATGACTTATTTGACAATATCTTCTGGAATCAAATCTGTTTTAACTCTTGTGGTCCCCACGCATTCCTGAAATGCCTCATTTAAAGACCCCTCAAAAGTCCGACTCTGGTGGGACTCGAACCCACAACCTTTGAATCTCTTCTCCAGAGCTTGACTAGAAGTCCAATGCGCTATCCATTGCGCCACAGAGCCAGCTGACTGGGGTCAGTTGTACATGGAAGATGTTTTTAAAAGTTGTTGATATGATTAACGGGGTACGTGTCAACGTTTCAGTGTTCGGGCATTCTTCACATGACAGTATATACCACTAGGTTTAGTTTTTAAAGCAAAAAGGTCACCCTTAACGCATTAGTTTTTCATTGTCAGATACACTCTGCAAATAAAACCGATTCTGTGACCGTTTTCTCTGTCTTTGTGACTTTTAGCAAGGCCATTACTGCAATATAACTGTATCAACATAAAAGAAAAAACACATTGAAAAAAAACAAGCACGTGTTTCCGGTTTTACCGGAAGTAGTTAGCACTTAACCTCAGCTAGCTGTGTTTTATGATTTGCTTTCAGATCAACGCTCAAAAGCATAATGTCAGTCCAAACGATGACTGTGACAGTCGCCTACGGTAATATGAATTTGCATTATAGTTTATGGAAAGGATAGGGAGTAATTTTATTTAATTAAATCTCGATTCTAGCTTGGGAATGCTTAGCTAATGTAGCTCCCACGGAATACTTCGCCATAACTCACTTCAGCCCAAACTTTCTCTTTAATTGAAGATGTTACGATTAAATCTTTCAACCCTGGATTGAAATATTCTATTCACTGTATATTCTTTAGCCAAATTTAATTCGACACTCATGGTTAGACATATCTATACATTTGTATCCGTGCCTTCGTTGTGTGACATCCATTCATTCTGTTTATCAACCTGTTTGTGAACTATTTCCCCTTAAACGCTCTAAAAAGAATGATCGAGGCCATCTCTCATGTCTTACTATCACAGCTTGAATGTTCCACCAACCTGTAGATATTCTCTATTCAAAAGATAATATTCTGGCACATACTAGTTCAATTTGACTTACAATTCATTCATATTAGTTGCTCCGATTTTCACGTTTTGCTGACTGATAGTTTACCCAGGAAGAGATCGATTAAACTTTAAGGGAAAAAAAGTTCCATAACGATAACTACGCATCTTTCTGATGTGGCTGAAAGGGAAAAACTCCCTTCCTCTATGTTTGTATCTGAAAGATATACAAAAAAAGATCCCCCCCAATGTTTTACTATCATAGCATATAGAAAAAACAATATTTTCTGGCATTTTTCTGGAAATTTTTTTTAGATTTATTTTTTTACTAACTCCCCTTCCAGGGTCAACTAAGCACAGCATCACACTAACATGCCAAGAAGATGGAAAAACGCCCACTGTTAAAGATCTGTCAGAAGCTCTCTGTCAAGCCACTGGTGTCCCACCCCCCTCGCAGAAACTCATCTTTAAAGGTAGACTGTTGAACGTTTTCCCTTTACACTTCAAAATGAGCTTCAATGCTCATGCATATTCAGTTCTAAATACTCATTGTGCTCATCCTGGTTTTCCAGGGAAGTCACTGAAGGACATGGAGGGGAGTCTCTCTAGCTATGGCGTTAAAGAGGGCTGCAAACTCATGATGATTGGAAAGCGGGTAAAGACTTTGTATGTCCTTTTTCTTAGTGTAGTCTGTGCCAGAGATACTGACAATATTCTTCCAACAGAACAGTCCAGAAGAAGAAGTTGAACTGAAGAAGCTAAAAGAATTTGAGCAAACAGTGGAGCTGACAGCTAAGAAGCTAGAGAAAGTAGACGGGGAATTAACCGGGCTGAAGAATGTAAGATACTAATGAAAGATAATGAAGTGTTTTACTTTAATGAGCTTCATTATATTTCATTTGCTTAAATTAGTTTTTTTTTTCCCTCACAGGGCTTCCTTGCTAAAGACCTCCAGGCAGAGGCATTGAATAAACTAGACCACAGAGTGAAAATAGCTGCTGAGCAGTTCATGAAAATCCTGGAGCAGATTGATGCCCTGGTAATGTGTTGTGGTTTGTCTGTTCAGATTTTGAGTGCAGGTTATATTCCTGTGTCGGTCTGTGCTGAATCAGGAGCTTCTCTTTCAACAGGCTGTCCCAGAAAATTTCAATGACTGCAGAATGAAGAAAAAGGGACTTGTAAAGACGGTGCAGGTTGGTCTTTGTCGTGTCACAAACGTCACACTTTGGTTCAGTGAGCAAGAATTCAAATAAAATCTTCATTTGTTCTATTTCCACAGGACTTTCTGGCAAAGTGTGACAGGATCGAGGCTTGTATATCAGACCACCTGTCAAAGATTCAATCAAAAAACCTGGCTCTGGCAGAGTAATGAAGTCTCCGGTAACCTTTGCTATATGTTGCTCTGTGAGCAATAGCCTAGCACACAGAAAGCTTCAAGTGAGAAGCAGAACCTGCTTTATTTATTCTTGGTGTGACGTGTAAGAGAGAACCTTCATAACAAAGAATACTGTGACGAGGACGTAGGTGCTTAGTTTGTCACAGAACGATTCCCTGGGCCAAAAAAAAGATGTGAAGCCAGGTCTGACACAATAGCAGGTGTTTGGAAAATCAGTAGAACCCATCAAAATGTTCAAACTAAGCGCTGCCATTTTGTTCAAATTCAGATTTGTATGTGGCCAAACGTGTAACTGCTGACGGCCTAAAATGACTGGCTCTGAGTGGAACCGTTAAAGGGGCTGACAGAGAATTGAAATACACTCTACTGCGATGTGCCTCTGACAGGATGAAACGACTAGTGTTTCAAAGATGCGTCTTAAAAAAGAAAATGGCTCTCACCATTCGTGTCATGCAGGGTGCAGAAAAATGGACAGCCATGTAGCAATCTTACATCAACAGTAAGGATTTTATGTGATCAGAATAAAGGAAAATATCAGAAATGTAAAAATCATTCAGTGGCTTTAAGAAGGAAATCACTGCGGTTTTCTGTTCCTATTGCGACTTCACTCAGGGTCATTTCACTCTAATGGAAGCTTTTCAGAGCAAAAATCCCAGTTCTACGAGATGAAATGTTTCTGACGGATTCACAACTGAGAGCTGGTTATGATGGCATTAGAAGACAAACTGCGGTCTCTATTCTTTTGGCCATACAGCATGAATTGTTCCACATGAATCATCTCCAAACCACCAACACCTTCTATTAAATCAAGAATCTTCTCCCTTCTTTTAAATATGTGATTGAAACTTGTGGAGTGTGGAATTGTAACTGATTCTTGACATCTATTATTTGTTTGGAATAAACCTTTCCGAAAAATGAACAGGGGGCTGGTGATTTATTTCAGAACGAAATTTAATCTTAAAACTCTTTTGTTTTCCACAAAATATGACTGAGTACATCACAATAAGTAGAAGATTATTTCCAGCTTTATTCATCCAGGTCTTTTCATACCAGCATACACAGACCTTGTAGTGGTTTCATCACATGTGCAAATAAGCTTTGAAAGTAGGATTGAATGGAGACCAAGAGGTCAAATGAGCAGCTTAAACAAATGACTGTCAGCAGGTTATGTAACAGTGAAGTTTACATCATGAGTCGAACTACAGCATACAGTTCCTCTAAATTAAATGGAAACCAATTAAAAGACACACGCAAAGTACAGAATGAACCTTGGGCACCGACACCTCCGGGACTAATCGTCCTTGTCCTTTGCACCGTGCTTTAGAATACGTGTGAATGCTACATAGTTGAAGTTGCCTTTTTTGTCAATCGGTGCCTCGCGGAAGAGCTCATCCACATCCTCGTCTGTAAACCTGTCGCCCATTGTGGTCAGCAGCTCTCGCAGGTACTCCTCCTGAATCATGCCTGAGGGAAGAATTCACGTTGTGAAGTCAGGAATGCAGAAGAGGTGATGAACAAAAGAAAGAGGGGAAAATTATTATTCCCCTATTAATGATTAACGACTGCTAGACGAGACAAATCAGAGGTTTTTGACAACTAAAAGACATAACAATTTCCAGATGGAACTAGATCTGATGTTGGCCACGCCACAGATTCAAAACAAACGCTTCCCAATCCTTTCTGCAAAACCCTCCACTTGCCCGTTCCCTCTTCGTCGAAACAGGCGAAAGCATTGCGGATCACATCCTCGGGGTCCGTGCCGTTCAATTTCTCGCCGAACATGGTCAGAAACATGGTGAAGTTGATTGGGCCTGGCGCTTCATTCATCATGGTCTCCAGGTAATCTTCTGTGGGGTTCTTGCCTGGCAAGAAAAAGGTCAAAACACCTTCAGATCGCACTGGCATCAGAAACTCTCCAGCATGGATTCCCTTCTTGTTGGTTTATGTCAGATTACTGATAACTTTACCTGAGGCTTTAATCATCTAGTATTTGGACCACAATTACATCTTAGCAATATCAGGACATGTATGAATACATAATAACAAGGTACCTAATGAGGCCAGCATATCGTGAAGGTCTTCTTTGTCGATAAAGCCGTCTCTGTTTTGGTCGATCATATTGAAAGCCTCCTTGAACTCTTGGATCTGAGACTGATCAAACATAGCAAACACATTGGAGGTGGCACGCTGGGGACGCTTCTTGGTGTTCTTCCCCTTGGCCCTTTTACTTGACATGTTGTCGACTCGTAGGTTCTCCCTCCTGTGATACAGGTGAGGTAGATGTCAGCTTGGACTGAGCAACAAAAACAAGAAATGTCAGCGATACTTTAAACGATTACTCTGTGACCAGCGGGTGAACTGAACCTCTTTTTATAGCACAACTTTCTCCACACATACGCGTCAGATTTATGAGGAGTTAATTTAATGTATCGTCATGTATATAACATCAATAGCTATTTTGTGGAGATAATAGATGTTTGTTAATCTCCCGCACTGATACGCACATACTCTTGGACCCTGTTGGATATTTCTGTTTCCATTCAAATGACTTGACCCTCTTACCTTAGTCCAGGAACCAGGAACTAAACTATGTTTAACAATAGGTCTATGCCAGTGGTGATAGATTTGTGTAGCACCACTGGTACTGGCAGGAGTTTTGCACCAATATACACAAAAGACCCAGTAAGACTAAGCAAAATAACTTGACAAAGATTGAAGGTTTCTCCAGACAATTTGCAACTTGTGCTGACACCTCGCTGGCCAGGATGAGGATGGTGGGTCATTAAACTCTGGGCTTACTTTTGAGAGTACAATCACATTTTGGTGGGGTTGCTATGATTTGGCAAGTCTAAACAGAGGAATGAAAGTGTTTGAGATGGTTGCCATCTCCCCTTGAGCACTGTGTGTGGGTCATTAATACACACCTTTTGTCTGGTGTGACGTGTCAAGAAATGTTCTAGTTAAATAAAAAAATTTTAAAAAATCAGACAGAGTACACGATCAACTGAACAGAAATATATTAAACCAAATAAATGTTTCCTAAATCCACGATGATATTAAGCAGTAATGAAAAGGAATGAATATAACACCGAACAATGGCTTTGCAATGTTACAGCACTTGTTTTGCTTGCAGTATAATTTGAGGCTGATAGCCCGTTTCTGAATTAAACCACCAGTGTAAATAAAGCTAAAATAAAAATATGTATCTCAACAAAACCCATATAATGTATATAAACCCATATGAAAACGCATTTGCCATCATCGATGGCTCCACCTGACCTACATAACTGGGTGATGTAGCTAGCTCTGTCGTAGTATAAATATTCGCTTTAAGTGTTATCTAATTAAAGTATGTAGCCTAAAAGAAAGCTCAATAAATGATGCATTTTTTTAACCCACCTCTTTTATTAATGTGAAGTTATGGCCAAATTGTTCCGGGCACAGCTAACAACGCATCCACAGGCTGATTACCATCAATGTTTTATTTCCTGTTTCCGAAACTGACCAATCAGAGTGCAGCTGGAAGAAACCAACAGCGTGGAATATTCCATCGTGTCACAATACCTCCTGCTCTATTCTGCTTATTTATCATGAAAGGAGATCTGGTTTTATTTGAGGTCATGAAAAATATCTCTTATTTTTTCAGTTTCACAATTACAATACAGACACATGTTAATAATCAACACGTCCCCATAAAATAAAATCCTTTAGTTGATGTCATTTTGCACTAGGTGGCACCAACAACCAACTCATTTCAGCAGTTCAACAAGTGTTTAGAATGACTTCAATGGAAAATTTCAGCAGAAGATGACAGCGTACTGATTCAAACTGTTTAAAACAACAGAAGAACATAGAAAGCTGACTGAATGTTATGCCAGCTGCCATTAGATTTGAGGGTTAAATTCTTCTCACTATGTAGTTTTCCTAAATTAAATTTCTTGATTTGCCAGATGAAATTTTTGGAAGGACACTGGCAGGGCCTGGGGTCAGATGGTGTATCTATGATGCACACATTTCATCCCTGAAGTACAGTGCACTGCAGAGAGCCTAGAGGCTCGTGTGGCCCTTTTCATGGTCTCATGGTCTATATTTAACATTGCCCCGGCCTTAAAAGGTCCTGATGGTGTGTCGTACATTCTGCCGAGTGGCAGCCTTATTTTTGTTCTGTGGACTGCCTCCTGTCCACTGCCCCTCACCCTGCTTCTTTGCCTGGATCTGAACTTGCTTTTACAACTTTTGGAATAAAACATCCTTTTCCTCATTTTCATTTATTGTGGAATTCGAGTTTTGGTAAGTTCTTTTTATCCAGTTCAAACCAATATTGGCTCTTCAACTTCCAATTAATTAGAACTTATTCTTGTTTGTCACTGTATGTTTTAAGACTCTGAATTAGCAAGGCCTGAGGCCCTTTGGTGATTGTTAGATTTCTGATTGTTTGTTTAATATATTCATTTTTCTATTCTGTTACCCCCAAAACTAATAAGGTATTATTGATTTTGTGATTGTTGTAGATAGTTCTGCTTGTATGATTGCAGTGAAATGTCTAATCTACTGCAATAATCTATTAATCTATAGGGTCCAAATGGGTTTGATGAACAAGATCACTCTCTTTTTGTCATCTGTACTCTCACAATTTACATCTGAGTTTAATTCTCTTCACAGCATCTGCTTCTTTTAATGGGTGTTACTCAAGCAAATAACCTCCAAAAATGCATTTCACTTGTTATATTTTGCTGCTGAAAGGCAGATCAAATATAATACTCTGGGTTCAGATGGTGATGGCTCTGTCCTAGAGAGAACTTCTTTTTTTTCCAATATGTTTCACTATGAAAGAACTTGCAAATGAATTGCTTAGAGGATAGATGCTTCTTTTTGTTGTTGTTGTCAAGTAATTCCTCAGTGATCAATACACAGATTATGAAAGAACGGCACCAATTATAAGGACCCAAATTCTTTCTACTGAAGACTAAATTACAGACATTGAAAAAGACAAAATAAGACAAAATTATAAAAACCATCCAGATAAAGTTGGCCTTTTTCTGATTCTCCCATGTACCATATTTTGTCTTAATTTCATGTCTCAGTTTGACCACTGTCACTGATCACATCTTTTCCCCCACGATAACTAGAAAACTTTGCATGTCTTTTTCCCCCTATTTTTCATTTCTTTAAAACTGTTCCATCCATCCATTTGTGTCTCTCTTTTTTAATTTGGTGGTTTTGCATTTTTGTTGACTTTGTATGTCTCTTCTTTCTAAACATTCATCCATTTGCAATACCGCTCATTCCTAGTAGGGCCAGGGGGGGCTGAAGCCTTTCCTAGTTGTCACTGGGTGAGGGGCGTGATACACCCTGCCAGTCCATCGCAGCGCCACATAGAGATGACCAACCAAACACTCTGGCATACACTCCAATGGCAATTTAAAGTTATCAGTTAATCTAACATGCATGGTTTTGGACTGTGGGAGGACGGAGAAGTAGGCCATCTGGAGAAAACCCAAATGAACACGGGAAGAACATATAAACTCCAAAGAGATAGACCCACAACTTTCAGGGATTTCTTTACAAACAGAACATTTTCATCTCTTTGTGCTTTCGTCTGGGATACAATTCATTGATCGTAGCAGGCTCCTTGGGCCTCAGAGCCGCCCTTATAGACCCATTCAATAATCTGTCTGTGATCGATGATGACGGCTTTGAAAATCTTTGATGGATATTTTTCGTAAATGACATTTATTTAGACGACTGAATCATAAAATAATTTATTACAGTTGTAGTTAATCAATCAACAAATACAATCAAGTCAGGCTTTCTCTTAAAGATGCTCAGCCCTTGGTTTAAAAAACACTGTTGCAGTCCTCTGCTGGAGAGGAACACGGTTTAATTTCCCATCCTGTCTATTCAAATGCAAAATCACAATTATGAGTGTTTAAAAAAATGCTGCTGCCACAGTTAATTTAATACCTGCTGCTTTTATCTAACACAGTAGAAGTAGAACCTAAGTGGAGCTAACACCTTAGCTGCTCGCTAAAAAAATAAATAAATCATAACATATTTAATATAGAAACATTTGAGCAGAAGCTAATTCTCTAAACCATCACTCCTAATATCTCATCGCCAACCTCTGCTCTCAACTAACCCCTGCTTAGAAATCAATCTATATTGATAACAGTGAGGTTGATTTGCAGAGCTGGTAGAGTAAAGGACTGTCACTCTAAGTTGGCGGAGTGGCCCTCAGGATGTCAGGATCGTTACATGTGACGCAGAGGCAGAAGCTGCACCAACAGCAGGAGAAGCGGCAGCAGCAGCACTATGAGAGCAGCTATTACCTGAGCACCAAGTCGTCTGTTAGCAAGCAGGCCTTCTCCACTGTCAAGAGCACCAGCCAGCGGTAAGACGACAGGAGTAGGACGGGTGGTACTGAAATCAAAGCAAAGCGGTCGGAATGTAGTCTGCCTCCTCCATCACTTCAGATAGAGCGAGGGTTTTCGAGCTGACATCTTTCAAATATTCATCACTTTACTTACTGCCTGCTGGGAAGTGTGGGCCAAAATTGTTTTTTTATGGAGAGCAGGTACTTTCTGTTTCCTTTATCCGCTCATGTAAATTTTTTATGGCATCAGATTTTTTATTTAGCCATTTTTCTCTAGAAGACGGCTTATTTTCTTTCACAGCCACGTGTTCAGTGTAAGACCGAACAACAAGAGTTTTTATACATTCGCCATTCAACCTTGTGTTGATTTTTCCAACCTTTTTTTTTCCTTTTCAAAAGCAGACAAATAAAAATCCATAATAAGTAGCAGTAGTAAATTATTCCACAAGTTCCTGCAACACACAGACATCTATTAATTAGTTTCTATGATTGCAACTATTTGTTCTCCAGATGTCTAAAAAACCTTTGGAAAGATTTTTATGAATTAAAATCTTTGTTCTTTTTTCTTAATAAATCATAAGTGGGCCACTTTGAACTTTTTATGTTGTACAGATCGAGATCTTGATCCATGATTATACATTCAACCTCGGTGGGGATTAACAGCCATAGACCATGTTTTCTATTTTACAAGTTTAAGCATGTGTTTTTTATTGATCAAAATTGAATGTAACAAAGCCAAACTGCTCTGCCTTTATATCTTGGAGAGATACTGCATGTCAGTTATTCTTATAGAATCATTTATATCATGATTTATCCATATTTGAAGACCCATTTTCTATCCTAGCTTCACCAGTGTGAATGTCTCCTGTTTGCTTTCTCTGGTGATCCATTGGGGATCTAATTCTGTTTTAGTGTAGCTGTGTTAAAGAACTATCAAAACAATGTAAAATCTTTCACACATCACTTGAGATTTGTTTACATGTATTTTCCGTTGGGCTGTTAACTTGTCAGTGTGTAGTTTTTTTTCATTCCTCATCCTATGGGGCTCATTGTACATGCTTGAACCAGGATGTCTTTCTAAATGGGGTTAAGGAAAGAATTTCAGCTGCTGTTGAGTGCTGCCTGATGTATTCATAGACAGCCAAGCTATTTCTGTACACATGATATGACACTCTGCCATCAGGCCAACTGTAAATAAACTGTATGAAAGTCAGGAAATTGCTACTCCCTTCCATAGGAAGTCAATGCAGTCTTGGATAGGATTCACGTTGTTTCAGATTTTGATTAAAAAAAAAACTTTTTTACAATGATTATCCTTATTCATGTCTGGCTCACACACGGCTGATTCTCAGACATCAAGAAGTTAAGATTCCTTTCTAAAGCTGAAAAATATTGTATTAGTTTGGCTCTCCATTCAATTCGCCGGATGATTCAGCAGCAGAAATGACGTGTGGACATAACGTTTTAGGACGCTTTCTATACGTACGTGTTCACTGTGCACCGAGTTCTCCTTTAATAACTTGGTTAGATTTTGAGCTTCCCAAAGCATTTATATTCCACTTTTCCTCCAGACCACATGGAAAGATGAGGGCAAACTTGGCTGATATTTTTAGTTTACTCTGGACTTTAAGATGAACCTTTCTCCTTAGCTGCACATCCACCAGCTCTGGTTCCATTCAAGAGCAGAGCTGACAAAGAGGAAGTCTTAGACGTAAATGAGTCAGAGCGTAGTTTGGATCATGGTTTTACAGGGTGGATGGAGATGCATCATTCTCTCTGAGTAACTGGGCCATAGCTTGTGCTTGACATACTTTTATGTAACCAGCACATTTATCTAAAAAGTTATTCATGCAGAAAGCGGTATGGTTTCCGCTATTTCAAGAATCCACTGTGGCTTTGCACTGTTTCCTATGATTGCTTTTGTAATTCCAAACAAATGTGGTGCATGTATGCAGTTTATCACCAAAGGCAAAACTACTGCCACAAATTGCTCAGAGGTTTAATGAACACCTCCTTCATCTGTGCAACACTGGGATAAATAAGAAAAAGAAATCTTTAAGCTAGGGTGTCACATTAGACCTCAGCTCATTTAAAGTATTTGAGTAACCACTGATTACATTCTTTATCACCAAAACCACCAACCACCACCAAAAGTCCATTTCTTTTTGCTTTTTAAAAATGTGCCTGTCAGTCGGTTCCCCTTTAGACTTGATAATGAAAAAATGTAATTATATTCTTACTCAAACAGATCAGAGCTGCCAGTATATTTGTTTTAGGCTATTTTCTTCAGAGACTGGTACAAAAGCAGTGTGGTTTTATGTGTTTAGACGAGTAAGGCAACATAAGACTGATACAAATGCAGAAAAAAGACGCTCACTGACCTGCATTGCATCATTTCTGGGTAGCAGTGGAGGTCAGCTACGCAGATAGAAATGCAAAATAACGCAGATGCAATACACTGAAACATTTATCTGCTTGTAATCTGACAACTTTCTCCTCTTACGAAGATTAAAGACCTCTGTGAAGACAGAGAAGGGGCAGGAGGTGGTTAAACTAAGCCCACTACCCAAGAGAGCCAAACGCACCTACCTGGCAATGGACAAGGACAAAGAGATAATCGGCTATGTCGTTCCTGTATTTCGAGCCAAGTGAGAGCATGAACTCTAGAATTCACTGTACTTCTTGTTGTAATTCTGAACAAAGTGATGTCTAATCTTGATGCTCTGCATTGCTTCAGTCACGAGGTGGTTAGAGGTCTGGAAGAAACCCATGAAGAAGATACAACAGAGGAGGGGATTAATTATGTGGCCATGAGGAACCTGTTTGTCAGAGAGGCCCGGGAGGCGATGGAAGTCAAAGTGGAGAAGAAAACCAGAACAACGCATGTCAGGGAATCCGCCGAACGCCTGGAACTGAGCAAAACGGTGAATCCACCTCCCCTATGAGTTTGAAATGCCATTTTAAAATCGAGCATATTTTTCACTCGAGCTTTATACCCCAAATTGAAAATGCTCTCGTCGTGCAGATGGAGGAATGGTCCGAGTTTCGTAAGAAAATGAACCCAGACAGCCTGACGCACCCTCCGGAGTTTATTGTGAAGCCACGAGGACAGACCGTCTGGGAGGGCAACACAGTCAAGCTGCACTGCACCGTGGCCGGATGGCCCAAACCCAGGATTGCCTGGTACGATATTTTCCAACTTTGTCAGTTTCTTCCCAGAAAAGCTAGAAAAGAGACTGATGAAAGCAATTAGCCGTGTGTGTCATGAGAGTTTCCATTCGAAGCACTCAGGCTCGAACCCACAGCTGCAGTATAAACACACATTAACCTCTGGAATGAAAGACCCTGAACAGTACAGATAATTGGACAGTATCTCTGTTGTTTTTCAGGTACAAAAACAATGTGCTGATTGATGCCAAGGCCCACTCTGAGAAGTACACAACTGAGAGCAATTACAACATGCACTCCTTGGAGATCAAGAAGTAGGTAATCTTTGACTTTACCCAGGGGGTGATGGCCTTTCTCCACGAGTCTTATCTTCTGCTGTGTTAAATTCTGACCATGTCCCACATGTGCACTTTTTAATTTTCAGCTGTGATTTCTTGGACACTGCTCAGTACCACGTCTCTGCCCTCAATGTAAAGGGGGAAGTTTCCACTGTGGCCACCATTGTTGTCAAAAGTAGGTATTTTCTTATTATTCTGCATCCACTGCAGCACTTCTCTGCTTCAGTCAGAGGTCAAAGTTGATGTTTAAAATTGTTCACTTTTAACTCAACAGGCTCCCACAGCTGTGGGAAGTCAATTTCTTTGGGAGTCCAAATGGCCTCAGAGTTTTCTAAGATTGACTTTTTAAACAAGATTACTGAGTGAGATATCTCTCTGCAGGATTCCAAGAGGGTGTGGAAGCAGGTCCGCTTGATCCTAAACCACGTGAGAAACTTTTTATATCAAACATATTTTCATTAGGGTTGAATATCGATATCAAATGAGAAAGTATCAAGTTAAAGTACATTACTATTTCCTAAAAAATTTAAATGAGAACAAAAAAGAGAGTAAATATTTGAGTTAACATGTTGGTTGAATCTGAGATTTTCTTCTTTGTCCACAGATGGTTACTGCCCTGAGCACGGTGTCACCTTTGAGACAACCATCATGGACAAGTTTGATGTGGCCTTTGGCTGTGAAGGGGAAACACTGAGTCTGGGTGGCACTGTCATTGTTTATCCCACTGTGAAAAAATACCAGCCTGAGGTTGTGTGGTACCGAAACTGTAAGTAAAACAAAAAAAATCAAGAAGAAGCAGTGACTCATCTCACATTATTAAACATAAAGTCTGATCCTGAACTAAATCCTTTTTTATTGACTGGTCTTATCAGCTGTCCCCTTGAAGCCTTCTAAATGGGTGCATACCCACTGGTCTGGGGAGCGTGCAATTCTCACTCTTGTGCACCTTAACAAGGAAGATGAAGGCATGTACACCCTGCGTGTCAACACCAAATCTGGCTTCAACACCCACTCAGCCTATGTGTTTGTGAGAGGTATGATTCTCAGCAAAGATCTTCAAGTTTCCAGTTGGAATGAACTTGAAAATTGCATGTTATCCGCTGTGTTACTGTTTAGCTCTGCTATGTTGAAGTGGCACAAAGTTCAGTGTGAAGCTGGAGTTTTTTTCTCAGAGGAATGGTGCTCCTATGACTTCTGAAGGACACATCCGTCATAAATGCCACTCAGAGAGTATGCTCTGGTAGCTGAAAGGTCTTTTTATCGGACGGAATGATGATCTTATTTTAGATATAAAGTTATGAATCTCAGATAGTTACTGTGCTGCCACACAAACTGCACTGTGAAGTCATAAGTAGAAAATGGAACTTGAGTGTGTAATGGAGATCTGCCTTATTTAGAAACGGCTCCACTTGTAGATCTGCGTGCACTCTGTGATATGTCTGTGCAACCTTCTCTGCCAGATGCTGATGTAGAGGTGGAAGGGGTTCCCGTGGCCCCCCTGGATGTGCGCTGTCATGATGCCAATAAGGACTATGTGGTGGTAACCTGGAAGCAGCCGGCGGTGGAGGGCAGCAGCCCCATCCTGGGATACTATATCGACAGGTTAGCCCACCTAACCACCTACAGTGTGTTTTACAAATAAGGAAATACATTGAATATACATATTTTACCCTTTAAAAGATGCATTTTTCATATTTCACCAGAGTTCTACCAAATGGTCATTTTGACAATAAGTGTTCCCCTTCCAGATAAATAACACTTATATTCCTGCTTGCTGTCATCTGCATCGGTTACTCAGTGACTGTTTGTGAAAATAGGAGATTATAATTTACTCAGATTCACGCGATGTAAATTGAAACTTGGATTAAAAGTGTGTGCCCATCAGAAGAACTGTTTTGTCTTTGCAGGTGTGAGGCTGGAACCCATCACTGGGCTCAGTGTAACGATGCCCCGGTTAAGTACGCTCGCTACCCCGTCACAGGACTGGTGGAGGGCCGCTCTTACATCTTCAGGGTGCGGGCTTTGAACAAAGCCGGAATCAGCCGCCCATCTCGTGTGTCTGAGGCCGTGGTCGCCATGGATCCTTCTGACAGAGCACGACTCAGAGGTGAGCGACACACAAGAGACCCGCAGACTCACCTCAACAAAGTCAGTGATCCAAGTTTGGTTATTTGTTGTTGTTTTCATTTTGTCAACAGCTGGACCCTCTGCACCTTGGACCGGAATGATCAAGTTCACAGAGGAGGATCCCACTGGTACAGCATTTTCTCTGAAAACACATGTTTCATATCTCATGCTTTGTTAAACATTAGAAGAATATGTCTATTTTTGTGTGAGGCAAGTTTTTTTTTTTTCAAGTTAAATGCTTTAGCATAATTTTGGTTGATGAGACATTTTTGTCCAGGATTCTGAGTTGAATTTATAGGATGGCTTCGCAGTTCTTGATATCAAAGTCTGTTTTTTTGGGGGGGGTGGGGTGTCAAATGTTTAGGTGTTTGGCTCATGTTTTTGTTACGAAATCATATCTTGGAATAAGAAAAAGGAAACTGGCTTGCATTAAATGTTCTTTCAAAAGTGAGCTCTGAAGGAAGATGAGCATTTTCTTCCTTCCTGCAGTGGGTGTCGTCCCTGGAGAACCATCTGATGTTGTGGTTACTGAGGCAACCAAGAGCTATGTGGTGCTCGCCTGGAAGCCTCCGGCGCAGAGGGGTCATGAAGGGGTCATGTATTACATTGAGAAGGTGAGAGGAAATGGAGAATTTCTACATCTCTTTAAAAGGAGAGGGATTTCCATAGTTCTGGGTTAAGATCAAACCCAACCTAGGTTGACCAGTGTAAAAGTAACAAAACACACCTAAATTACAGCAACATTATTAATGTATTTGTAAAATTCCTATTAAGTATATGTTGAACCTACATTCATAGTATGCAGCCCTTAACCGAATCAATGTTTGGCTTTGCACATCTTCAAGCACCTAAAGGTGAGGGTTTTCAAATCGAATACTGTCAGTACATTTGGGATCATTTTACCACTAAAATAATATAATCAAATGAGGAAATAAAATGTGGGACACTCAAAACTACATTATTAGTGTTTTGCTTTTTAAATATACACTTATGTTTTCAGCTAATTTCACTTGTCAGTTGTCCCTTTTGTTCTCTTCCTGCTCTCTAAGCATCTCTCTGGCTCGTTTCTGTCCACAGTGTATTTCAGGGACAGACACATGGCAGAGGGTGAACACTGGCATGCCAGTTAAGTCTCCACGCTTTGCACTTTTTGACCTGGCCGAGGGTAAATCCTACAGCTTCCGTGTGCGCTGCTGCAACTCCGCTGGTGTGGGCGAACCATCTGTATCCACCGGAGATATCATCGTTGGAGATAAACTCGGTGAGCTGACACAACTGTCAGGTGTAACAATATCGGCGCTGCATACAGAGACCTCTGCAGCACACTGCTCTACCCGTCTGCCTTCTACTGAACCTAATTAGAGCTCCTTTGTCTTTTTAATTTCTTACAGACCTGCCGTCTCCTCCAGGCAATCCAGTGGTCACCAGAAACACAAACACCTCTGTGGTGGTCTCTTGGGGAGCCAGTAAGGATGTTAAGCACTTGGTGGGCTACTACATTGAATGTAGTGTGGTTGGCACTGATGTCTGGATGCCTTGCAATAATAAGCCTGTGAAGCAGACCAGGTGAGCAATTTCAAACACTTATTTAAAATAGAGCTTTTGAGTTAAATGTGTCCCCAACTCTTTTTTTATACTCTGAGTTACTGAGTTACTGAGTTACTTTTTAATCTATTTTGGTCATCATTGTTAATCGCAGTGATAAAAGATTTAATCAACTCATCTACAATAGAAACGTTCAATAGATAGGTTAGGAGAGGTTACAGAGAAACAAAAAAGTGGTAAAATACAGCAAGACTCATTATACCCTTGCAAATGAGGGCCATAATGTGCATTCAATGGGATACACAAATAGGACGCCCTTCTCAGTGAACTATAAAAGGAGAGATTTTTTTTTTTTTACCAGCAAGAGCATGAAAAATCGAATTATATTTAACCCACCTAAACTGAACATGTAGTTTGGATACCAAAATGTTGTTGCACAGCAAGTGAAAGAGATAGTAGATTAAATTTAAAATGAAAAGTGTTCGGAGTTACACAAGAGCAAAAACTTCAGGTCATATCACATGAACATAGCTTCATCTAGCTTTATCAATTTCAATGTTTTGAATTGACTGTTTTAGCTAAATTTTGTAGAAATGATAGAAATTAATGTTTGAAAACCTTATCTAAATTTATGAAAAGGACACACAACTTTCAGGAAATGCCCTTTTAAACCTGTTTGTATCACCTGCCTGATTAAATCCTCAAAGTGTGTTCCTCTTGAGCATAACTGTCCTGTGTACCACTAAAGGTCCAATCTGTTTCTACCATCAAACTGCCCTAAATGATGATGTATTTCCTCCCTTCAGGTTTGTGTGCCATGGCCTCACCACTGGGGCGAACTACGTGTTCAGGGTGAAGGCGGTGAATGCAGCTGGTTACAGCCAGAGCTCAGCCACTTCTGATGCTGTGGTTGTTCAGGCCGCCATCTGTGAGTATCCTCATCACAATGTAGCCTCGTGTCTGACACTCTGACACCTGTCTTGTCACTAGGGTCTCTCTTGCTTCTCCATCCCTCCAGCTAGATTATAATATCCACTCATTTGGGAAAAACACCAACTCTACTTTATCTTGTCACTTTCATCTCTCCCTCCCAAATTCCGTTACTTGATTCATAAAATATTCTTTGACATTCTGTTTACTTGATTCTTCATTTATTGCATAATTATCCAGTATTTTGAGGTTTCATGAATGCAAACAGTAAACGCATGTGCCTGCATGACAAACTTTATAACTAACTACACTTACAGTACACAGCTATTTGACCATTTTCTGCTCTTTTCTTTGTCTGTTTTGTTAAAACCAGTCATCTTAATGTAGCACAATACCCTTACTTTCAGCAAAAATGTGTGTGACTGTCCATAAATAAGTTCTGTGTTGCTGTTTAGTAGCTCTTCCGGAGTGTCTCTTGGTGCATGAACAAGCTGAAGACTAAACATTATGTTCTTAAAGAGCATGATCCTAATGAGAGTCTGGCCTGACTTCGGGGATTTGCTTGTTGAAAAAGTTGCCCTGCTTCTTGCCTAGAGCGTAAGTATCTCACCCTTGTGTAGAGACCTTTTTAAAGAAGATTGTTGCTTGTATGGTTAAAATGGGAAGCATGTTCAGCTGTAGCTCTATGAAGCTTAGTGCAAAAGCTCTGGGTTCACTGCTAAGTTATGGAGATGACTTTACTATTTAATAAAAAGGCCTCATAAAGACATTTTTACCCATGATTAACTCTTGCTTTTGTGCCTCTGCAGCCCTACCTGGGAAACCGACTGATGTGACCGTGCTGGAGGCTGTTAAGGACTACATGATGTTGGGTTGGACTGAGCCAGCTCACAACGGAGGAGCAGATATCAGGGGATATTTTGTGGACTACAGGACCGTTAAAGGAGGCGTTTTTGGGAAATGGCATGAAATGAATAACAAGGCTCTCACCACAGCATCCTATAAGGTAGGGGAGAGTGGGGTAAGATGAGCCATTTTTTACTTATGTTGTTCTGGACGTAAGGAAAAATGACACAGAAATAGAATGAAAACATATTATTTTATTTTAGGTTGTCTCCTATCAAATGAAATTATCAGAATGCATCTCTGACAAAGCTGCCCAAAATAATGACTTCTCAAAAAAAAGTGCTCCTGTGGCTCAACTTGCCCCAGGTTAGGGGTAAGTTGAACCAAGTAAGTGGGTAAATTGAGCCATCTTGGGGTAAACTGACCCTCTAGGTTTTAAAATGTAAACATGAGCATATTGTGCTAACAAACAGTTTTAAAAGTTTTGAACTTCTGAGAACAAACCACCAGTTAGTTTCAAAACCATTTAATCAAAAGAACTATTCAATATTCCAACTGTCAAGGTTGCAGAGGAACATGAACTGTTGCTCACTCCTTGCAGTTCCTCCAACCTTTTGAGGTTGAGGTAGCTTCTTCAGCACATCACTCCGTGGGAAAGATTCCTCATCGTTTTCCTTAAATGCAAAGGTGGGTTTCTTACTGCCAGTGATCCCTCGGATTCTTTTCAGAAATCTGGCACTCACTTCGTTGCCTGCAAGGCTGTCAACCAAGCCAATGTAATGGTGGCTTCTGCATTTGGATGCAAATTTTACGATGACAAAGTCACCAACTACCAGATCTGAGACATCTGGTTCACTTCTTTCATCGCTGGAACTCTCGTGCTCAGAAGTGTCTTCAAATGGGATGGCAACATCACTCTCCTCAGAGCTGATTTCTACTGCGATTTAAATTGGTCTATGCCAACCTACTGAGTTATGTTGTTTCTTGCACTTCCTACCGATTGCCAATTCTAATGACAGTTCCCGGCATTTCTTTGGTGTAAGGCCATGGAACTGGTCTGCGAGCTGCTTGATATGGTCTTCTAGCTCCTTCTCCATCTCCTCTGAAAATACTCTCCTTGCTTCTGCTGTTCCACTGTACCCTGCTGCTTTTACTTCCTTCACCTCCCTCTTCTTTATGAATCTCCTCAATATTGACCTGTCATTATTTCTCTCTTTTTTCACTGATCTGATGGACTTTCCAGCCTTGACATCACTGGCTGCTCTTTCCAGCGCTTCAAGGGGTGTTGAGCCCCAGTTTGTTTTTCTCTTGTAGGTTCTTGGCATGATCCCTGTTCTACAATGGTAAACATTTGACAAACCAGTTGAGTATACTCAAAGAAATACTATTTTATACGTCTGAGAGTGCTTGCCTTGTGGTGGGGTAAGTTGAACCATTGGCTCAATTTACCCCATAGCCTTTGGCTCACTTTGCCCCATAGCCACCATTTTGGAAAAGATGGGCTAGCTTAGAAATTCAGGCTAATCTTTAGTGAAGTGATTCACATGATTTTATACGTAAGAAAATCACCAACAAGTATAATATATAATTTTAGACCCAGATAAATTTGCTTTGATATAACAGTCATTTTACCTGATATGCTGTAAATTTACTTAAACAGGCAAAAAACAGTTTCTTGTGTAAAAAAGTACTTACCCCTTCTCCCATGTGCTTGTCTTTATCACAGCAAGATGGAAATGATTGGTGCTTCCTGAATTTATGGTCACATGACAAAACATGTGAACGGTTACCTAGTTAGAAGGGGTGGGTCAACTTACCCACTGGCTCATCTTACCCCACTCTCCCCTAAACCTGTGAAATTCAGACAGTCAGATAACTTTCACATTGGTATGGTCTACCAATTGAATACTTATTTACAACTGTACCAAATGTATCTGCTTGATTGGATTTGAATAGCTACTCCACGATTCTGTATGTTTTTATTTTGTATTTGTTTCTCTTAGGCTGAGGACCTGAAGGAAAACGTCTCCTACCAGTTCAGAGTTCGTGCAATGAACATGGCAGGTGTGAGTAAAACTTCTCTGCCAAATTCAGCTGTGGAGTGCAAAGAGTGGACCATCACCGTCCCAGGTATGACGGACCTTAAACCCATCTATCCACAGCTAACACACAAAACCTTTTGCTAGATGTTACTGCGAGAACATTTCAATGACTAATTTTAAGACATTTTAAGCACAAAATTCAACATCTAAATAGGCCTCAATTACTTTCTGACAAATACTGACAAATACAAATACTTTCTGACGAACCTAAATAACTCTCAAACGTCAGAATAGACTTCTGTAATGTTCACGAACTAAAGGTCCCCAAACATCAGTGAACATCAGTGTGATGACTTCAGGAAACTAAAGCATTCAGAATGGCTCATACCGGAACAACAGCTAACAATATCTGAGCAAAAGTCAGAAGATCCGCATGCATGATTCACGTGAACACTTGTTTTATAATCTTTGTAAAGCACTGATGCAGAGTGGATACAGAGCCATGTCAGACCCTACTTTCACTTACAAAACTTCAATATACCTCTCCTGCGGAAGTCCCATTCCCGTTTTCTAGTCATCGGTTTGTTTGAGAATCCATTGTCACCCTGCAGTTTTTTTTTTAACCTTGAAGGTGCTCCCGTCGGTCTTCATGTGCTGGAGGTTCGGGACACCTCTCTCGTTGTCCTGTGGGAGCCTCCGCTGTTCAATGGCCGGACTCCCGTCAATGGCTACTATCTGGACATGAAGGAGGCGTCTGCTGGGGAGGCAGCCTGGAAAGCCGTTCACGAGAAAACCAACAACAAAAAGTTTATGAAGGTCAGGATGGAGATGGATTGATACATTCTGACAGCGTGTGAAATAATTAAACGACTATCAGCATCATACTTTCTAACTGCCTCTTCCATGACTCCCCGTGTCCCCATTCAGGTGACTGGGATGAAGGCTGGAACATCCTACGTCTTCCGTTTGCGTGCTCAAAATCTTGCTGGAGTTGGAAAGCCCTCAGCAGTCTTAGGTCCAATCCTGGCCCAGACTCGCCCTGGTGAGCATGGCTGTTATGTAACTCACACATTCAATCACACTGTTCCTACGCAAGGCTGAAAAGTCTGGAAAAATAAGGATATTTTGTCAATTTCTTGTTCCAGACACATGATTTCACATATCCCTGAACAGACTGTCTCATGTTATGTTTTCATCATGGTAGTTAATGCAAGCATTGCTTTGATACTTCATCATCTCTCTTTTAGGCACCAAAGAGATTTATGTGGACGTAGACGATAATGGCGTGATTTCTATGGTCTTCGAGTGCTCTGAGATGTCTGAAGGTTCCAAATTTGTTTGGTCGAAAAATTACAAGGAGATCACAGACCCGTCTCGTCTGACTATTGTCACCGAAGGTGGAAAGTGAGCATCCTCATGTGCCTGGGGGTCCAAGATTTTGCTCCACTGCTGAGATTTTCAGCACCTCCTCACATCCTGTTGTTGTGCCCTTATCTGTAGATCAAGAGCCATCTTCAACAGTCCTTCCCTGGAGGATCTTGGCACCTTCTCCTGTATGGTCACCAACACTGATGGCATTTCTTCCAGCTACACGCTCACTGAGGAGGGTGAGTCAGCCCACAGTCTTGGCAGCTCATATCCTTTTTAAACAGCTGCTTCATGTTTACCTTGTGTGTGTACAGGAATGCATGTGTTGTTGTCTCAGACCTTTCGTTGCTAGTCATCAGTTTGGTTTGAGGTCATGACATGAACTTTGTTTTTTTTTGTTCTTGCTATTTTTACAGGTCTCATGCGTCTCCTGGATCTCAGCCATGAACACAAGTTCCCTGGTGAATATAACAACACGACACAGATGCTACTAAAAATATATATTTCTAATTTGAAAAAATCCAGATATGTTTAACTTATAATGACTTTACTTCCAATTAGCAGTCCACATGCACGTATGTGACTAGATATTATTGCTTCATTACCAAGCAATAATAACCTCTTGACAAAAAAAAAAAATGAGTTGCTGCGCTGTACAATTTTTTTTTTAAAGATATAATTAATGAATTAAAAAAATACTCTTCTCCAGTTATTCCCTTCAAGAGTGAAATGGCAATGGACCTCCTTGAAAAGGGCCGTGTACGATTCTGGACCCAGGTGGAGAAATTCACTTCTGCCTGCCAAGTGGAATACGTCTTCAATGATGTGATCGTTGAGCAAGGAAAGGTGGGATTCAAAGTCTAAGCATATCTTCTCATAACGTCAATCTGTATGCTCATCCTTAGATTGAGGGTGTCTGTGTTTCATCAATTCCAGAAATACACAATGAACTTCGACAAATCCACTGGTATCATTGAAATGTTTATGGACTCTCTGGAAGTCACAGATGAGGGAACATTTACCTTTAACCTGGTGGATGGCAAGGCAAAGGGTACAACCAGTCTGGTGCTAATTGGAGATGGTAAGAGCTCAAAAGTTATTCTCGATTTCATATTAGCAGTACAGATAATAATGAGTTTAAATGTGAAACCGCAAGTACCAAAAACTGTAAATACATAAAACCCATTGTGTGGAAGACGAAATGCTCTAGTTGTAGTAAAAGGATATGTCCATTGAGGGGCAGCAGAAGACCTTCCATCACTGACATCTTCCCTAATTTGACAAAAATTGAGTTTCAGTGCTGTTAAAAATAGACAATTGATTCGCAATATGTGTATTCATTTTGTTTCCAGAATTCAGGGAGCTTCAAAAGAAATCAGAGTTTGAGAGAGCAGAGTGGGTCAGGAAACAAGGTGAGCGATCACTTTAGCTCCCTCATATGAGGTTAAATGCTGATGGTATAAATGTATCTGCATCACTCTGTTCTTTGCCATGCGCAGGTCCACACTTTGTTGAGTACCTTGGCTTTACTGTTACTCAGGAGTGTGATGTGCTGCTCAAATGCAAGGTAAAAAAAAAAGAAAAAAGGGAACTATATGTATGTACCTCTGCATTTATCTTCAACACAACGATTACCCAACTTCTTTTCCCTCTCTCACAGATTGGTAACATCAAAGCAGAGACCGAGATCACTTGGCTGAAGGACTCCATTGAGATTGCGGAGGACGATGAGGATGCGCGCAAGATCGAGAAAAAAGACAGCGACCTGACCTTTAATATCGGAAAGGTCGGTCCTGTAGATGGAGGCCGGACTTTATGAGGAGCTGGGAGCTTTTGATAAATAGCTAAAAGCAAAAGCCATGCAGCTAAGCTTTCTCTCAACAGCTTGACTAGAGATTGTGCTGCCAACCACCCCTCTCTGACACAGAGTCTTCTACATTATTAAAGACTTTTAGAAAATGTACACCTTCCAGAGTTCAACAGAGGTGCTGCTTGTGTCAGCACATTTGCATGTTGTACATAGACATGAACAAGGGACTCTGGAAGCTGTTACATTGTGCTGAAAAGTTATGGCCCATTGTGTTCAAAATTTAGGCTCAAATACTATAAGTACAGCATGCTGTTTTATATGTTCATTTCATCCCTAACCCTACATTCAATTTAACTCTCCTGGCTTGCTGCTTTATATGTCTAAAGACTCCATTGTGGAGGAAGTTGATCAATTGTTGTTGTTTTTTTGTTTTTTTAAGAAAAAAACGTCCAGCGCCAGTGGAGTTATCTTGATGATTCATTGAATCTGTATAAACATTGGTCATTAAGAGAGGGCTGGTGTCATTGCATGTGCTCCTGTCAGCTGCCTTTGCAATAACTGGCATATCTGTCTAATTCACAGTGGATTATTAAGCAAGAGAAAAAGAAAGAAAAAGAAGGGAAAAAACCATCTGCAGAGGACGTTCCCCCGCCACCGAGACCTAAAGTCTGGACATAATCTATCTGCCATAAGTTGATGCCTAACGTATCCATGTCACCCCTTGTCTTACCGTTTTCCATGTTTTCCTTCATCGTTTCCATGTTTTCATTTTAACGCCTGCAGCATCATGGGCGGGAGAAAAGCTTGACTTTTCGGTATAGTTAGTCTCTGTCCAGCTATTCTGATGTCTCTCGACTGTCCCCAGAAATCCTTTTGTCTTTCTTGTTATCTAATAGGATGTGAAAATAATTTTTGCCTCGATGATGCTTAAGTGACATTTACTGTCCGCTCTAGATCTCCAAGCATGATGCTGGTATTTACGAGGTCCACCTGAGGGATGAGAGAGGCAAAGATAAGAGCTCCTTCAATCTGACAGAAGCAGGTGAAGCCTCCTTGGTGGATTTAATGAGCAGAGAATTGAGTGGAAGAGTGGAAGTCGGTGCTCTCAAAGCTACATAAGAGACGTTATTGATTATGACATTAATTACTGTTATCGTGCTTTTCCCCAGGATACCAAGCCGTAATGAATGAGCTGTTCAGAGTTATTGGTGAGTCAAAAGTCACACATACAAAGGAGTGATGAAGCACAACACGTGGTCTGCACACAATACCCGCGTGGGCCGAACTTTTCTTCAGAGCAAACGGCTCCAAAAAGATTTTTCCGCCTGCCTGCTTATCGTAATGATTATGTATGACTTTAAAAGGATGTCAGCGAAAGCTTCTTTGTGTGTTTGTTTTTCCTTATAGCCAACTCTTCCAGTGAAGTCAAAGTTGTCAGCACCGAACACGGCATCATCCTCTCCTCCATGATCACATACTATGATGAAAACCTGCGCGTCGGGTGGCTTCACAAGTATGTAAAAGCGATTTGATAAACATGTTTTACATTCTCCTGTCTTCTCTGCTCTGCCAAACGATTTCCGTGAAATGCACAAACACACAAACATCTAAAACTGAGAGATAATGATGCATTTGTTGGTTTTCAGCTTTTGGATGAACTGTATTTATCAAGACCAGAACTAAACGCTACTGTGGATGTGTCGGATTTGCCATTAGGGCAGTTTTTTTTTCTTTTTTTTAATCAGTGGGCTTTCCTGCCACTGCACAACAACGAAAGTGTAAACTATCCATATGTTAAAAGTGTATCTTGCGTCAAGAAATCCTGAGGCTTGTTAAACCACTGTGAGGAGCATAAAAGGTGAGAGCTGTCCCCCCCCCATGTCTTATTTCTAAGAGGTGTATCAAAGGCGAATGAGCATGACAACCTGTTCGTTTCGTTTCATGTAGTGACAAATAATGGCAAAAGAAATGACAGTGCTGCTCACTTTGAACTGGCAAGTTTCCTTCTGGAAGCAATGACGTGATCAAAAACTCACTGTCAACTAAATGAAAGCTACCAGATCTGTGAGGCATCTCGTCGGGGGGTCTGACAGCGAGAGCAGCTTACCGTTGAATGGAAAAAACTTCATAGTTCTGAAAATAGACATATTAATCAGCCTCTGAGCAGAATTTGTAAAAGTTTTTTTCATTGACTAAATACGTTACTTATCACATGGTCCTGTTGTTAATTTGAAACTAAATCACTAGTATGTACCTAGAATGTTGTTGATTTTTAGATGAGTTCTATGTGGATTTATTATAAAGCTAATTAGTGTCCTGTTTATTTATGTCTGTAATTAGGGATGCAAAGATTGCTGCTTCAGAGAGAGTTAAGGCCGGTGTCACAGGAGAGCAGCTCTGGCTCAAGATCAATGAACCCACAGAGAAGGACAAGGGCAAATACGCTATTGATATCTTTGATGGCAAGGACGGTGTGAAGAGAATCTTTGATCTCAGTGGGAAGGGTAAGAGGAAGTTTTAAAGTCAAATGAGTTACTCTAGACAAGACAAAATGAGAAAAATATCTGATTTAAATGTGGCCAATTTAATTCTAATGTAACCAAATCCAAATTGTAAATGTTTATTTGTTCTGATGCAGCTTGGGAGGAGGCATTTGAAGAATTCCAAAGGCTCAAGTAAGTAAACTAACCAATCCGTACGGCTGTATATCTGCCTGTGAGGATTTACACAAATAAATAGCAGCTGGCTTCACAAACCTAAAATAGATGCCACTGTCTTTGCAAACCGGATGTGCAAAAAAACACATTTCCTGTTATTGTATTGCTTCATGATAAGCAAGATACCAATTTTAGCTGCTTCTGACCCGTCTCTACTCTTGTTTTTTTTCTTTTTTAGAGCGGCAGCAATTGCAGAGAGAAGTAAGTGGTTATTTATTCCTTTGCTTCTTTTGCAGAGATGGTGCTATGTTGAATTATATAACGTTACATAATATGGTTTCAGCTTTACTAGAGTTAAAGAATCAGTTGAGCTTTTGTGTAGAAATTACTATTAGGAGTCGTTGAATTTAGAAGAGAGACGTTTACAGGAAATTAGTCAGAATGGGTCACTTTTCAGCTAAGGGTACAGTTTCTGTGCGTCTTAAGTATTCGACAAGCAAAGGCTCACAGGAGGACTGACTGATGATTGTCATTGTTGGCTCTCCATCGTGTTTCTTGTGCAGACCGTGCGCGGGTTGTTGGAGGCTTGCCAGATGTAGTTGCAATTCAAGAGGGCAAGGTAAATAAATTAGATCATCCCTCTGCCAACATAACATATGCATTTCTCACCCTCCGCTTTGTTTTTCCAGCATGTCATTCTTTTTAGCTCATCTTTCCTCAGAGGTCTATTCTCCTCTGAGGAATGCATATTTGTATGGTACACATCAAGAGCAAACCTCTTCCTTTTACCCGTTTTAGTCCCTAAACCTGACTGGCAACGTGTGGGGTGAGCCTGCACCTGAGGTATGCTGGATGAAGAACGAAAAGGAGCTGGTATCCGACGACCGTTACAAACTCAAGTTTGAGCACGGCAAGTTTGCCAGCATCACCATTGCCGCCGTCACCACCGCTGACTCCGGCAAATACGCCCTCGTGGTCAAGAACAAATACGGCAAAGAGGCTGGCGAGTTCACCGTCAGCGTGTACAACCCAGATGAAGAAGAGAGCAAGGGCGAGAAGAAAGACTAAAGGCTGGCACAGTGAAGTAAACCAAAAGGATAATAACATCTAGGCCATCAAAGCCATTTACCCTGGCGCATGCCGGTGCAATAAAGCAGTTCAATAAATCTTGAATACAGCTGCTTCCTCCTGCGTCTTTGGTTTGCTGGGCTAAAAACAGCTTTTGACATTGTGTGTCAAGAAAAAAAACAATGAGATGCAGAGAGAATGATTTTGTGCTTCTTGTTGCTTTGCATGCTTCCAGTCTGGGCATCCCTATCAGCTGCTCTTAAACCGGATGTGGTTGACCACTTATTTATCTTTTATTTTGAAATCAAGTTACAGGCCAACAAATCCAGGCCTATCAGTGTTATCTCATTTGATTAAAATGTTAAACTGGGCAAGCTTTTAAATTTTGTCTTTGGGTATTTTCCTACTGTAAAGGAATAAGTATATATAAAATTCATGATGTTGTAAAAGAAAAAACATTTTTTCAGATATTTCACACATTCAACACATCAGCTTTCTGATGTTTGATTGTGTTGTTTGCATGTATGTTGTACATGTATTGTCTGCAAGCTAAGAGCATAAGTCATCCCAGCCATTTGCAGGAGGGCTAATAAACACTGGTGTGAATTTAAGGAGTGTGACAACGCACATGGCTGTCAAAACCGGTTTAATTAAGATGTTTTTTACTTTAACGTCCTTCAAAGCTACATGCAAAGTCCAGGTAGAACTGGAATAAATTACAGAGCCTGCCTTTTAAAACTTGCCCTGGGCTTCACAAACAGAAAGTTTCCCTGAATAAAAAGAAGGAATGTTTCTGATACAATGGAGGAAAGACAGGTGAAAAACTGCCCTGCGGCATTTGGTCTGAAGCCAAGTAACTGGTTTACAACTTCAGCATGCTGTTTCTGTTTCAGGCTCTCATTGTAATGAAACCTGTGGCTGTTTCAGAGAAGTTTCATTTTAATATTACGCAAGATCCTGTTCATCCTCATAGGGGGAAAATGCCACCAAAAAAAGCCCCAAAAAATTCCATTGTAAAAAAAAAAAAAAAAACTCAGATTAATGAAATACTAATGATACATTTTCTGTAAACCTGTGGTAACTGATGCAGCATTTCCCTCAAATCTAGTACATGAAATGGATTTTGTTTAATAATGCGTACGCTCTAAGATCACTGGTACAGATTGCAGACTATATGTTTATGTCACTGTTCAGAACACAAGAAATCAAGCTTTTGAAAGAAAATACATCTTAGGAGAGGACCTTTTTAGGGTATATGTTCCAAAGGGGGGTACAATAAAACAAAATGAAAAATAAAACAATAAATACATGCAAAACAACTTTTATACATGCAAACTAAATGAAATACAGAGTTAAAAAAAAGATAAATGTAAACATTTAAGAACATCTGCCAACATGTTAGGGAACAAATACCTGTGGTGCAAAAGAGGTGCAAAATGCTCACAAAATATTCAAGATATAAGAAATGAAACGCTAAAAGTACCCTGAAAGGTGTCAAATGAAACAAGAAACACATTACCTGGGTGATAGAAAATAAGTTGATACTCAACCTCAAGGATAAAAACACCTCAAAAGTCATGCAAAATTACTTCAGTGACACTGAATGGATGCAACAGTCTGGGGGGAAAAATTACACATAAAAGCAACCACAGCACCCAAACAGACCACCCGCTGACAATGATGGCGTCTCTACACGCCTGTGCCAGCTAGACTGATAGTCCAACCGGGGGCAAAGTCCTACGGTAATTCAGGGAGATTTCTGTTTTTTGTGTTTTTACACACAGTGGAGTCTTTAGAGAATTGAACGTTTGAGGAAAAGGCAGGCTGTCCCAGCAGCTTGCCCGAGTTCTGACGCTGTGCGGCTCTGTCCCGTCAACAGCTCCACACACACCAGTCGGTCACGGTGGTCCAAGCAGGGGACACGTCAGGAGGTTGAGAGGAGTTTCGCCAGGGAAAAAAAAAAAAAAAAATGGGGACTCACTGAAGACGTTCCACCGTTTCTTTAACATCAGCATCCGGCTGAAGTAACCGACCGGTAAGGACTTAGCTAAATATAACGACTTTCAATTCATTCTTTTCCCTTTCATCCGCTTGTTAATGTATATATCTGAATTTACCATAAGCTAACGTTAGCTAGCGCGCAGTCAGGCTAACATTTGTTTGAGCCCAAGTGGATGTATTGGAGTGGGAAATAAAATGGGTAGATTTGATATTAATTGATCGTATCCTTTGAATAATATTGACTCTTAAAAGACACCAGCTTCGGAGCGAGTGGCTGACGTTGGTTTAGGTTGCCATCAACGGTAACGTGAGCCAAGCCAAACGATAACATGAAGCTAGCTAAGGGTTAACGCTGGGAAACGGCTAGCAGAGCCCCGTCTCCATTCATTTTGATCTCCTCTCCATGTTATTTTTAATTCACTTATTATTCACGTCTCGAACACTGACGTTTCAAACAGTCGTATTTTCTATTTTGTTTTTCTGTTCAATTATTTCCGCAATCTTCCCCCTCAGCTTACAAGCAGGTGACGCTTAGTCAAGTGTTTTGAATAGCTTTGTTATTTAAGACACGAACCATTTAAGTTAAAATACCCACGTTTGACGACACAATTAATGAAAAATATTTGGAGAAGCATATATTAAATTTGGTGTCAGGTGAAATTGACGTCTTGGGGTAGGTTACCCTGGTCGTGCTTTGTAAACAGTGAGGACATGTCAGTAAACAAAAAACCTGGCCATGGGCGATACTGGAAAGCACCATCAGACCACGACATTCGTAAATAACTTTCATGGTAAAAATGCTAGTATTCATCTATGATGATGAGCAGAGTCTGTAACCTGTTCGGTGACACTGTATTCACAGTATGGAAAACGTCATGTTTAAACCAGGGTTCTTTCAATTACCTGTACAACCAACTTTCCAAAAATATTTTCACTTTATAGTCATAATTGGTCTCATTCTACAAATTTGAATTTCAATTAACCCAGTGCTCTTACTTGTCCTCCCTTAAATGACACGTTTTAAATCGGAGTTAAATAAAGGTCCGAGTTAACCTATTCTGTAACATGGCAAACATTTGAATCATTTTTAAAGGTGACGTTGAATCCATTTTTAATGGGTTATGCTTGCAATTACAAGCCCCCAGTGAATGAATAAGCTCAGTCAAATGAGGAAAGAACATTCAGTTGTTCTTTGTGTCGTAAATTATGTAACTGCACAACCCATTCTGCCTTGCAGGCCTTTTGTTGATCTGCAGTACCCCTGGTTGGCAGTCATATTTTCCCAATAACGTAAATCTGGCCTCTTAAATATTGAATAACTAGGCATAAGACTCCATGCTTCATTAGTGGTCGGTCCTCACTCATCAAACTCTGCCTTAAAGGGATAAAGGCACTGATTGGAAAATTTAGACCTAAATAGAACTTTTAATACAAGGTTGAATTTTTTGTTTTTGTTTTATAGGTTTTAGGCGTGTCATCTGAAACCCACTCAAGAGATAGTTTAGCTATTTTAGCTTTGTAGAATCAAGGGGTCTTAGATTCTTCTTCTGAGACATAAAAAACACAAGCCAGTTTTTCAGGTTTCTTACTTCAACAATTCAATGTCTCAGTTTAACATGCCATAGTCAACATTATTAAGCATTCAACATTAGTCAATTTTTGAAATATGGGATTTCGTTTGGTTAAAAAAGTTTCCATCTTTTTAGTGCTGAAGAAAGTGGAAAATTTGAAAGTCAACACTGAGGTTGTTGTCGGTGTTATCAAGGTAATGAGTTGACTGGTGTCAGGGCAGTTTTATGTAACTCGATGCCTGTTTTGTTGTCAACCTGGTGTGGACTGGTTTGTGAGTTCAGCCACAGCACTGGTTCTGTATATTTGTTCGTTCGTTTTTTTGCCATAATTGGTTGGACTACAGTGTAAATAATGATGTATGTTTCACATCTGTGTTTATTAGTCATTTGTAATATGTTTCAGTTGTATAAAGAAACAAGGGCAGTAATCCCTGTGATAATTATGCATTTAGTATATTTTGACGTGCTTTTAAATCATGTGACGAGGATGTCATACATTTGATTGGTAATTAAACACGGCAGCAAAAGAAAAAAACAGAAAACATTGAAGCGGAGTGCACTGAATGTCCTGTAGATTGACTTCACTGTCAATAACTTTCCACTCCCTCCTCCCCATTGATAGGTGAAACACAATAACAAGCACATACAGCAAAGATAGTACCGGCCATGTGACTAATGGCGCAAGAACACCGTGCTTGGTTTTTTCCCTGAGTTTTTACTCTTATCAGGAGAAAACATTGCATAGCCGTTCAAGGGGAAAGAGCTGTCCCTTATCAGAGATGCACCACCACTGTAAAGATGTCATCCCATTGGCTAGCATGTTTGTACAATGTCAGCTGACTGGGTTACTAGAAGTGCACATTCTGCAAAGAATAGCGCAGAAGAAAGATGGCAAAGTTTATGACAGTGTTTCACAATCACCATTTGTTCCAGATAGCATATCTGTATTTACCCCAGGGAGGGTTATGCTAAGTTGATTAGCAGGGCCTGTATTTGAGTTTGGATTCAGGATGGCAGATAGACATTGTTGTTGGAATCTGCGGGCAGAAATCGTTACTCCCAGTGGAGTGTCCTGAGCTGGGTAGAATGATGAAGAGACAGAGATCCTGGGGAAACTGGGAGCTCACAGGAAACACCACCGAGGACAACACAGACAACAGTGAACAGGATGAGTCTTCATCTTTGAAGTCATCTTGGTCCCTGGTGAGTTTGAACTATAAGCCTGTCTAGTCTGTGACAGCTTGAGCCAGTATGGAGAGCTTAGTTGCGTTTGGCGTTGCTGGTTCTTGGTTGTTTGGTGCTGCTAAACTGGGATTATTGACATCTGACCACAGCCATTTTCAGAGCCACACTGGATACTTTTTTTAGTCTTAGTAACATTGTGAAATGGGCCGTAGGTTATGTTGTGATCTGGTCAACCATGTTTAGGCTCAGTAAACAGGAAAGGACAGTGGCTACATGAAAGTGAAACATGTTTGTGACATGTCTCACCAAAAGTACTGGTTTCTTTTCTTATGACTTGAAAGGAAATGCATTTTTCTATGGATGGGTATTCTTATATGCTGAAAAGTAATATTTGCTGTTTTTATAGTGCAGGCAGTGCCCTCTTGTACCTGTCTTACTCACATTATGCGTACTAATCAGCAGGGTGGGAATTACACTGGGCCTCGATAGTGTGGAACAGCTCCAAACATTTTTTTCTTGTTTTTTTTTCTTTCTAACTCGATTGTAGTTAACCAAGAATTCTTTTCCTGATATGAGTGCGGATAAAACAATGTATTAGGATTTTTTTAAATAATTGTAAACTACTTAATTAATTTTAAGATCAATGTTATTAAGTTAAATGTCCAGTTTTGAGGGATCAGTGCTGCAGAATGTACTTGCCTTTCTTTGAGTCCAGTGTGTTTCTCCATATAATTTTTTTTCTTTTTTGTCCTTTTTTTGGACCACTCTGTCACATTCCTGTGCCCAAGCAGCTCCGCTTTAGTCTCATCAGCCTTTAAACTGGTGACCCAAGCATTTCTTCCAGGTGACCTTTTTTCAAAGAGAACTAGCTTTTGTGGTTTTATTTGCTAACTGAGGTCCTTCTCAGTTGGGAATCCTTGTGCAGTTTAATGTCCAGCTCAGAGGGTGCTAAGCATGGGAAGCATAGTGAAACAACAGAGGTTGGTATAGTATTGACATTGTTGTTCCCGGACAAATATGGTGAATTTAGTTTTTAAAAGTCTACAATAGACGGTTTACTTTGACTTTTGTTTGGCCATTGTGCAGATAATGCATTCATAGTAATGTTCAGAGCTAAAGGTCAATGTACGATGGGAGTATTTCAGGCTACATGAACACGTTGAAGTCAGGAGGAGAATGTACTTGCTGGCCTATCTAAGCAGACCCTGACCACAGCAACTTAAATTAAGATTTATGCTAAAGAAATGTATGTTTAAAATCATGATCTAATGTTCTTTAGTTTGATCAAAATTCAACAGGACAGCAGAACAGTTGGAATGATAGTGTATGTTTAGCATCTGCCTATATGTTATGAAATATTTTTCTGTGCATCAACAGTGTTCTTGTGAGTGAATTTACAGCCTCAGAAAATATTCATCTGAATCTGTTATGAAATGATATTGTTTTGGAAAATAGAATAAATATCCCCCATGTAGCTGTAGCTTTAGCCATAAAATGTGTCTAGGGTATTGTGTTTGATGCTAACAAAGACTTATAAATGTAAACAGGACACCAGCTGCTTACATTGCAGCAGGGAAGTGGGATTTATGCATCAGGTTGTCTCATTGTTTGGGCCCAGCCATTTGGTCTTCTCTCTGATGTTACGCATGTGGGACAGTAGCCAGTGCGAGGATGACAGCGGCACTCTGCAGCCGGTATGCGGGTCAGCAGATAACGCACTGTGGGGCAGGCAGCCTGTGTGGGAACCCAGAGATGAGACCAAAAGACAAGTTAGGCAACCTAACTGACTGGAAAAGCATACTTCTCATACGGCAAAACTGTCAAATGCGAAAATTCAAAGGATATCAAGTTTGGACCCAAGAAATGTAGGACTATCAGCTTCTACAGGCCAAAATGGCAAATTCTTCTGGATTCACCCTGTCTTTCTGTTTACTCTGCTTCTAAGTTGTTCTTTCCCTCCACCAGACAGACACCATGAACTACGTGGGCCAGCTGGCAGGTCAGGTTCTGGTAACCGTCAAAGAACTGTACAAGGGCATTAACCAGGCCACGCTGTCAGGCTGTATTGATGTTGTGGTGGTCCGCCAACGGGATGGCACCTACCAGTGCTCTCCATTCCACGTTCGCTTCGGCAAGCTGGGTGTTCTGCGCTCGAAGGAGAAAGTGGTGAGTGTTTATTTGTTTACATCTTTGTATTTGTTTTCGGTTATGTGTCCTCTCAAACTACATGGGCCGAAAGACTTTGCGTCACCTGCCATGAGCATTCCAGGCAGGAATATAAAAATGCCTGTCCATACATGCACCAAACACCAGGGGATTCTGTTTTATTACAGATGAAAATATCCCAGAATGATGCCAGGATGGTTGTGAAGATTTGATGTTAAAAGTACACTACTGAAAGCAGAGTAATTTGTTCAATGCAGTATTTTGTTTAACATATCTGTTCAGATGACCCCCGCCCCCCCTCCCAAACCCCCAACTTAAGACCCCACACAAAAAGGAAAGAAGGAATGTTGGAAGCAGAGGCTCTCCACATTCCGCCTGAGCTCGTGCTGTCTCTGTCCATGGGTGCAAAGTGATTGGGACTCTGCAGACGCTCCTGCACACATTCAACCTCAAGCTGCGCTAACTCTTCCCTAAGCTGTAATCGTCACTGTTCTTGTTGTTCTTCGGGTCCTCGTCTTTGCTGTCTGTATGTTCCATTTCTGAGAGGACATCAATCTTGATGCATGGGTAATCGGTGCAGTGTGAGCAATTAGATAATGCACATGGCTGTCCGCAGAGGCAGACCCTCGCAAATTGTAGGTGATGACAAAGATTACACAGTAGTGAAAGTTAATGCTGTCACATGTATATCCTGTATGGGCATAAAATCGGCTCAATTGAACCATTCCTGTCTGACAGCTGCATTGTGAGTTGTTGCAAGCTTTGTGGGCTTGTCCACGTTGTTGATATAGTGTGTTAGTCTTACATATGCTGATTCACATTTGCAACATTTGAAAGTGATAGTTTAGGTGTGATCCTTAAATACAGCCTAAGTAATGGCTGTTTACCAGGGAAGCAATTTCATTAGTCACAATATCAGCATGGAAAATCTGCTGTTAATTGACTTTGCCCCTAAGGTGCAGTCATACTAAGTCCTCATACAACAAACTCTATCTGCAGTCAGTTCAGAAACAGCATGTGATACCACCGCTCCGGCATGGATGATTAATGATTATTGAGTATGGAGATTGCAGACTATGACTCACTTAGGGAAACGGATGTGGATGAGCAAAGCTATCATAGTCTGGGTATTTCTTTTTGATTATTGATTAAACACACTCCTGGCGAGGGGCAATCCAATTAATTTTGGGTGAAGAACATATTTTCTATTTTGGGCGCTCACTTCACACTTGAGAAAACAGTGTTTTTGCTGCACGTTACCACCAGACTAATTGATGGAAAGGGACAGCAGGTTAATTCTTTTAAGGTCGCTCTGCTGTAGCAGCCGCAAGGAGACGTAGAGCTGCACGTTATGAATAAAGATTTGTATGCTACTGAGATGGCAAGAAAGAGTCTTTTTGTTAAGACTTCACTTATTTGATAAACTAAGATTTACACGAGTCTTGTCATACAGCAAGTAATTAACACTGACTAGATTCAGACAGTTTCTGCAGACCGCCAGCATTAATGCTGAGCTCGTCTCAACATTTATTCTTGAAAGAGCTCTGTAGTACTTGGGATTGAAATAAGCTCTTTCACTTTCTGGTGAAACAGAGTGGATAATGATTTTTGGTGGACCGACAATGTTTCACCACGTACCCAGCATGCTGATGGGTTTGGAGGGTTGGAATGAATGAGTGGTCTCTATGGCAACAACTCTACAACTTGGATGTGTATGAGGGGGAAGAAATGTGAACAAGCTTTCGAAAAGGGCGGTTGTATAACACGCATACATTTGTTCCCATATTCACTTTTCTGTATGCGTCTAATTATGCATCTAATTATAGTTTGGAACCTAAAACACACCCGTTGAGGATATTAACAAAGACTCTCATTAATATTCAGCATGGCAAGGTAATCACTGGTAAATGCCAGAACTTTGAGGATCTGCAGATACAGCCGATACATTAATAAATCATCCAGATTTTAAACATGATTTTGGCAGAACGGTGACTCAGCCTGTCTTGTGAATCCAACCTGACTTGAATGGATGAAAAGGATGCTAATTTATTCTGCTTCCTCTTTGATGGGTTTTCCCAAATTTCAGCCACCACCACAAAAGTTCCTTATAGAAACCTTGAGGCAGTGACATTACACCTCAGAATTACAGATCACAAATGACAAACCAAACCTTCAAAAAGTTACACAGCGAATAGAAAGATGGAACAAAATAATTCACATCGATAAAACAAAATGGATTACTTTGGTGGACATTGGTTGCAAATTGATATTGATTTCGTTTCAGGTTCAGGAGCACTTGTGAGTCAAAGTCTGTCCTCTCTGCCAGACGTGACCTGTTTTTCTTTATGTGGCATCAAGTTTCTGAATGGGCTCCAATTCACTGGGGTTTTCCTGGCCAACTTGAATGGCCTTGTTCTTATGACAGTTTCCACAGTGAAAGCCCAGAAGACTCATATGCCAATTAGGGTTTCTAAGAGGACAGAGACTGAACTGCAAAGGCCTGCCATGGGTGTAAATAAATCAGGCGATAGATTATTCATATTTTACATGCAGAAACAGGGGTTATCTTTTATATGGATTAGAACAAATTAACATATTGAATGTTACTTTGCATTTCATTAAGTTTTAGGTTTTTATGCTAAATTTAGCAGGCATGCATGTAAAAGTAATCACCGAGAGAAGAGGAAGCGCTGCCGGAATGTTTGGATTCCGACAACCCTCAGGCCATCGGTGTCCTGCTCTTAACCTCTGCTCCATATTGCATGTACTAACAAAACAAGACAGTTTTGATTTACTATATTAGTCTTCTGTTTTCATGTTGCCTCAGAAATCTAATTTTGTATGTTTTTATGTAATTTTTTTTCCAGATTGACATTGAAGTGAATGGAGAGCCTGTAGACCTTCATATGAAACTTGGAGACAATGGAGAGGCCTTTTTTGTCCAGGAAACTGAGCAGCAGAATGTAAGCTACCATTTTGATAGTCCAATTGAATCTGTGTATAATGAATAACATGGTTATATAGGACATTTAGTGCTTTGTGGAGCATTATAGGAATAGATTTGATATCACACTTCCATCCACAACATTTTAAGGTCTTCCGGTCAAGCCGGGATGTCATCGTTCTTATATGTCAGAACATTAAACCTGTTTGTCACTGCATTTGAACACACCACTGAAACTTGCTGTCTGAAATGTCTGTGAGGAATTCTTTTTTTCCACTGTTGCTAAGTTCCTGTATTTGACAGTTGACTAATTACACAATCTACCAGAGCTTTTATTGTAAGTTACAGGCCCCCTGTTTTCTTGAAATTGAGTCTCTGGGGACAAAGCATGCCACTTTGGCTTGATCTTGTTTTAAGCATATCATACATTTATGTCCTTTTTGTTCTCTCTTCAGCAGATTGTCCCTGCCCACCTCGCTACTTCCCCAATTCCTACTGAGAGTCATCTTTTCTGGATCTCAGAGGTGGAGCAGAGGGCACCACAGGATCTCGAAGATGACCCCGCTGATCCAGAGGATTGTCCTGAACCTCCTGCTCCCAGCTTATCCACAAAAAAGAAGAAAAGACGAAGAAAGAAGCACAAAGGAGACCCACGCAGAGAAGAACTAACCCCGCCAGTATCAGTCACTACTGGAAATGTTGCTGCTACGCCTGCTGCTATGTCCAGCTCTGGGCAGGGTGACGAGATCTTTGAGATGGACCTGAGCTCAGATGAGGATGCAGGGGCACACGTCTCAAAGTAGGTTCAGATTTAAGACGTTTTGCTTCTGTTTTTGTGTTTGCATTAGACGCAAGTTAACCGTTGTCTATTTTGTACTCTGAATTTAGGTCGCCCTCAATTGCCACAATGCGTGACATTGACCCTAAACTACCTTTGATCAGGCATAACCTTGATGATTATCCATTGTCTGATGGAGAATGGCCCACAAGTGAAGGGTATGTATGAGGATGGAGCCTTTGACAGCAATTAAGCATAAACACACAAAAGCTCTTCTCTAAATGTCTGTTCTTTGTCTATGCCTTTAGTCATTGCTTGTCCCAGGCTTTTTCCCCAAAGAGTGATTCAGAACTGGTGATGAGGCCCTCAGAGAGTTTGCTCAGAGCTGAGTCCCACATGCAGTGGACCTGGGGAGAGTTTCCAGAAAACACCAGGGTAATCACTTCATACCAGTAAAATTCAAAGCAGCGGTCAGGATGCTTATCGTCATGCTAACTTGTTCTATTAAATGTCCAGATCACCAAGAAAGAGAAAGCAGAGCCACTGAAAACCGTGACCATCACCCCATCAGAGAGCACCCACTTTCGTGTCATACTCAGTTCAGAGGCCATGGAGAACGAAACTGAGACGGAAAAGGAACACAGAGCCCCCACAGTGTGCACCATAGTCAAGCCGGAGCCCCGAACCCCTGTCACCTCTGCGACACCTGATAATCCACTATCATCTGTCTGCACCATAACCTCTGGATTGAGTCCCATCACCCCCACAGAGCCTCTAGATGTGTTGCCATCCAGCATAGCAACCTCCACCCCAGCAAACAGTCAACAGAGCGATTCACCCTCCAAGAAGAAAGGTATTTACGCCGACTCATTTAGACTTGGTAATGATTAGCATGTAATATGCAAACTAATAAATATTTTTGTTTTCGGTTTCAGGAGTCCCCAAGAGGAGCCAACATCAGGGTCCTGAAGATATCTACCTGGATGACCTGAATGTACTTGAACCTGATGTGGCTGCAAGATATTTTCCTAAGAGGTCTGCTTACGCAAGAGGCGCCTAATTTCTTGACCTGTTCTAATAGAAAGTGTGCTCTATTTTAAATCTGAACGCATGCATTATTAATATTCCCCCTCAGAAATAGCCCTCAATCCCTTGAAGACCTGTATCGTTTTCTTTTTCTTTGCTTGTGTTACGCCAGTGAGACGGAGGCAGCGACCAAGCATTGGATGGACTCAGAGATGCATTCTGGTTCACAGTCCCCTCAGTCGGTGGGCAGTGCGGCTGCTGACAGCGGGACCGAATGCCTTTCAGACTCGGCCAGTGACCTGCCTGATGTGACCCTTTCTCTGTGTGGAGGTCTAACAGAAAATGCTGAAATATCCAAAGGTACATGAAAATGATACCTATCAAATAACCCCTGTTTGTACTTTCTTTAATGACAGAAGTTGGTATGAAGTGCAAAGTTTTCTGCATGTTCTAGCCTCTTATGAAGGCCTCCAGGTACTGAGAGGGGAACGACTCCTGCTGGAAGTCTGTTGATGACACATGTGATCTTTTATTTATTCTTGGAACTTATTTTCTTGTCGACATCCTTTAGAAGGAGTTCTCCACCTGTAATGGAGTTTTCCATGTGCATTTCTCCTCCTATTACAAAGTCAATGCATGCACGCTTCAGTACAAAAGAGGAGGGATAACATAACACTTGACAGGACACACAACAGGGTGTCGTTTTAGCCCTCAGTTGCTTAGACAAAGGAGTAAAAAATGTGTGGCTTTTAAGGGATTATGTTTTACCGTTATTGACCTTTTTGTCTGCTGTCATTGATTACTTTCCTTCTCCTCTGGGTGTCTGCAGAAAGATTTATGGAGCATATCATCACGTATCATGAGTTTGCTGAAAATCCAGCGATTATAGATAACCCCAACCTGGTGGTAAAGATAGGAAACAGGTTTGTAAGCCTTTTCCTTTTTCCAGGTTAAAAAAAGTATGTTATGTGTTAGACTGGTATTGTGTTTTAACTAGTCTTTATCTTCTCAGATATTATAACTGGACATTAGCTGCTCCGCTGATTTTAAGTCTACAAGCTTTTCAGAAAAATTTACCAAAGGTAATATCCTACCGTCCAACCTACTTTACGGTCCTAGTAAATTTCCAGCAGACTTCTTGTTTGTTCCCTTTGTCCTGATTTTTTTTTTCAAACTGCAGGCTACAGAAGAGGCCTGGGTAAAGGAGAAAATGCCAAAGAAGTCAGGCCGTTGGTGGTTCTGGAGAAAGAGGGCTGATAGCACAATCAAGCAGGTGTGTTCACTTGTTTTTAGAAAAAACTAAACTGTAGAAGTATTTTTAACAGTTTTTTCTGATTTATGGTTTCATAATTATGCTCACTGTTATACTTACCGATGCAATTTCTTGAATGTTTTAGATAATAAAATTATGTCATTGTTTTCTCCCTCCAGTCTGAGACTAAGCTGGAAACCAAGGAGGAGGCTAATTTGGCTGGGGAAGAACCCTCCATGTCACAGGAGAAGCTGCCCTTACCGTAAGTGATGCCAAGTATTAACTGCTCTGTACAATCAGACGATTCAGTCATTTTGAAAAGCAAGGATTCTGAATTTGTTTGTTTTTTTCACAAGGAAACTATCTTTTTTATATTAAATATTATGTAATGGATTCATGAACATTTCGTATAAGAAACATTTATGAATGAACAGTATCTAAGAATCAACACAGGTCCATGAGTTGTACATCCATGTCCACAGCTAAAGCTGAACTGGACAGAGAAGGTAACTTTCACTGCCTTTGCCCTGTAGGCCTAAAGCAGGAGACACATCCAGTGATGAAGAAGCCAAGGAAGTGAGTGCTGTATCCTGTCAAGAGAGACTGCAAACAGGAGATGGTCCGCACCACCCCAGCCCACACACTTACAGGAAGTCACTGCGACTTTCCTCTAATCAGATAGTAAGCCCAGTTCTTCTTTCTTTCAAGTCTGAATTTCTTTTGTTAGACTTAAAGCTACAAATGTGTGCAAAAAAATTTCTTATGTCATTTTTCTGTTGCTTTTTATTTTGTTTGCTTGCTAAAGGATGTTTTATGTTGCGACTGTACAGGCTTTATCAGGTCTAACTCTTGCACTTACTGTGATTTCCAAATATTTTTATTAAGTAGTTCTGAGCTCCCCCTGCTGGTCAGTGATGAAATATGTAGGATTTCTTCCACTAACAGACAGCAGGGGGCCCTGAAGGCCTGTAGATGTTCATTGTATTTTATAAAAAGCAAAATCATTCTGTAAGTTTGGACTAACATTAAGTGAATGAAATGGAATGATTTTTCAAACAACTTTTCCACGTTTCTCTCCGTTTTCCAGGTCAGTCTGAAGCTGAAAGATGGGCCAAATGACGTCACATTCAGCATCACCACCCAGTACCAGGGCACATGCCGCTGTGAGGGAACCATCTACCTGTGGAACTGGGATGACAAAGTTATCATTTCAGACATTGATGGAACCATAACCAAGTAGGTTCTCAAAGGGTTACAGAACCCCTCTAAGCTACGTAATTGTACTTGTCAGTTGATACATTATTTTTAGTGTCTTCTACGCGAGTGAGTGCTCATGTGCTTTGATGCTTTCCTTTTGATGTAAAATGTAGGTCTAATTTTAAAGCAATAAAAGTGCTGATTGCGCACTAATCTTGAATAATGTTCTGGAATCATCCATTATGCAGAAATGGAAGCACCCCCTGCATTAGTGAAATGGCTTCTTTTGCACAGCACTCTAAGTGGATGCCTTTTTCAGCTTTTATTCTGCACTTATGTCTCAATTATGTGTTTGCTGTACTAGATCTGTTTTGCTCTGTCAGCTGTGTTTGTATCCCAAACAAAATGAATATGAGTAAGCCTCATTAGATGTCCAGAGAGACTGAAATATATATATATATCCATGCAAGACACAGAAGACAGGGATGCAAATTAGTAAATGTGTCTTCATCAGTCAGTAGAAAGCATTGACATGTGTCCAACAATGACGGATGTGCTACACAGTTGGGGGCTGGTGCATTAATGGAAGATCCTGTTGTTTATTACTCTTTCACATACTTTAAAAGAAACTCTCCTTATTTAATAGCTGGTATGAATACCTGTCTTAGATATCCACCAGGGATTTAAAGTTGGCCTATTTTATTGCAAAATGTCAGCGGTTGAAGTAAGCTGTCTGTAAGTCCTGTCATCTCTTTAAAAGTAGAAATCAAGGCCATAATGCAGTTCTATTTATACAAAGCTGTGAAGTTAATGTAATCCTAGTTAGGCTGTTTTATAACAAAACTGGTGCCTGTTCCAGTGCCCACCCTGTGAGGTTCAACATCAAACCAGTCCCGATCCACTGCAGCTTATTATCACTGTGACCCTTCAGGCCAACATGTGACGTGTCACTCTTTGAATAACGGGGTGAAGAGCATGGGGATTATAATGAGCCCATTTACATTTTAGTCTGGAGACACTTGCAGTCGTATGCTGAGTGTGAGACAGTGACTCCCCTATGGGCCAGTGATCCTCATTAGTGGAGAACAGCCCATAATGTTCTATATTTATGATAAAAAGATAAAGTAGTTAGGGTGCTTTATTTAACCTTCCCTGCGCAGTCTGTGTCACCAGACGTGCTGTATTTCCTTTCTGAAATGTTATTTTACTGACTCTTGAGTCTACATCTGCTGTATTTCACATGTCAACATTGTTTGTGCTTTTTTTTTTAAGGTCGGATGTGTTTGGACAGATTCTTCCACAGCTGGGTAAAGACTGGACCCACCAGGGCATTGCCAAACTGTACCACTCTGTGGCTGAGTAAGTGCATAACGATACTGATAATCACAGAGGAAAAGTGAATGGTTGCTTAGTGGTTATGATGACCCAGGCTCCTTTTTCCAACTGGCTTTTTTTGGATTTGATATTTCCTCTTTGTTTGCGTGGCATGCTCTGAGGTGGATGAATCCGAATGACTAGACTTCTATAATATCTTTCTTTTAGTGGTTACAGTTTTCTGCACATGACCACAAACAACCAAAGTCACTGAGCCAACTAAACTAGCAGTCCTAGAAGTTGGTTCTATGGTCATGATGATGATGTTTATAGTAACAAGCACTGCTCTCCTCACTGGCAGGAATGGCTACAAGTTCCTGTACTGTTCAGCTCGGGCCATTGGCATGGCAGACATGACCAGAGGTTACCTGCAGTGGGTCAATGACGGAGGTACTATCCTTCCCCGGGGTCCTCTCATGCTGTCTCCCAGCAGCCTCTTCTCTGCTTTCCACAGGTACTGTGCACGTGCTATGCACATTTTATCCTTTAATCTGAATTCTGTTTCAATACAACCCCATATTTTTCTCCTTTCAAACTCCAATAACTCAAAATCCATATCCGCATGTAATAAGCCTTCTCTAAAATGTGTTTATGAAGTCTACAGAAAGCTCTGTTCAACTAAATAGGTGTTACCCATGTTGGTAGTCTGTCCACCAGCTGCCCAGAAGATAAGGACTTGCTTAAGTTTTTGGCCCCTTTTTGGTTCCTCGTCATCACTGTTCCCACTCAGTTGAAATCTAATCATAAGTTTGCATATAAGATATGGTTGAAATTTGAGCTTTTTTTTTTTTTAATTAAAAAACTAAACAAAATAAAAAGAGAACTACAATGCACCACATAACAGTGAAAACCGTGCTACTATAATAATTAAAATAACTAGATTTATTCTAAGGTTCCTGTTGAACTTTTTTGCTCTTACTCTAATAAATCTTGTTCATTTAAAGAAATCATCTCTCTTTATGTTGCTGTTAGCGGTATGTGGGTGTGATTTCCTGTAGCTTAAAGGCATTTCTTAATTATTTAGTCTGACTTCTGTCCTTTAGTTTAAATATGCATTCACCAAATGGTAAAACCAAAGCCTCGCTATAACATGTAGATCTTTTACGAAATGTCAGATGGCAGATATCTAAATCATAAGCGAAACATGTGACTTCTCTCTGATCTGCAGCAAAATTAAACAGAAGCTTTATGGCTGCAATACATGCTAGCCCTCGAACACTAACATGCTAAAATATTAATGATATAATACAATAATACTCAGAACAGAAGCACCTCCACTGTTCTGGTATATAAAAACTGTTGTTGTTGATATGGTTGATTCTTAAATTAATATGTGTGTGGTGGTTGTGTATAGTTCACTCAAACATCTCCAAAATGTAGGAATTGGATAATGAAAATCTAAGTACAATCTCAGACTTGATTCATGAAGGGGACATGAGTACATCCGGCTGTAATAAAAGTTGTCTGTTTGTTTTAGGGAGGTCATTGAGAAGAAACCAGAGATCTTCAAGATTGAATGCCTTACAGACATCAAGAACCTGTTCCAGCATAACAAGCAGCCCTTCTACGCCGCCTTTGGGAATAGAGCTAATGTGAGTTAATGCGTGTTTGAAAATGTCAAACAACTACACATCAAAGTCTTGGTTTTTTTTATATGCGAGTGGAGCTGCATTATTCAGAAGTCGATGAAGTCGGGGTGTGTTTGTTGTAGGTCAACATTGCACTTTGGCTGCCATTTAGCAGACACAAACATGTGAAATCACAATTGATTTCACATGCTCGGGTTCAGCCCAGTTCTGAACCCGAGCTGAGGTCATCGTTCGAGTGTGAGCCCATGTGACTTCATTTGTGCAGGCGAGCTCAAGTCGTTCACAGCATCCCATCATCAGCTGTATAAACACACCAACACCCACATGAAACAGCCTCACAAACTGACTGTCTTGCTCAGCAAAGAAAACAAAACAAAAAATAAGATGTTGCCCTTGGCTACATTAGATGAACCACAAGAAATCTGTAGTCATTGTCATCAATGTATTTGTTTCAGTTTGCACTGATATGTGATTATGTAATGCTCAGAAAATAGTCTCTCATTTATAATTCATAAGTGTATCTCAGATTGCACCTAAAGGACCAGTCTCTAATCTTTACCTTTCACATAGTTGTTTTATTATCATATCCTCTTTGAGAAAAGTTTAAACAAGAGATTTGTCTAAACGACAAGAATTAGAAAAATAATGTCCAACTTCAGCTTGTATGGGCCAATTTAATCCTTTTGTCTTTGTCTCTGGTCAGGATGTTTTTGCCTATAAAGAAGTTGGTGTTCCACTGTGTAGGATCTTTACCGTTAACCCAAAGGGAGAGCTGATCCAGGAGCAGACTAAAGGCAACAAGTCTTCGTAAGTACCCGTTGAACAGGGTGTACTAGCTATCACAGAATCTAGCATTTCTGATACGCTCTGAGCATTACTGTGGAGTTCCCTGCCTTTGGGCTTTGTTCATCTTCTTGTCTTCAGCAGTAAATCTCTCAATAACGCGCGGTTCCCTCTCAGAGCTCAATAAATGTCAACTTGTTGGCAGAAGGATATTTTTATGAAATCCCTTCTTATCACAAAGTCGTTTCAGAGACAGTTTGTTTGTATTCGTCTCTCGCAGTCATCCGAGTCTGTCACCTTTTCAGCCGCTCACTCTGGCTCTCTGATGTGACCTTTCCCTTCGCAGGTATGGGAGGCTCAGCGAGCTGGTGGAGCATGTGTTTCCTTTGCTGAGTAAAGAGCAGAATGAGGCCTTTGTGATGCCAGAGTACAGCTCCTTCTGTTATTGGAGGCAGCCCATACCAGAGATCAACCCCGATGAACTGCTCTGATTTTGCACATATGGTTACCAGGTATACACTCACGTCGGACTGGACTGTGCACTTGAATGCATCGCTTGAACAAATGGAAAGGAAACCATTGCACTTAGGCGCACACATGTAGAAACAGGGTTAGAACCATAAATACTAAAAATGGGCAAACTGTAATTACATGGATAAGAGGAGGGATTATCAGCAATACGGTACATAAAAAAAAAAGAAAAATCTGCCATGAAAATGTACTCTTTTGAGATAACGGAGTAATTGCTGACTTTTGCCTTCCATCCCATTAACAGCCCTTTAGTCCAGGTCATTGTGCAGAAGTTGAAAGCATCATCTTTTTTTTTTTTTCCTCAGTCTGTATAAATGAAAACGGCCCCAGAGATGTTTTTTTAAAACCGCTCATAACAAAGGTGACTTCTGCATTTAAAAAAAAAAAAAAAAAAAAAAAAAAAAAAAAAATAAGCTAAAATAAAACGCTCAAAGTGATTGGCAGATAACCAAATTACAGCACAGATGTCAGTTTTCAGCAGAGCTTCTTTAGATGTTCAGTTTTCCTGACACCTCTGACTTGCGTCACTGCAGGTGGAATGGATTTAGCAGACTCGGATTTCAGAAGTTTTCAACCTTGTTCTCAATGAATCATGTATGATATTGTTAATATTCAAGATCATATGTGGAATAGGCAAAGTATGTGAAAACTGCAGATGAAACAAAGCAGTTTTGTGATTTATTATGTTGTTTTTTTTCATATTAATTCTGTGGTACAAGCTCTACAAAGGAAGTATTTTCTGTTGACAACGCAGTCATTGTTTGTTGTAGTTGATATGTTTAAGTTATTGATTTATTTTGTGATGCCTTTGATTGCCTCAAAAAAAAGAAAAAACAGATCCCCAGTTTAACGAGGAACCTGGCATTTTGTATGGGTGGTCCCAGGTTAACATGCACTTAACTTTTAACTGCTAGGCTTTATACGATCAGTTTGTGGTCATGCTTCCCCCAACAACCCGTTTTCCCTGTTGAAGGGGGAATTATTCATTGTTGAAGGCACATAAGCATACACGAGAACCTCAGAAGCCGCAGCTTTAGCATTAAGATGTGTGTAAAAACAGGAGTCGACGCCTGAGTTACATGAGTCAGAAAAGGCAGATCTGAAAGGCGCTTAAAAATGAAGGATTTGGAGGACTAAGGGATGATGTAAGCGTGTGTGCGTATGTGTTTGTGTGCGCACACGCATATCACTGAGGGCTGCTGCTGCTGGGCTGGCAGTATCATGCCCCCCCTTGCTTACATTCCCTCAGTGGCTTTACCGAGACTTGTCTAAAGCACTTTTGTCCAAGCTGCACCCCGAGACGCAGACATCCAACTCAGCACATCTCTCACCCACATGCACTTCACTGTCAGTCAGAATAAAGTGGACCAGAGTGTGCAAATTTTTTCAGGATGGAGGTTCTTATTCTTTACCTTCAGTGTATCAGTTTAACTGAAATATGTCCCTATGAGCAACTGTTGAGAGGTTGTGGTCTTCACACGTTGTTTGAAATGCAGACTTTAGGAAACTTTGCTACACTGAAAAAGCATATTTTTGTGAGGGAAAAGACTGAACTTATGCCTCTGGTGGCCAGAGGAGGAACGATTCATTCTTGTTTAGAGATCAGCCGGAATAACTTGCCTCTGTCCAAAAGCGTTTAGAAGCACTTCTCTTGCGTTTATGTCTGATTTAGAAACTGATTTTCTGATTGTGATCACATCTCCCTCACCAGTGAAAGATGACATGTTGTGTTAAAGATGGCTGCAAGAGCAAGTAGAAGTAGTTTATTAAAAGAGAAGAAAAGCACAATCAACATCAGTCACTATTAGGTGTGTAAGAAGTGTAGCTGCACATGTAAGTCTGGTGTTTTGTTGTGTGAATTGTTTGTTTAGCTTTGATTCTTTTGTTTTTCTCTACACTTTGGTATCATCAGATAGTTATCTTAAAAATTAACTAAAGGAATTTCATTCTTTCTATGAAAGTAAATCATCTTGTGTGAAAGACTCACACTTCACCTATGACCCTGGGATATGTGGTATATAATGTCACCCATCTCACTCAAATGCTGTTGAAAATGGTCCCATTCAAGACATATATATATATATAAATATAAAAATACTGATCTTCACATTTATCTGTCTTACTGCCTTTTTTTGTTTCTTATAAATGTATATGATATTTTATGGGACTGTGTTTTCTTTGGATGTTACGCTTGCTCTCTGATTGTGTCTGACAGAAACAACTTCAATTTATGTTGTGTTTGATTTGTAAAGAAATGTGGTTTATAAATATGTTTAAAGAACAAAATCCACCATAAAAAGGAAAAAAAGCAGGCCTAATGATGGTAAAAAAAAAAAAAGAGATAAAAAAGAAAGTGGCTTGTGGTCCTATTTGTATTAAATATTCAACTGTACACATTTGTTTGTGCTGAGCTTTTCTTTCCTCTTGCCTGAGTCAAAGTCAAAAAGCTCAATTGTTACCACGGGCTAGTGGCGTTGCTGTAACCCTGGTGTTTATTTTCAGGAAACAATGCATTAATGAGGGATCCGAGGTGCAAATCCCTCAGGTCGTTCAACATCGCAAAGCATCAAAGATTTATGCAATGTTTAGCCTGACATTTTTATGTCTTTGAAACAAAATCCACATTTTTCTCTTTGAGTGTAAATGGAGGCCAAACTGAGCCTAAATAGTTCTTACATTTTGCCTTTGGAAATGTTTCAGTCTCAGGAGTGGGAGGGGAAATTTATTTTTCATCCACACCCACTTTACATAACGGCCCAAATGGGAGTTCTGCCTTCAAACCTGGTCTTTCTCAGTGCTGCCTCCGAACCCAGCCAAGTTTGGACAGTAGTGAAAAAGCTTTTATTTCTGCTATGCGCATTAATCTCTCTGTGTGCTTTGATAAATCCCCTGCAATGACTTTTTATGATGAATGTGCACACTGAGTGAGTTCATGTTGTGAAGGTGCTTCATTGTGGTTTAGAATCATAGTTTATGATGAGTGTTCGACAAGCTGTTTGCAATATGAAAAAACTACATTTTTTACAGTTTAATGTTAATTTAAAAGACATACAATGAAAATAGATTTTGAAAAAAATTCGACTTGATAATCAAATATATTAGCTAGAAAGCCCAACCCTTTGTACTTGGGTTTTTTTCGCAATGGGATAACGAACAGTAACATAACAGTTTTGTTTTTCTAAGAAGGGACATACTGTAGAAGTGAGGATCCTCACACAGTCACTCTGCATGTTAAATAGCTTTCTTGAACATTTCATCCAGTCCTGCTATCTGGAAACTAGTCCTTGGTGCTGCTTTTCTTGGCTCCAGCTAGCTTTCATCCGGTGACGCATAGAGGAAGATGGCGCTGTAGGTGGAGAGGATCTCCCTGGCCTCGGTTGTAGCCAGCTGGCCTCCGGTCCTAACCAGGCCCACGCGGTCTCCCTTCCTCAGTGGTAGGATCAGACTGAAGGACACAGTGCCTCCGCAGCCGCAGGAGCTGCCGGCCGAGCCTCCGTGTTGACCGGCTGCCGAACTCCACAGCCTGTGCACGCTGCGGTTGGACACGGACAGGACGGCCTCGATCCGGTCACCTTGCTTTGCAGTCAGCAGGCCTGAGATCAAGTATCGGCCAGGCTGTGGAACCGTGAAGATCCCTGTGGATGAGAACGGAAAATGATTTAGTGGTAGGGAACTAATCAATAATCTCCTGTTTCTTAAATATCCCGAGCTCTGCCTCGTTTTTATTCATGGGCCCTGATTGCTAATCTTATCTGGCTGCATAGCCAAAGCCTGAGACATCTGAACACTCCGTGCTACAGTACTAGATTCATGCCCAATTAAGTACAGAATAAACAAACCAGTCGGTCACTTTGATAGACTGCCGTGTGAGTTGGACATACACCATCCACTAATATTCATTAGACGGTAAACTTGATACTTTAGTAGATGCAACCATTTTCTCTTCAGAGAGCAGCAATGGCTGTGTGAGGAACAATTTGAACATTTAAAGTAAGAAAACCCCACGTTAAAGATGTCTATTTATGCTCTTACATAAACCTGTGGCTGGAAAATTATGGTTGTCACACCAGACATTAAACAACTGGAAAAAGCAATACAAATGTCCCTACATATTCTATAACTGAGCTGTTTAATTGAAATCTTTAAGTCTGTCTAGATGTTCCTGTAATTCCAAATTTTGCCACTACTTGGCTATGGGTCGGAGGAGGTTTGCCTTTGAGCCAACAGAAATAGAGGGGGATGCCGTTGTGTGGCAGTGACAGAAGCCAGCAAACACAACTTAAAAATTTCAAGCTAATCACTCAGAGGAGAGCTCTAATTCATAAAAAGTTCAGTTTTTCTTTCCCCTTCTGTTTGCTGTTATGCCTGTTTTCAATATCTACATCATGGACTGATATGTGGATATGAGAGCGGGGGGACTGGCAAAGGGGCAACCAGCAATAACATGATTAATCTGCTTTAAAAAAAGAAAAAAGAAAAAAAAAATATCTTTGTTGCAGGCGTGTACCTGTGCGGGAACTGTAGTGTCCGCCGTCGTTAACGAGCACTCTGTTAAAGCGAATGACGCCAAAATCCCCTGAGAGCGGGGGCTGCTGCGTGAGGCCGGCCGAGAAGGAGAAGGGATCCGCAAAAGAGCCGCTGGCTACTGAAATTGAACCCAGACAGGTCGAGGTAAATGTTTTAGTTTCATATACCTAAACACAGGAGACATTGCTTAAACGTCTGCACAGGAAATTGCTGTAAGTCGCAAACATGTGCAGCATTTTGGGAAAATCAGGGCATCTTACCTGGTGAGGCGGCCTGGTACTCATACATGGGGTTCCACTGTAGGTTTGCTGCTACTGGAGTTACTGGGCAAGAAGAGTAAAAAAAAAAAAGTGTTAATTCATGTATTGTTAGCAGTGAAACTGCGAGCCGGAGAAAAAAAAAAGCGCACACTTGATTCTCATAAATATCTCATTCATATCTCTGGTTCTATGTTAAAAATGAATGTACTGACTCTGACAGCTGTTTTGAAGGTCCGTGGTTTCAAACCCAAAATTATTTATCGTGGCGGTGAATAAAAGCCTGCCTTTCGTGATCCCATTTTATTCATCACGTTCGACTGTAAAATTAGCCGTGCAAACCCAGGGCGAGCGCCTGCAGACGAGCTCAAAAGCCTCCGCCGTTCGCCCACACCTCCGCCAACAAAACAAGTCTGTTTCCCACTCCCTCGCACTCCCAGGCTCCAAATTATTCACAGCTTTTTCCGTTTTTTAATTGAATTGATTTCCATACTGTGATGCAAACGAACGGCTGTACCTCTGTGGCTGGCCGGCTGCTGTCTGAACGATGCAGGCTGCGGAGGTGGGTAGCCTGGAAAAGGGGCAGAACACAAGCACATGATGTTTTATCATCACTGGAAGGGAAAGGTCGGAGCACTCCTGCCAGAGGCAGTTTGGCTCTCCGTTGAGCGTCATACCAGAGAAGGTGAGCTCAAACAAACTTGGCGATAATCTGTACTGTACACAACTATTTTCAATCACTTCACCATCTGAGCCTTGAAATGGTCTCAAAGACCATAGAAGGGGCAAAAGAGTAAGTGGAATCTTACAAAACCTAACAGAAATTAAACTTGAATGCTTTGTGCTCCTCATTGTGACGATTGATAACATTAGATTAGATTAGATTGTGAAGAAAGAACACTCCAGTAAAAGTTAGATAACCGCCCCTCTGTGGGGAGACTTGGGTTAATTATCGACTTTGAAAGTAACTTTTGTTTCTTGGGTTAAGATTTCAGACTAATTGGTATTAACACGACGTCTCCCACACTCAAAGGAAAAAAATATAACCAATGTTGGCAGTTCTTTTTTCCTTTTCTGCCAAACAACATGGGGGCTAGAACAAAGCCTTTGTTTAGTCGTTTGATATTTTATCCAAACTTTCAACGCGGAGTCCACTTAATGCGATCCAGAACTGTCTAAATCTGTTTTTGAGTTGTTTTCCTCCATCTCGTTTGGTTTGGCAACCATTAAAAGCCCCGAGGTGCACAGTGGAAACCAAAAACGTGGCTGACAAAACATCCAGTGCCCATGCACAATTAAATCCTTGTTATGGGTTCTACATGCCAAAGGGACAAAGAAAACAACTAAAATTAGTCGAATCAAACACAGATGACTATCCTGTAACTGTACTACAACATAAACTGACGGCTCTGTCAAACAGGTTGGTGTGTACAGAATTTGAGAAAACTATTATTTGAAATATAAAGTTTTACTTTTCAGGACATAATAATATAAAATATGAACTCCAGTGAGCTACAACATGCAGCGTATCACTCAGTGTCTTTACTCATTCAATAGAAACTAAACTATCAAGCAAAAGCTGAGTGTCCCCCCTCTGATTTGAATCAGAGTAGGAGCTGGTAAACAAACACTGACGCTGGTTTAATGACAAATAAAGGCTATTCTACTCTGTATTCTATTCTATTCTATTCAAATACACTTGCTCACTGGCGAGTGTCAGGACCTCTGTGCAACCAGGTTTTGGCAGCTTGCTGCACAGTGCCTCAGGGGATTGTTTATCCTTCTACTTTCCATAGAATATTTACAAGTAAAGACGTTCAACGCAGTGGCTGATCTTCAATCTAACAAGGGGAAAAAAATCATAAAATCCAAGCGCTATATCCCAGACTTGAAAGATATCACTTATACTAAATAAAAAGGCTGAACAAGTTTGGTTTGTTTGGAAGGCTTCTCTCTAAAAATAGCCCTGGAAGCATGACTTATACTTGTAAAGCTGCATCTGAGCGAACCACATGACATGTGTCTGACAGCTAAAGCTTGGCTGGAACTGGGACGTGCTTCGGGACATTGATCCCAAACACAGAAGGCTCATTTACATCTGAAATCCAAAAAAGAAAAAAGGAAGGAAGAAGTCACAATCTACTAGTTAACGCCTACACCTCAACCTCGCTGAAACGCTGTGGTGGGAGCCCTAAGAGAGCCCTGAATTAATGACTGTTTCCAATCTCACTGCACTAATGCAGCACCGAGGAAAAAAGCCCGGCTCAGCGACAGTGACTGATAATATCACACAGAAAACAAAAGAGTGATTCTGCACCCCCACTCACTTTTGCACACACCTCGCGCCTGGATTTTGGCTTAGTTTTTGTTAAAAAAGTAAAGATAGGAGAGGAAAATGGAGAGGGCTATATTTAGTTAGCCCCGGTAAGGATCAGATGATTTTTCACGATGACCTCAGAGCTGCAGGGGTACTTTTTTTTAATGCAGCTGCTGGATTTCTGGCTCCGTGAAACTTGCCATGGAGCCAGAATTATGAGTATCCTTAATTTACTTCCTGTCATCGCTGTAATAACACATTCCATTACGCTCAGCATCAGAATCCGGCGTAATGCTTTAAATCACAGCCTGCCGGTGACAGTGTGGTTGTTTGGGATCTGTTACCAATTAAATGTCTTGTGGACACCTACACTGAGTTGTACTTAAAGCAAAAAAAAAGCATTTAAAGTACAAAGAATCAAGCTGTGCATGATATAAAAAGTACATTTATGCAGCTCTAACTGTGAGGCAGTTAAATTCATGGCTTTAAATTTAGCATTAAAAGTGGGGTGCTGTTTTTGGACTGGATGTGAAAACCACGTAAAAAGCCAATCTTATATCAGCATCACCTTTTCTTCCCTTTCACCTCTGAAACTTACTCTGCATCGCATTACAGGACTAACTATACTGACCTTATCATTTTTCCTCTGCACAGATTCCAGCTCCAAACCACATGAACATTAAAGCTTTTTTTCCCCCCCTTTTTTTTTTTTTTTTTACATTTACATTTGGCACATACTTGTATAATGAGGGAAGGTGTGGACAGAAATAATGAACACCACATAATGAGTTATTTAAAATTATTCAGCAGCTTCAACACCTCAAATAAAACTGACTTGATGGGGAAATTCACAGTTGCTAACATTATCACTATAACAACATACCAGTGGAAATGCAATAGAGAATGGTTTTCGGTCTTTTCCACGTCACTGTGATTTCGTTATTCTTCAACAAGCTATTCTTATTTTGAGATGACAGCTCTGTGCAGGCTGTACTGCCCCGCTACCACCAGCCCAAAAGGGACAGGCCTGGCTCTGGAGCCCTGGAATCACTAAGCCAGTCACGATTTGGCATTTTGTCTACATCACACACACACTTGTTTTAACAAAAATCACATAATAAATCAACACTTAACTCTGAGTAGGAAACTGTCAATGCTATTTTCTGTAATAAACAACAATTCCTACGTATGAGGTGTATTAGATTATCTACAGAAGTGTTCTGAGCTCTTTGTGACACAGCGTTTATGATGTATGACTTGGAATCCTTGTGTCAGTGAAAGGCAGGCTAAAAAAAAAAAAAGTCCTGGGCTGAGGGAGGTACTCAATTTAGTGTCTGTCTTTTGAGGGATAGAGATGTAATGACGGCTTTGGCTGAGTGTGAAATATCCAAATGGTAATATAGTAACATAATTTATACCGACACAATGTGGTAATGAGTTATGACTCAGGCTAAGGGCTGTGACAAATGACAGCATGAATAGAAAATCCCATATGCGATAATTTGAATACAAAAATTCCACAGGATGGAATACTTCCTTGTAAGAAAAAGAAAGCTAATATTAAATCTTTGGGATGAATACTAAATACTTGAATGTTTAATATACCATATAGTAAAGTCATGTCTATATATTTCTGTCATGTTGTGCTGTACAGTAAATAGTCGCCCTGTACTTGTGTGTGTACAGTATCCATCCCCCTCGACTGGTTCAGAAACTAATGACCGATAATCCTCACCTGGAGCCCCAGCAAAGCCTTTGACCGGTTTGCTGGACGAGTCCTCAGATCCTCTGCGCACGGTGACCCGGCGCATGTATCCTGGGGGTCCTGCCTCCCCTGTCTCCACCACAGGCCTCACAGGGATGAGGGGTGGGGCGGGGAGGCCCGGCTGCTGGGGGCCTGAGGGCTGCTTGGCCGGAATGATCTTGATGACGTGCCTGTTGGGTTGAGCGGGCTGGCCGGGACTGAACGGCTGCCTGGGGCTGGACGGAGGAATGATGACGGGGATGTGGTATTCTTTGATCCTGGTTCTGGTCTGTGTTGTATCGGGCAAAGAAGCTGGCCTCTCTGGTCTTAAGGTCATTCCTTATGGAGTAAACGAGAAAAAAAAAAAAGAGAGAGAGAGAGCCACAAAATTGTCATTTCCTCAAAGACACAGACAGTTAAAACCCCTCATTTCTTTTGGTTTGTAAAAGCTACCACACAGACATGTATTCAGATGGCAAATTAGAGTTTGTTTGTTTTTGTTTTTTTTATCCCACTTTCCTGTGCCATTATTGCCCGTCGCTGAAATGAGTTTTGGGCAAAGAGCACCATCTGTATCGAGATAACACGGCTGACTGTCGGATCCCCTTAGGGCACAGACATCACCTGGGCCTCTGATGTGTTCTCAGAAGCTGTGAGGGTGTCCTTGGTACAAACAACAAACACAATCACGCTATCTGCTTTGAGGCAGCCTTCTCCCGGGCAGGTAGAAGGCAGATTTGTCATTTGTGAGGCACTGTATTGACCAAATTTGTATATGTGTGTGTGTGTGTTTAGGTGTGTTCGTCCATGACACTAAAAGAATTTAAGAAACAAAGACTCTCCACGGAAAAGTGGACAAATTTCCCGACAGCTGGAGACACAGAAGCCACTCTGTGCATGTGAATGAATGTGATTAGAGGCTACTGGTCATAGGCTGATTCATGAAGAAAGCATCTGATAGCTGATTAGTTTACGCAATGGCCTCTTCATTGTTCAGCGTAAACAAACAGGGCCTCATCGACGGCAAGACTAAACCAAGCAGGAAAAAATACACCAACAATGTTTGGCAGATGGTGCTTTTCATCTGTCTTGTTACCATCCGACCTCAGTCATACAGCAATGGAGTGGCTTAGAACTGACCTACATTTAAAATGTTGATTATTTGATTCATTTGACGTTCCGAATAATATTTGACATTCTTTATTGAGTATCAAAGGCTACCACCAAACAGATTGTATTTTATACGTGTACTGGGAAAAAATCACAAGCTTTTTCATCAAAAAGGAGAGACAAAAAACTATTTCTAAATCACAATCTTGCCTCTCACTCTCTGGATCCAAAACAAATCAAGCATCTCAAAGATGAACTAGAGCAAGTCCAATCTAACATAAGCCACTTTAAAGATCTGTAAAAAAAAAATAAAATAAAAAAATTGCAATCACAAGAGCATCTATCTGGCAAAGGTTGAACTGTTGTGTTTATCTCTGGAGAACAACAGGGTTCCTCCACAGCAGATAAATGAGGCGCTATGCTAAAACTGCAGGGTGTTTTCTTTATTAAGGAAGAGTTACATAAAGTAGCTTTTCTGCTTGAGATATTTTGTTCATGTATAGTTTTTATAGAACTGTCCTTGGTAAGTGTTTTATTTCATCAACGAGCAAACTGGTAGAGGAGCACCACTGATCCTTTCAAGTGAAATCTCTTTTCCAAAGCCTGATCTACTGCCAGGTGGTTCTGCGCAACAAACCATCTGGTGTGGTGTTAACTGTTACCTTTAAATCACTTGTGAGTTTGAGCAGTCACGGCCCGTTTTGTCAGACAGATGCAGTTGATACCATGAGGATTAGTGTCAAGTTTTTACGCTTTTCACTCATAACTGACTGCAGGAGCGCACATCCAAATGTAGCAATATTCCAACAAATGACAGGAAGAGAAGTAAAGCAAGTAAATGTGAATAATGAAACTTTTAAAGTTTATATTCGATTGAATACACTGAATAGTTGTTGGCAAAATGAAGGTACACGTATGATTAACAGCACTGCTACCCAGTTCTTTAGTGATTTAAAAAAAATGTTACATTTGTCAGAGGTGGATAAAGTTTACTAAGAATGAGACGTTACGCTTTTGAACTTGAATGAATGTAAACTAAGCATCTTTCTGTAATATAATGGCACTGGCATGGCTTCTTAGTAGCAATTTGCAATTGCAAGATAATCTGTCTTGCAAAAGGACGAACTGTTGTGGAAAGACAATCTCACAGCTAAAAGAGAGTTAAGAGGGTTTTTAATCCCATTACAAATTCACTCAGAGATCAGACCTAAAAGAAAATGTGATCTCATCAAATAATGCACCATGACGCATCGTCAAAATCCATCCCTCCTACCACTGACACCACAAACAACTCTGAAGCCACATGTATGGTCCACAGCAAATTAATCTCTGCAATCAAATCTCCTCTTCATTTCCCATCTATGCCTCCTTGAGGATGCCGGTTTCCAAAGTGCATATTTCCCATGAGCTCTCAGCCAGTGTCTCACTGAGGGGGCCGACCACAGAGAGGAAAAAACGCCAGAGATCCGCGACACATTCAAACGTATGCTGGCGCAAAAGCACAAATGACGACAGGCTCTGAGTTTGGGGGGGGTGGAGTCATCACTTTCGCCTCAACGAAACCGGTGACAGCTCATGAATGCTCGTAAGGGTGTGAAAGCATCAAGGCGTATTACAGGAGACAGGCCAAACGCGCCATGGAAAACAGTGCGGGGCAGGGCGTGGCGGTCACAGACCTACACAGCATCACTCACTCTATGACATACATTTTTCTGTCGTGCCATGCGCACGGATATAATTTCATCCTCCACCCCATTTTCCACAAATAATGTTATTGATGGGAGCTTTAACTTGTGAAGTGCATGGGCAGACCTCTGGAATTCCCATAGTGAGCACGTCTCCTCTGAAGGCTTCCAGATGGGCTCTAATGGAAATCCCTCACCTCGCAGGCTCGGATATCTCATAGAGACCCTTTAAAAATGTCAGGTTGTGAATAAATATCTACAATATGTGTTGTCAGACTTCATTTTCCTTTCTCCACAAACAGCCATTGACTTCAAAAAGCCTTTCATGTCCTGTTTCTCTTGTACTTCCTCGTCACTACAGACGCGTAATCTTCCTGCCTGTCTCTAAAATAGAAAGCAGGACTGATCAATTGCAAAGCATTGATCCGTGAAATCAAAGCCTTAGCTGTATCGGGGGTTTAAAATCTTTTTTCTTTCAACTTTTTGAAGGCTTTGTCGTCACTTACAGGACGGCGAGGAGAGGGAGGAGAAGTCCTCTGGACTTCTTGGAAGGACATATTATAAATTACAATGGATAGGGGGAGAAAAGGACAGGGGAGTAGAGGGAGACAAAAAGTAAAGCTACAGATAACAGGGATGTGCTTTTAACTCAATTGGAATAATCTTAGCTGAAAACTTAAGAACTTGATCAATTTCTACATTTCATTCCTGTATCTACATTAGCTTGCAAATATAAACATAACAAAATCCCAAATCTAAATTCAATGTGACTGCTGGTTAATTGTTTGCCATTTAAATTATTCAGCAAAGTCTTTCTGGCTTATCCCCAGCTCCCCGTTAGAAAGAAAGCAACCAGGAACTAACTCCATTGGTTTTGGAAGTGCTCAGCAGCTGCAGCTGCTGCTGTGGGCGCAGCGGTGCCAACATTTTGCAACAAGTTAAACAATTCCATTCAGCGGTCACAGTGAGCAAGGGAGTTCCAGTTAATCTTACAGTCTTGTGTTACAACACTTCATCTGTTCCCAGCGTCCTCAGGGTGTTCATGAGACTGTTTGGAGAACATGAGCTCAAACACTGAGAGGAAACATTTGAGTAGATTCTCAGCCACCACCACACCCACAAAGCTAGAGGATTTTGTTGATGTTTTTATCTCCTTTTGGTCTTCCTCTTCCCTTTCCAAGCTTCAAGGAAGCATTAAATCTTCAGAAACACAAAGCAACTCCCACACTTTTGGGGTTAAGGATGACAACACTCACTAATAATAATATGTGTGTCCTCAAAGTAAAAATAAAGAAACTAACATTTTATTTAATTCACTACCGGTCATACCCAAAAACTGGACCTGTAACACTGGTATGGCCTCTTAGTGGCAGAAAACGACACCTCACAACTCAAAACCACTACTCTCCACATAGCGAAGTAAAGCTTCGTACTAAAGCTGGACCAGGCCTAACAAAGGAGATCCAAAGACAGTTAATTCCCCTAACCACTTACCATAAATTGCCCCATTTCACCTGATTGCTTGAGTATAAGTCAAGTAGAAACCTCTAAGGTTAAGAATTAAGCCAGGAAGGAGCCGATTAAAAAGAGTTAGTAGCCCTCAAACTACTTGTTAAAGGAGTTGTTGAGTTGTTCTAATCCAATAAAGTTTTTGTTAAACTCAACAAATACTGCCAAAGAATCCATGGCCATGGTCTTTTAACTGGGTAAAGCTGCTCGGGGGGGGGCTTTCTTGTGTATGAGTGGAGACGGCATGCATACAATTATGTCTAAAAATGAACAAACTCTTCTCGGAAATCAGCTGATGTTCCTGCATTGCATCCACATTTTCTGAGAGGCAGCAGACACAATGCAACAAAAATATGCAACAACCAGCCCTTAGTTTTTTTTTGTACTGGCTGGAGTTTCAGTCAAATTGAAAGTCATCATAGCTATAAATCTAATCCAATGTTTTGGAGGTTAGCTGCACCATATGGATGGACAACAGGTCTTTGACAGCATAGTTAGAAATCTTCAAACTCTTGGTTATTTAATGGCCTCTGCTTTAGGAACTGATTCAAATTCCCCAGATCACTGTCAAAAATTTAAAAATCTGCATTACTACTGAAGCTATAAATGGATAAACAATCCAATATCAATAATGGAATTGGGTCTAAATGAAGTGTACATACCTCTATTGTACAATTTCTACACTAAAATAAGATTCTGGACACATTGCTAATTGTTTGGTCAGTTGGTTAAAAAACGGCTTTCAGTTGCTATTCCCCATATTCACGGGAGGATATGTTAATAAATATTTCTTGGCCAGAACTAGTTACCAAGCAACAAGTGGACAGAGAGTTGGAATTAATTTCTCTAAGAGATTGAGGAGATAGAGCATTTTTAAATTTAGACTGAAGCAGGCAATCTGTTTTTCTCCCACTATCCAGTTTCTGAGTTCATTTTTAAGTTTGCCAGCGGGACCAGCGTGACGCAGTTTGTGGTCTCTCGGAATTCAAAGGTGCAGTCTGGTCATAAGATTTCCTCATTGTTTTCAGAAGCTAAATGAAAAGGTAGACCAGAAGACTGTAAAGGAGGAAGGCAGAAGTAATACTATTCCACATGACAAAAGCAGTGCACGTCTGGCATCTCTCCAGAGAAATTATGTTTGCTTTGGACTGAGTTGCATTTGAAAAGTGCATGAACTTAACAATAAGAGCTAATGAGGAGTGGAGCTGTGGCGATGGGCAACATATGAAACCCTACACAGCTCTCATCTCAAAATGCCAAACGTGAACTCTGGACTGTGTGTGCGCTTGAAAATATAAAAGACATTCGGATGCAGGTGTGAGCCCGGAGTTGGAAAGGAGTGGGGGCAGGGTGAGTCTAGATTATTCCTTCCACAAATAAAAGAGGGAAGGAATCCCTCTAAATGTTCCATTTAAAGTCTTGACACCAAATTTCTTATGAAAACAACCCCTAAAACGGAATGTGAAATTACCTCAGTCTGCCTTCCCTTTTTTATGCAACTCCCTTTCTCGCTATTGTCTTGGACGGTGGTGTAAGAAAGGGAGGCACCAGCACTGGGGCCCCAGCTATGACATCACAGCTGAGGGGTATGAAGCATCTGGTCCTGGGTGTGGAGTCCTGCTTCCCTTCTCTCCATCAAGACCAGCCCCAGCAGTGAGTCAGGGCCCTTAATGAGGACCAGACTCCACACGCCAGGCTGAGGTCACCCTACGGGAATCTCTGGAGGCTGGTATGTATCCATTTGTAAGGGGGAGGAAAGCAGGGAGGGGAGGCATGATGTTTATGAGTGCACCCAGAGGCTGGGAATGAGTCTGAGGTCCACGGCTCTGTGGTGAGTAAAACAGCTAAGTCACGGTGGAAGAAAGTAGACTTCACCACTCCAAACATTCCTGGAGGATCTGCAGAGGATGGAGAAGGGTGCTCGGGCACTCAGCCGTTCATTTTTTTGCCAGAGGCAAGTGGTAAAACAAAACAACTCATCGCAAGTTCGCAGAGGCATTTGAAAATTTCGCACTGTTTACTTGACTCGTTCATAACATTAAAAACAATGTCAATTACCGGGACAATATAAGTCACAGGAAGTCTCCGTTGTGGGCCTCTCGCTGCCCGGGACATATTGAATGACACAGTGAGGGCGAGCAAAGGGGCCCCAGCGAACTCACGTCCTCCCACTTTGGGAAATACCCTGTAGGCATTCAAGGGATCTGATCCTTCCCTCCAAGCTTCCATTTAAACCGAGCAAGCTGAATGCATTACATGGAGGATTATCTTCAGGAAATGTTTGTGTTTACACAGATGTTAATCACACTTAATGAACTCATATGTTGGAAGTCAAAGAGGAAGCCGAGAGGTTTGCGTGTCTGGTAAATGTTCTTTCAGTTTGGCTCATTTCAGTGCTTGAATTTATTCCAGTGGGCATCCACTGAACACCGCACTGCTTCAAAAATGTGGCAAAACAAAAATGGACTGGAATGAGTTCTAAATTTTGTCACGATACGTATCAGATAGATGGATTCATCGTCATTTCCCCAGCTGATAAAGCAAGATTGATACCTGCTAAATGGATCCAGCTTACCGTTTTATTATGATGTTAAATAGTGGCAAGATGTCAGGGTTATTCTTTTACTGCCATTTAGTTTACATAAGACCTGTGATTGTTCATACATAATGGTAGAGTTTTCCATTAAGCTCCAAGTGAGTCATAAAACTGCAATGAAAGAGAGGTTCAGACGGTCAAGGAGTCATTCGCCCACCACATTTTTTCCCAAAACTGATGTTCACACTCTAAATAATGATTTCTATTGCTTCATGAGACTGATCATAGTGTCATTAAAGCCAAATAAACAACAACTCAACTAGATTGGAAAGATCAGAGGGCGAGCAGTGGAACCTTCTCATTTCTTACGCAACAACATCTGTCAGGGAAACCAGTGGGATTTACTGCCCTATTAATACCATTGTGGTAGTTTTGTTTTGCCTCTCAGTTACAGCTAACTTTCCAATTAATCTTGAATACATTTCCATTGTCGACTTTTTCCTTATCAAGGTAAAAACTATGTGCAAACACATTGCTTTCCAGTTGCTCTTGTGTGATGTTAGAAAGGGGAAGTGAAAACATCAGGGCCATAAAGGATTATAGCAAAATTCATTCAAAACAAGCACACTGACGCCATGAGAGGGTCACAATGTTAAAATCACCTACTCCAGACATAAGCAAAGATTAGAAACTGGCATCACCAAACAATAAGCCATCAACATACCTGGTTCTTTGGCAGCGACATCTTTTAAAACGTGTTTAGCGATGGTTGACATCTGCGACTGGAGCTTTTGCAGGGAGTTCTGCAGGGTGATGATGTCGGCCCCATGGTTTCCACAGGTGACGTTCATCCTGTTGACGCAGTCTTGCAGGCCGCCGACGTGCCTCTCCAGCCCGTCTTTCAGCTGCTTGACGTTGACCGAGACCACATCCAGCCTCCCGCACACCTTTTCCAGTCTGCTTACGCGTCCGTCCACGGCTGAGATTTCACCCGAAACGCCCTGTGTGTTTTGTCTGCAGTGATTCAGCTCGGACGACATCTGTTCGCCGAGCACGTCCAGCCTGTTTTTCAGCTCTTCCACCTGGCGGCCGGTGGCGTCGGCTGATGCCCAGCTGGAATGGCCTGCGCCGCCAGGGCCGCTCCGCGCGGCGCGGCAGCATGTTGAGTTGATATTCTCCACATCCTGGTTGTACTTGCTAAGGGAGTCACCTAACCCGGTGACGGCGCCGGCTAGGCCGAGCACGTTATCTTGCAGGTTGATCAGCCCTTTCTGGAAGTCCTCCATTGTTTTCACATGTCTCTCGTTTCCAGCCGACTGCTTTTGAACAAAATCCTCCAGTCGTCTCAGCTTGTCTGTGTTAGAACCTACATCTGTGTGAAGGACGTCCAAGTCATTCCGGTACCGACTCAGGCCCTTTAAAATGTTCTCTAGATCTTTAGGTGGAAGTACAGATCTCCCTTCACTTGCAGTAATTGTGGAGCCTGAACATCCCGCAGAGCATAACTCTTCAACAGAGTTAACCTTATCATCCAAACCCTGGAGGAGAAACCTATTGTTGTTGACTTGTGCCTGGACTGCATCCATGGAGTCAGCAGACATCCCTGAGAAGGACTTATTGGTCATGTCCACCAGCATGTTTGTAAACTGGTCCTCAACCCTGTTCAAACGTTCGTCCAGAAGTTTGCGAAGCGCTGCCACTTCATCTGCAATTGTTCTGGTCAATTTCTCTTCTATATAGAAACAATGAGTCTCTGCATTTTGCTCTGTGATATTCAAACGGGCTTCGAGCTCCTCCATCAGCAGGTTCACGTCATCGACGTCCTGGGGAGCAGACAAATGAGCCAGCTCGTTGTCGATGCGGACATTAAGGATCCGGTGAGCCTCTGCGATACGATCGATCTCGCGCCACAAGTCCTTATGGTCACTGTAGTCCTTCTCCTGCGGCTCTGTCTGCCTTTGGTTTTGCACAGGCCCATCAGCAGCAGCCATATGGAGACGAAGGGCCCGTATCTCTTTCCTCAGATCAGCCTCTTTGGTTTCCACCTGCTTGTTCAACCTGGCAAAAAGTTGGTCGTGGCCATCCTCGCAGTTCTTCTGCGCCGTTTCAATCTTGTTATTGCATGAACCCTGTAGTTTAGCCATCTGCGCTTCAATACTCTGGTCTAAGTCTTTCTTCAGCGTGTCAAATTTCTTATCAATGTAACTCTGTATAACATCAAACTCAGCAATTGCCGGAGTCTGAGACTGGGAAGCATCCATTAGGACACGGATCTGCCCTTCGTGATTGGTCGTGAGTCCTCTCAGGTCTTCCAGCACTTCATCTTTACTTTTCATTGCAATATCAATATCATCTAAACGGGATACCAATTTTTCTAGGGTTTGTTCTCCAGCGAGCGCACCTCTGGAGGTTTGGTGGCCGTCTAGAACTGCTGGGCTGTCCTCGGTGCTCGCGTCGTTGCTTCCAACTGGCGGCTGCATGTTGTTTAAAAGCGTCACCAGCATCTTCTTCGTGTCGTCCTGCAGGTCTGTGCGGAGGTTGGTGGTCAAACCCGTCAAAGTGGACTGGAGATCTAGGACAGTCTGAGACAGACGCTGGACTTCACCCTCCAAAAGGCGGACCTTGTCTGTCCCTCCATGCCGGGTCTCATGGTGTGCCGTCTCTCTCCGCTCTGCTCCTGCAATCATGGCACAACTCAATTCATTTAGCCGTAACAACAAACAAGCGATTTTGTCAGTCCTGGTGATAGAAATAACAACACAGAAGTCTGTATTTCTACAGGTGGAGCAGAAAATTGATTTCTTACTCTGCGTGTGTCTGGCTGAGTAGCTGGGATTTGATGGGCGGTACGGGTGCACTCCCCGTACGGTGTGCCGATCAGGAGAGGGCTTCAAATCCCTGCAGTCGGGGCCTTGGTAACCAGGACAGCACTTCCACTCTAACTCTGTGACTGTCTTGTAAGCAATCTTGTATGTGGGTCGAAGCCGTGTTTGATATCTGCAATGCAAGGCACAACGATAAGTGGCATTTGTGTTTCAAAACTTCAACATCAAACTAACCCAGCGGCAGCGTGTTGCTGCTTTCAATAACTTTGCTTTCAACTTTGTGCCTTAAATAATTAAAAAGGTGTCTGTCTAACTACAGTAACTTCTAGACTATTTCCCATAAATTGGAGATTTCCTTTCTCTAGCCAAAGAAAGCAGTTCCCAAAAGAAACAATGAATGACATCACTTCCCTGAAGGCAGGCGTCATATCATTTTGAACATCTGGAAAGCTACGGTATGAAACAATCATCTTATCCTAACCGCAGCTGATAACGCTGTTCTGACAAAACAGCCGGAGTACTGTTTTTGTTTTCGTTGTAGTCAACAGCGTTTATCTAAACTGCTATTTGAACAAAAATAATATTAAGCCAGTGTCGCACAGCAGAAGTTCAGGTGTCTGTTTCCATTACAGATTCTTGTTGCAATTCGCTGAAATGTGCTCCGGTGACCTAAGACCGACCAGCTTCCAGGAAAGATTTCGACAGTGCTGGGGCTCTTGTGCATCTGCCTGTGTTAATGGATCACAAAGCTACACCACAGATTGCTAGTGTTTAGATCCAAAAGTGATTCATGAAGCAAAATATATCAAGTTGTGATCAAATATCCCCCAGAGAAGCGTCACCACTGGTTGCTCACCATTTACCGGCAATAATGGCCCTATTTACAACATCCAGTCCGGATGAAATACGATGCTTTGTTTGTCATAAAGGTTTGGGTTTGGAAATGGATTTTAATCACATTGTGTGCCACATTTGTAAGATTTATCATCATGAAAAGCTTAGAAATACGTCAGATGTGTATGACACACTTGTATTACAAACTATAACAATAAATCTTACAAACTGCCTCATCACAACTGCATGGAAATAAAAGCAGCTACTGAACTTCAAAGAGATTAATACATATGTGGTTTATAACTGAAAAGATATCTACTCTGTTTTCACTGTTCAAATTAGAGCAAAATGCTTGCTGATGACAAATTGGGCTGGTTGAAATATGATGAGGCTTTGAGGATCAAACTAGATGCACAAACATGGAGATTTAGAATGTCTGTGTGGAGGCATAACTCTAAAAGTGTGATTAAACTCAAATTAGTGGAGCTAAAGTTTTCAAGAATGTAGGAGGTAAAAGGTAAAAGCAAGGCTTAAGTATGAATGAAGCCATGAGAGATAAGACTGCCTTTCACAAGAAAGTATTTTTATCTAATGAGCAAGCTCAGAACTACAAGAAGTTCTGTTTTACATTGCATTTCTCATTGTCCTTCCCTGTTGCAGTGGGATCTATAACTTGCCAGAGATGCCACGCTTTTTTGGTTCTGCCAACTCGGCTTCTTTGAGACACCGTGACCTCTGGATCCGTCTCCCTCTCAAGACAACGTTTTACATGGATCGGGTCTCATAAATCTAACAAACAAGCACTCACGTCACTTGTTGCTGGCAGTCAGGCTGGTAAGCTGGGCAGGGGGCCACCACGGGCTCCTGTAAACTCTCAGCACTGCCCTGCACCACGCAGCTCACGTTCCTCTGCACCACATAGGCACACCAGTTCCTGAGCAGAGAAAGGCACATAAACAAGAACATTAGAGTCCATCTCACGGTATGCAGGGTGATTCAATTGAAAGTTTAACCACTGAGTTGAGTGTTTAGTTCCCTTCCATTTTTATTTGTCAGACCACACTAGAAAATGCGTTAATGGCCCCTTTGTCAATAAGTTATCAGCAACATTCCAGCGTTTGTCAGGGGAGCCTATCACCTCTGGCAACGTTAGAAAACTCGATCCAAATTTAGCAACAACCTGATAAAGAAAAGAAAAAAGGGTAATGTTAACAGTCTGCACATGACCATAAGAGGCTAAATCCACCCCGAACCTGTACGCTCCATTCAGTGGGAGGTTTGGAGCTCATCGATTTTCTATTGGCAGCTGCGCAACAAGAGCGCACAGGTTTTTGGTTTTTGTTTTTACCTTCAGTACATGTAGAAAAAGAAACGCCCGAGTCTGCTGTTGTCTCAAAGCCTTCCGAAAAGTAGGCGCTGCTAAAACAGCTGATGTGAAAAGCAGTAAGAAAAAAGAAACCACGCTACTCACCTACTCCTGTGTCTCTGCACCGCGCCTGCATACGCAGAGCCGTGGAACAAGTCATACGAGGAGGGGGACCCGTGAGTGAACTTAAAGTTTAAAAGAAGTGTGAAAACCGTCCACCAGCAGCCCATCTTCCCATACCCGTGATTCAAGCTTAACAAACGCCCTGGCAAATGCATTTCTAGCACAGAAAAGAAGGACTACCCTGTTATGATCGTGGGCCCAAATAGCAGCGCTGCATCGCGCCTGTGACTGATTTAACTCCAGTAAGTGAACTTTGGGGAAGTCCGGATTCATTGCAACTCCCTTGGAGTGACGTTTGGGGCCCACGCCCTCCTCCCCCCCAAAAGAAATTTAGATGAAGGGGGGCTGAGGGAGCGTTTCAAAAGTAATGGGGGAGCGTTTCTGATTCACAGGCGTGTTTGCATTGGTTAATTCTTTTAGGTGTCTCGCAGCATGGTGTGATTCAGTTATTTGTGAGATTCTTGATTGCCACCATGATGTCAGCCATCAGCTAATAATCCACACCTCAGTGATTAATAACAACCTAATGCCGCTTGAATGGAACCACTGGAGTTGAAAGATACGCGTGTACTGTTGGTGTTAATGATATTCATAGCCAGGGATAACTAGTCATTTACATTCTGTCTGCCTTGTTGGCAGGCTGTGATGTGGGAGCTATGTCTGCAAGCAGCTCAAAGGGCAAATTCCAATTTTTTTAAAAGCAAACTGAGCAATTGGCCGATTTCTTAATACGCGCCGAGAATGAAAGTAGAAACACAAGATCTTCTCTCAGCAGCGACGGAGGCAGAATCTCACTCCCAGACTTTGGCGCTGCGCGGAAGTGTGACTTTCCGCACAAACGGGGATGCTGTGAAATTACTTTTGACAGACGGCTTTGCACCGTTACCTCCCCGTGTCAGCGTGGTTACTTTCTGCATGTTTCCCCAACAGACAGATCACGACAATTAATACCAACCAGTTTTTTTTTCTTCTATTGTTGGAAGTGAGAGCAGAGGAAATACTGATGGGATGAAGAGGTCCCTGTTACCAGGGGATACTTCCATTTAAGTAAAGACAGTGAGAGAGAGTGAAAAAAAACAGTGAAGACTCAGAGGGATGCCAGTAGCAAACATGAATCCAACCCATTCTCACCCCAAAGAACCTTTTACCACGGAACATGCTTTTTTGGGCTGGGCTGCTGTCAGACCAGAGATAGCCTCTCCCAGAATAACGCGGCGCTGTTTCATCAGGCAGCCAGCCGCAGGTCAGCCCAGTCAAAGGCTCCAGATATCTCATGTGTGTGTTTGGACCGTCCACACCAGGCTTCACAGCCCAAAAAAGCTCATATACCAACGTTCCCATCGGTGCCTTTTGCTAAAAACCCTCAACAAAGATTGATGACATTTTGTTTTTTCATCTTATATCTGAAGTACTCGCATTTTTCATCATTGGCTCACTATCCCAAAATATATTCCCCAACGCAGCCAGACACGCAGGCTTTTCAGACAGGGGAAAAATGTCGATAATAGGTTTCATGCGAGTCACATTTGTTGCATTTTCTTTTTGCTGTATATGATCGTTTGTTTGGTCTCCAGAAGAGGGCAGCACAGTAGCAGTAAACGGTGCAAAAAACTCCTCGTAGTCATGGCAATTCCTTTCCATGGAGCTGGAGTGAGAGCAGGATATTTCATTACTGGGCTGGATTTCCAGTTGCAACACCTTGCCATCCCATTCTCATGTCACCCATCTTCTTCTGCTGGCTCCGCATTCACCATCCCCTTATCTATAACTGAAGATTTTCTCGGAGTTGTTATTAGATAAATATCTCCTGACTTGACATGCCATCATGATAATACCAGGTTTGACAAAGCCTGCATAGTTTTTTGTTGTATTGCATAATTAAAAACAATCGCTACTTGCATGCGTGCCCTGACATTCATGGGGATCAGGAAGCTGGATGAGTCACGACTGAAGGAAAATACCAAGTCAAACCTTTCATTAAGGAAAAATAAATGGGAAAACACTCCTTAACCCATAGATCCAAGGAACATTTCGACATTTCAACCCTCCTGGATCGATTTGCTATTTTTCAGCTTTGCAGAAGTTAGAGGAAGGCCTGGAAATGAGTGAGCCTGCGTTGAGCCGGGGGGGGATCCTTTGTAGAATACAATAAATTTGTCATTGAGACATGCATTTAGCAAGGCCACAACAGCTCCTTTTGATTCCTTTCAATTCAAACTGAGGATTTCACCTTGATCTTTACCTAAAGTGCCTGTGTGTCTGTGGGGGGGGGAGGGGCTGCAGACACTGAGGGACTAGAGAGCTTTTTTTTTCTTTTCTTTTCTTTTTTAAAGGACCACATTTGTAATGTATCACAGACTCGTGAGACCCAAAATATTCTCACAAGCACTGCTTCAAAGCACGGGGAACAGATTAAATTCAGTCGGAGCTAACTGTAGCATGTTGGCGCCCTGTGGACTTAGTGGGCACAGAGGCTTCTCAAAGCTAAATACCCCTCATTTCTGGCTCCTGACTTGTCACGTAGGGGTAGCGAGCAGTGCTGCAGGGATCTCTTTGATTCAGCAGGCTCCAGCTCTACGTGCTATGTGCATCATACCCTGGTACCACTCCACTTAGTCTGGGTGAGTCAGTGGGAGAACTCGGGCCATTACGCACTGCCTACACAGGTGCTGCTCAGCATGGGGTCAAAGGGCAGCCTAAGGGTTCTGTGCTGGGACTGTTTCACTTTAATCTGTTGCGATACAGAGAATGAAATGAACTGTGGTCCTTTGAAAACAAGTTTTGTTTTATTCTCTCATTATTGAAAATGAATTGAAAATACTAACCTTGAGAATTTGTCTCTTTAGAATCCGTACCATCGTGCATAAACGCGTTTATAACACAATGAGGCAGTCTCTTCGCTGGCTGTTACACCCACTCTCTGAGGCTTTCTGAATATGTGCTCAGGGTAAGGGAAGCGAAGATGACTTCACCTCAGAGAATAAACTCTTCCACGTAGCGTTCCAGCGTTATTTCAGATCCACCCCTCCCGTCTCGTCATCCCTCCTCTCACCTCTCCTGCATTCCCCTTCGCAGACAAAACACCAACCTGACCACGAGTTTCCAATCGTCAAGTACATGAGAAAAGAATCCTAAACAGTCTGCTTTTGTGTATGCTTTGCCTCATTATTCTTTGCCTATTTTGAATCGCATAACACCGTGAATGACCTTCTTGTGATCCGGCCGAAGGCTGGATTTTTCTTCTTTTCCAAAGGTCAGCGTGAAGCCCTAATATCCCACAAGAAGAACGCCAGGATTAAGACAAGAATCATGCTCAGAGGCAGATGTGAAACAGGTTCGGTGATAAACAGAGGTATCTGTTGATGGTTCTACGCAAACAATGCACCCACCCTCACACACACACAGACAGACAAAGTCTCTCCCCCATGAGTTTCACACATGAACATGGACATGAGCCATGCGACCACACACAGCAGATTAGGGGAAGTGATTTATTGGTTGTAAAATGTTAATATAGCTATAAGCCCGTCTCATGAATTGTTAATTATGGCCTTGACATACTCGTCACCTAAAATGTTAATGAGGTGAGATTGCGTGGAGGCTGAGAGGTCTCTGTGAGCAGCAGAGCAAATACAACAGATGAGCTGAATCCACAAGACCCCCACACGCCATATTAAGGAGCGCTGAGGGCACCTGAGATAGGTTGTCCCGATTCAGCCACCGAGTAATTAAATTAATGAATGGCAGTGTGTGAATGAACCGTAGAGCTGCTGAACGGAAATGATGAATATAGTCTATTTCTACTGCTCCTTGAGCCTATATTTGTCCTGTCTTGTTCGAACAGATTCATAAAAAATGGAAGCAGTGATTATAAGTTATTTAGTATTTGGGATTCGAGTTAAAGATCAGAAATGATGTGTCAGTTTTAGCCAGCATTAGCTTTAGAATACGATCTAACCTAGTGACCACCCAGAGGGTTTGTGGGTTGAAATTTGTGTCGAGTCGATCTGTTCTCTCTCGGTGATCTGGTTCCTCCCACATTCCTGAGATCTGATGGTTTAGGTAACTGATTCTTAACTAGATGCAGGTTTGAGAGTGAGCTTTAACTATTGTTGCAGTCCCCTGTGGACTGTCAGCCTGCCCAAGCTGTAGCTGTTAGGAGATGATTTGCACATTTTCTTACTTATTCTTAATCCTGAGGACTGGATAAGGCAGTTTTATATACATTTCCACAAATATCTCATTTTACTTTCTCTGGCAGAGCTCCACCTCTATGCTGTCAGCTCTGTGATCACTTTACCATTGCAAACTTTTTTTAGGTTATAATTAAGATTGCAATTACCTATGCCTCTTCTTTTTTGGGTTCCCCACAGAGCCCAGAATGAAAAACAAAAGTTATGTAACCATCAGCAACTATGGAAGCAGTTAGCCCTGTTCCAAATGGTTTCTGCAGGGATAGGATTTACATTGATGGCAGGATTGCTTTATCAGTGTGAAGCTAAATGTTTTTACAAGTTTCAGTTTCAGTGGCTGATGTTGTTTTATGGTGTTTTCATGCTTAAGTTAATCTGTATTGGAGCATTACTTTAGGAACAAAAACATTTGTCTTGACAGTTAATGACTTCTAAAGTTGTCTTTGCTGTAATCTCAAATGGCTCTTATCTCTGTTGAGATAAGTACCCCAATCCCATCTTCTCTCTATACACTTGACATTCAGCGTGGCAATGCAGGACCATCCCCACTCAAAGAAATAGGATTAAGTGATATGTTTCTGCTTTGTATCGCAATCATTTTTAAACTGCTGCGTTCCTGTTCTGGCAGCTTCTTACTGATAATCAACTGTTGCTTATCAACAGGCGACTGTCAGCTCACAAGCATGACTGTGTGATTGTGTGATGTGTATTTGCTTTCTTCAGTACAATGTAGGGAACAATAGTAACGTGTGCTTTGTTTTCACTTGTCCAATTTAGCTGTTTAGATATTTTCTAAAGAAGGACCTCCAGTATGTTTCTTTTTGCTGAGAATATCTGTGCAGAGTCTCAGTCATCCAGGTCATGGTCAGGCTTGGAAAGTTCAGTTAGGCAACTGGACGTGAAGTTCACGAGAATCCACAAACTGATTACAGTCTGTTGCTTCAACACCGGAAAATGTTTCATCATTCTGTGTTTTCACAGG